GCCTCCTAAAGTGTTTCTGAGTCGTTTCCTGAAAAGTCGATTTTTGACCCAAATTTGCAAAAAAAGGAAGGCTAACCCCTTACATTTTTTTCAATTTGGGCCAAAAAATGAAATTGCATGAAACTTGCTAGGATGATGCGTGAGGGCCCTTAGAACACATTCCCAAACTTTCTCTTGCCAAATGTGCCATTCAAAGGAAATATGGCATGCAAAAATTATAAATTGAATTAAAATATTTTTAATATTTCTCCATAAACCCTTTATACTTGCCCAAATCTCTTCAATAATCACTTTTACATTATAAAACTATGCTTATTATGACTCCTAAAGTGTTTCTGAGTCGTTTCCTGAAAAGTCGATTTTTGACCCAAATTTGCAAAAAAAGTAAGGCTAACCCCTTACATTTTTTCAATTTTGGCCAAAAAATGAAATTGCGTGAAACTTGCTAGGATGATGCCTGAGGGCCCTTAGAACACATTCCCAAACTTTCTCTTGCCAAATGTGCCATTCAAAGGAAATATGGCATGCAAAAAATTATACATTGAATTAAAATATTTTTAATATTTCTCCATAAACCCTTTATACTTGCCCAAATCTCTTCAATAATCACTTTTCCGGTATAAAACTATGCTTATTATGCCTCCTAAAGTGTTTCTGAGTCGTTTCCTGAAAAGTCGATTTTTGACCCAAATTTGCAATAAAAGTAAGGCTAACCCCCTTACATTTTTTTCAATTTTGGCCAAAAAATGAAATTGCATGAAACTTGCTAGGATGATGCGTGAGGGCCCTTAGAACACATTCCCAAACTTTCTCTTGCCAAATGTGCCATTCAAAGGAAATATGGCATGCAAAAAATTATAAATTGAATTAAAATATTTTTAATATTTCTCCATAAACCCTTTATACTTGCCCAAATCTCTTCAATAATCACTTTTCCAGTATAAAACTATGCTTATTATGCCTCCTAAAGTGTTTCTGAGTCGTTTCCTGAAAAGTCGATTTTTGACCCAAATTTGCAAAAAAAGGAAGGCTAACCCCTTACATTTTTTTCAATTTGGGCCAAAAAATGAAATTGCATGAAACTTGCTAGGATGATGCCTGAGGGCCCTTTGAACACATTCCCAAACTTTCTCTTGCCAAATGTGCCATTTAAAGGAAATATGGCATGCAAAAATTATAAATTGAATTAAAATATTTTTAATATTTCTCCATAAACCCTTTATACTTGCCCAAATCTCTTCAATAATCACTTTTAAAGTATAAAACTATGCTTATTATGACTCCTAAAGTGTTTCTGAGTCGTTTCCTGAAAAGTCGATTTTTGACCCAAATTTGCAAAAAAAGTAAGGCTAACCCCTTACATTTTTTCAATTTTGGCCAAAAAATGAAATTGCGTGAAACTTGCTAGGATGATGCCTGAGGGCCCTTAGAACACATTCCCAAACTTTCTCTTGCCAAATGTGCCATTCAAAGGAAATATGGCATGCAAAAAATTATAAATTGAATTAAAATATTTTTTATATTTCTCCATAAACCCTTTATACTTGCCCAAATCTCTTCAATAATCACTTTTCCGGTATAAAACTATGCTTATTATGCCTCCTAAAGTGTTTCTGAGTCGTTTCCTGAAAAGTCGATTTTTGACCCAAATTTGCAATAAAAGTAAGGCTAACCCCCTTACATTTTTTTCAATTTTGGCCAAAAAATGAAATTGCATGAAACTTGCTAGGATGATGCGTGAGGGCCCTTAGAACACATTCCCAAACTTTCTCTTGCCAAATGTGCCATTCAAAGGAAATATGGCATGCAAAAAATTATAAATTGAATTAAAATATTTTTAATATTTCTCCATAAACCCTTTATACTTGCCCAAATCTCTTCAATAATCACTTTTCCAGTATAAAACTATGCTTATTATGCCTCCTAAAGTGTTTCTGAGTCGTTTCCTGAAAAGTCGATTTTTGACCCAAATTTGCAAAAAAAGGAAGGCTAACCCCTTACATTTTTTTCAATTTGGGCCAAAAAATGAAATTGCATGAAACTTGCTAGGATGATGCCTGAGGGCCCTTTGAACACATTCCCAAACTTTCTCTTGCCAAATGTGCCATTCAAAGGAAATATGGCATGCAAACAATTATAAATTGAATTAAAATATTTTTAATATTTCACCATAAACCCTTTATACTTGCCCAAATCTCTTCAATAATCACTTTTCCAGTATAAAACTATGCTTATTATGCCTCCTAAAGTGTTTCTGAGTCGTTTCCTGAAAAGTCGATTTTTGACCCAAATTTGCAAAAAAAGGAAGGCTAACCCCTTACATTTTTTTCAATTTTGGCCAAAAAATGAAATTGCATGAAACTTGCTAGGATGATGCCTGAGGGCCCTTAGAACACATTCCCAAACTTTCTCTTGCCAAATGTGCCATTCAAAGGAAATATGGCATGCAAAAAATAATAAATTGAATTAAAATATTTTTAATATTTCTCCATAAACCCTTTATACTTGCCCAAATCTCTTCAATAATCACTTTTCCAGTATAAAGCTATGCTTATTATGCCTCCTAAAGTGTTTTTGAGTGATTTCCTGAAAAGTCGATTTTTGACCCAAATTTGCAAAAAAAGGAAGGCTAACCCCTAACATTTTTTTCAATTTTGGCCAAAAAATGAAATTGCATGAAACTTGCTAGGATGATGCGTGAGGGCCCTTAGAACACATTCCCAAACTTTCTCTTGCCAAATGTGCCATTCAAAGGAAATATGGCATGCAAAAAATTATAAATTGAATTAAAATATTTTTAATATTTCTCCATAAACCCTTTATACTTGCCCAAATCTCTTCAATAATCACTTTTCCAGTATAAAACTATGCTTATTATGCCTCCTAAAGTGTTTCTGAGTCGTTTCCTGAAAAGTCGATTTTTGACCCAAATTTGCAAAAAAAGTAAGGCTAACCCCTTACATTTTTTTCAATTTTGGCCAAAAAATGAAATTGCATGAAACTTGCTAGGATGATGCCTGAGGGCCCTTAGAACACATTCCCAAACTTTCTCTTGCCAAATGTGCCATTCAAAGGAAATATGGCATGCACAAAATTATGAATTGAATTAAAATATTTTTAATATTTCTCCATAAACCCTTTATACTTGCCCAAATCTCTTCAATAATCACGTTTCCAGTATAAACCTATGCTTATTATGCCTCCTAAAGTGTTTTTGAGTTATTTCCTGAAAAGTCGATTTTTGACCCAAATTTGCAAAAAAAGTAAGGCTAACCCCTTACATTTTTTTCAATTTTGGCCAAAAAATGAAATTGCACGAAACTTGCTAGGATGATGCCTGAGGGCCCTTAGAACACATTCCCAAACTTTCTCTTGCCAAATGTGCCATTCAAAGGAAATATGGCATGCAAAAAATTATAAATTGAATTAAAATATTTTTAATATTTCTCCATAAACCCTTTATACTTGCCCAAATCTCTTCAATAATCACTTTTCCAGTATAAAACTATGCTTATTATGCCTCCTAAAGTGTTTTTGAGTGATTATCTGAAAAGTCGATTTTTGACCCAAATTTGCAAAAAAAGTAAGGCTAACCCCTTACATTTTTTTCAATTTTGGCCAAAAAATGAAATTGCATGAAACTTGCTAGGATGATGCCTGAGGGCCCTTAGAACACATTCCCAAACTTTCTCTTGCCAAATGTGCCATTCAAAGGAAATATGGCATGCAAAAAATTATAAATTGAATTAAAATATTTTTAATATTTCTCCATAAACCCTTTATACTTGCCCAAATCTCTTCAATAATCACTTTTCCAGTATAAAACTATGCTTATTATGCCTCCTAAAGTGTTTCTGAGTCGTTTCCTGAAAAGTCGATTTTTGACCCAAATTTGCAAAAAAAGTAAGGCCTAACCCCTTACATTTTTTTCAATTTTGGCCAAAAAATGAAATTGCATGAAACTTGCTAGGATGATGCCTGAGGGCCCTTAGAACACATTCCCAAACTTTCTCTTGCCAAATGTGCCATTCAAAGGAAATAAGGCATGCAAAATATTGTAAATTAATTTTTTTTTTATATTTCTCCATAAATCCTTTATACTTGGCCAAAACTCTTCAATAATCACTTTTCCTGTATGAAAGTATGCTTATTATGCCTCCTGAAGGGTCTCTGAGTTGTTTCCTGAAAAGTCGATTTTTGACCCAAATTTGCAAAAAAAGTAAGGCTAACCCCTTGCTTTTTTTTTCAATTTTGGCCAAAAAATGAAATTGCATGAAACTTGCTAGGACGATGCCTGCATGCCCTTAGAACACATTCCCAAGCGTTCTCTTGCTAAATGTGCCATTCAAAGGAAATATATGGCATGCACAAAATTGTAAATTGAATTTAAACATGCTAATATTTCTCCATAAATCCTAACAGGACCTATACAATTCGATCTTGTTTCAAATCTTTAAAAGTTTTGATCACTTTTGGGCTGAAAGATACACAATAAATGAAAATGACGGAATGTCAGGGAAGAGGGCATTTCCTCATCGATTTACTAGACTAAAATCCGCTTCTGATCAAGTCAAGGTTGGCAGACGACGCACATATCGACGCACGTGTGTACAAAATGGTAAATGCAACAATCACAAACTTTGTCGAGAAGTATTACCTGAATGTGAACTAATAACAGATGCACACCGACAAAGTTTAATCCGGTTATTAGTTCACATTCAGGTAATACTTCTCAACAAAGGTAAAAGTTGTGAAATTAACGCAGGTATGAAAGTTAACCAGTTAACAATCAAACTATTATACCGCCCTCTCTTGATTTGGTTCTGAATTTTTACAGATGGCATAAAACTTGTATACCGCCCTCTCTTGATTGGGTTCTGAATTTTTACAGATGCCATAAAACTTATATACCGCCCTCTCTTGAGTTAAATAATACCGCTTGCAAGAAAAACGATCAGGTAATAAATTCTTGCTTTTTTGTCCATTTGTTAAGAACTCTTACCTGAATGTGAACTAATTTAACAGATGCACACTGACATAGTTTGTGATTGTTGCATTTACCACTTTGTACAACGGGTGCAGGTAAAAATTAAACTTTCAATCGCATTCGCAGCGTGTCATCACAGGCCGGGGGGGGGGGGGGGGGGGCGCTGTCTGTCTTTAGAATCATGTTGAATAAATCCAATTAGGCCTAGGCGGCCTATATTCAATCTTACAAATTAAATTAACTGTCTTTTAACATTTTATGGTCTCGATCACTACTGAAGGCCCAATCACAGTTATACAAGGCAACTTTACATTTGCCCTAGCTTGAGTGACTCCAGCTGACATGCTCGCATGTCAGCTGGAGTCACTCAAGCTACATTTGCCCCATCCTAATTCAACATTTCGACAAATTCTCGATGAGCAATGCCGGAGCTGGACTGGAGTTACTCAAGAACAATTGAAATGGATTTCCCTTCTTATTCCTATGTTAATTTTTGTAGCAGCCTAAGCAGAATGGGGAATGCATTGAAGATGGGCGTACGGACTGTCCAGAGGTTTAATGCAGAGAATCGAGCCCATAGGTTATTGGATAAAGACAAGATACGATCGGCACCGAGACACCCGACCACTGCAAAAGAAATCCAGGAGTTGCAGCAAAGTAAGACAGGTGTATTTTGCTTGATTGATTGATTGATTGTGGTCAAATGTCCATAGTGTTCAACTCGAGTGCCGTGGTACGTAGGCTCAAACCCTGACAGGGAACATGGTGCTTGTGTTCTTGGGCAAGACACTTTACTACCAGTACCATTGCCTCTCTCCACCCAGGAGTATAAATGGCACCTGTGAGGGTAGAGACCAGAATGCCCTGACCTCGAGCTGCTGCAAAAACTGGTTTCATGGCCTGATAAACAGGGGTAACAGGTGCTTTAATATATTATAATTATTATTAGTAACTCTCTGGTAGTGACATCCTTGTCCTCTTGTCAAAGCCATGCTTTCTGTCTTTTTCCTTCAGAAAACCCAGATGTCTTGGAGCAGCAACAGAAAAAGGACGAGAGACTGTTGGGATTCCTACAGAACATTAGGGTGGACTCGATGGACCCAGAACAGCAGAAAGTAAGCGATAACATGTCTTCAGGATCATGAGTAAACGTCAGTGACGTAGCTAGGGTTCAGTTTGCAGGGGGTAAGAAGGGGTGCCTCATTATCGGAAGGGGGGCATTAAGGGGGGGGGGGGGGGGACAGAGACTACAAGACGTGGAGGGCAGCCCCTGCCACCCCCTTAGTATGACAGCAGTAAGTTGCTGATTCCAGTTGTCTTGAGTGAGATTTAGGAACTCCAAACTCCTAATTTGTGTTGTGTTGTCGTCTCATGTAAGGTAACAATGTAAACACAAGATATTTCATTCTATAAAATAACTTTTTAGTTACAGCCTGAGGAAACTACAGAGCCGAAACCGTCAGTGTCCAAAATGCACCGCACGCTGCCCTCAAACAGAAAGCCGCTAGCTGAAGCTACGACGATGTTTGAAGTGCCCGATGAGGTGCCGGAGGGGCGACTGACAGTGCCCATGGCTATGGAGATACTTGCCAAACACAAACGCAACCCTAAGGTAAACAGTAGGTTGAGCAGAGACGTTAGTGGTGGGACTTGAACCTGCGACCTCTGCGAAAACTGTACAAGTGTTCTACCTACATAATGCATAATTTATTTTTTTAAGAATTGAACTTACTTTTGTTTTTGTTTTTGTTTTTTTTTTCCCCCCTCCTGTAGGAATGGCCAGTAGAGAGATTAGCCACAGATTACAAACTCGATTTGACCGACACCCAAAACATCCTGGAGTATTTCCAGTCCTTCAAAGTCATCCCGATAGAGAGCAGCCCCAATCCTCCCCCTGTCCGCCTCATGGGAAGGTGATGAATATGCAATGATATGTAAATGAGGTCATTTAGGGTTGCACCACCTACTAGTGGGGAGGAGCTATGATTAAGTGTAATATATGTGTGTAAGAAAAGAAACCATGTGCAAAGGTCATGTGATGTATACCATGTGATTAAAGTGTAAACTTATTTTGGAATAATTAGTTCAAACTTTTTTCAAGAAAGCAGCCGATGTCTTCCTTACACAAGTTCCCAAAATAGCTCAACAGAAAAAAACATGGTTCCTGGGATTTCAAACGGAATAATATCTGAAGGTGATTATCTTCACGAGTGGTATAAATAAAATTCAGTGGCTAGCTTTGAAGAATGTCTAAAACAGTGTCCAGACATCCCAGATGTCAAAATTTCATCACCATGAATATTTTTGTGTTCCCAATTGGTGTGTGCTTTTAAACACCAGGTATTTTAATGCCTTCATTTGAAGCAAATTTATATTGCCCTTATTGCATTGTTTTTAAATACAACAATCGGTTTTGTATTTAAATTTGGTTGGAATTTTCAAATGGTTTCAACCAGGTAATATTTGAAAGAAACAAGTTAATAAAAAGGCCAACACCTTCACAATGAAGTGAGTGCGTTTCTGTGTATGTATTTCTGGAGTATGTTTAAATATAATCTTATAAATCTGTTCAAACTTGTGCAATGTGTAACGTAATAATTGTTAAAACCAAATTAAACACACCAAAAAACCAAAAAAAAAATATACATAGCCTTCCTTTTTCGTTTAATAAAATTTATTTTTAGAACTTTTTACTCTGTCACAGGCCTTTTTTTGTTTAAAAAAACCAACATAATTTTAAACAAAAAATGTGAGGTAAAATTTACGCAATATACGAGCAACACAATGCCAAAATTACATACATTATTTTTTTCACCAACAGTCAAAGTAGAATATACCTTGACTGTATTATTTCTATATAATACTATTACTGAGATACAAACGATCTCAAAAGTCACATTTTTGTGTAAGTTTGTCGGAATCTTTTCAGAATCCTGCAAAAGAGAGAGAAAAAAAAAACATCGTTTGAAAAATTTGGTTAATAGGAAGCATTAGTGGTCGAATCTGTACAGTTTAAGGCATCATCGGGTTTGTTATTCAACAAAATGAAATGCTACAAATTAACCAACACCAGAAATAGTGCAAAAAAGTACTTAAATTATGAAAATGGCCTTCTAGTGCTGTGATGCGTTTGTGAAAGTACTGACGTTAATCGTGAGGGTTAGTTTCAACTCCATGATTTTAAGAATTCTGGTGATAAGCTACAATCCCGGCCAAAATGGTTGGGACACTTCCTGAGCCTTCCACGGTCACCCACTCCCCTGCTCCCCCGGTCAATGTTGTTCTCTCCAGCAGACGGAGCACACACCGCGCAATGAGAGACAATATTGAACGGGTTGGGGGCTGCGGGGTTGGGGGCCCAGCGAGATTTGGCCAGGATTGTAGATTTGTGTTCATAGAACTCAATTTTGTGCACACAGATTACAAATCTAGATTCTCTGAAAAAAGTACTGCTCTCTAAAATGTGAATAGACGGTTGGCACTGCAGCCATGTTTGAGGTGTGTGCTTTTGTTCAACAGGGATATGCATGAGCAGGCCTCTTGAACATTCATTGTTAATGAATTATCATAACAAAACACACCTCAAAGATGGATGCCGAATGCAACTCGTCTATAGGTTTGAACATTTTCTGAAGTGAATAAATACCCATCTAATGTACATGTTATGTATCATTCATAAAGAAATGACCATATCAAGCAACCAAATTCAGTGTGGTATACTATAAAACAATATGTTTCATACACTGGTCAGACGCTTTGGGAAGTACAATGTAATATCCTATGTACTTAAGTTTTACTGGTCGATGTTCCGTAGTGTAGACGGAATTTCATGATGTCATATTTTGGGTTGCATGTATTTTACTTATCGCTCACTGCCACTCAATTTGATGCGTGAATTACTTTGCAGTAATTATGATGTCATGAAAATTCCATCCAATCCATTACGCTATCACTGAAGGCCCCCTTAAATGGCGAAAGCATTGTGCTAGCTATTGTTCAGATAATCCGTCATGGGCAGTTGCTTTGTACAATAGCTGGCAGAATGCTTCCACCATTAAAGGGGGCCACTGTGACGTACAGTGATGTTGTTAAGCATGCATGCTTGGATTGGTCAACAGAAACACCTGTTGATTGGTCAACAGAAACACCTGTTTTTAAATACAAAACTACACGTTTCAATACCCTACTTTGTTTAACTTACAGCGATCAAAACACTCCCGCTTTTGACATACTTAGCAAGGCTGCATCAATGCGTGTTTCTTTGTACAGACGAGTGACCAGCACTCTTTTCTTGTTAATCAAGCAAGCGGCGCTAGCAAAATAGCAAGAACTTTGTGATTAGTAACTTAAGATTGTATTGATAGCATCCAGGTTGTGCGACTAGTGAAGAAATCCCCAGTTAACAGTAAGGTGTTGCTTATGCAGTGCTTTTTACTTTGTCTCAAAATGCTTTGTAGTCCTTCATAAGGGCCTGCAATCTAGATAACATCCATTTAGTAAATAAAAGTACCTTTTTTAGACTTGATATGATAATGGGACTTGAAACGAACTTTCATGCTCGATCCATATATTTCTTTTCGTTGAACCAACACAAAAACATCAATGGCAAAGTGCAAATCTCATTATCATGGAAGTACTTTTACTTTTGGGAGTTGTTTAACCCTAACCCCTTGACTGATTTTTTTTTTAGGAACCTTCCTCACTCCTGCAAATCCCAACACCATATGGTAACTCAACAACGTCAACCAAACTGTTGGACTCTGATCATGGTAGTACGCCTGACCCATAAAGCATAATCAGTTTACCAGTGCAGTACTCACTCCCACAGATCCCAACAAACCCTGGTGTTGGAGTTTGACTGGGCGGGGATTGTATGGGAATTGTTAAGATTAATGGGTTGGGATTCGACATACTAATGCTTTATCATGGAAGCAAAATGTTTATTTTCAATCCTGCTTTTACTGAATGATATCATATTTCTGGACAATATTCTCTTTTAGTATTTTCCTATCTCACCGAGGTGACAATGAGGAAATAATTTTTTTTTTCTGAATAGGTGAATTCCCGAGGATTGTAAATTATGTGTTTTAATTATTTACTGTTTAAGCAATGAATTTGAGAATAAATATTCAACAGTCGTTCAGCCTGGATGTTATCAATTCTTATAAGATTTATAAAAATTCAGATACAAATGCAAGAATTACGCTTAATTATTCCATTCATGATGTCAAGGACACAGTGACAAAACAAACAGCGAGGCAATACGAGCCATAGTCAGGTTCCCATCCACAAATGTGCACTTTGTAGTGCCAAGGGGAGTTGGGAGGCAGACCTGGGGTGTCCTCCACATGTACAAACATTGCCAGAAATTGCTAATGTTGCAAAATTTCTGTTGGATATGCACAAAGAAGCCCTGGCAATGTTTGTGCAAATAAAACACACCTCAGGCTTGAACACAATTTCGAATAAAAATCATCGACGTGCCTGTCAATACAGAAGAGATGTTTAACTTTGTACAGAAGTTGGAGACAGCTATGCTTTTAGGGTTTAATAAACAAACAATGTACACAACATTATCACAGGGGGGGAAATGATACAAATCGGTTGTCTGTACACAAATACAACACAAAGCCTTTGGCTCTGCAGCAGTATTATTATACAATATAAGACTCTATTATGAACAATTGGTCGTTCTGTTCAAATATTATTGCCCTTTCGGTCTGTACAGTCATGTACACTTTCTCATCTTGAACCATGTATACAAACATTTGCCAATTAATTTTGTCCTCTTTTTCGGTTAAATTTTATACCACACCAGCAGTTTAACAGGAGCAGCAGCGACGAAAGAAAATTTACCACAAGACTGCAAGAAATCACTAACCAGAGTTTAAACTGTCACCCCACGGGCAAGATATGGATACAGGTTTTCTTGTGCTTATGGTAACCACCCTTCTTCTTAGAGCTGTAATCAAGTCAAATCACCAGTCAAATCACCAGTCAAATCACCAGTCAAATCACAAGTCAGGTTGCAAGTAACAGGGGATAAATGATGGCCAAAGAACTCACTGTGGCATAGTGAGTTCAAAAAACTTTTCCTTGTGACTCAAGACTGGACAACTTGTGATTGACATGTGATTGACATGTGACTGACTTGTGATTGACTTGTGACTGACTTGTGACTGACATGTGAATGACTTGTGAATGACTTGTGACTGACATGAGATTGACTTGTGATTTGGCTTGTGATTGACATGTGACTGACTTGTGAATGACATATGACTGACTTGTGAATGACATGTGACTGACTGGTGATTGACTTGTGATTCACATGTGACTGACTTACAACTGACATGTGATTGACTTGTGACTGACCTGTGATTGACTTGGGATAGCTTGATCGATTACAACTCCTAATAAAACGTTGCTTGAATGTTTTTAGTACAGTTTTTAGTACTGTTGGATATTATTTGCAAACTCAATTGGTTATATTTGAATAATACATGGCCGTTTTCTGCTACCATGTTTTGAAAACACGTTAAAAAATGAATCCTTGCTGTTGAAGACAAGTGGGACAGATACATTCAAGAACAGTTCTCTGAACAGCGCCCTCCATTGTCCATGAACAACAAGGTTTGAAGAAAGGTGGTCACCAAAGGATCGATTCTTGTATCATCAAACTACATCTTACTAAATATTTAAGACCCAAACTAAACTGTTCCAAAACCCATCCTTTACTGGGAGCCAACACTAAAGCACATGGTAATTACAATTTTAATACGGTGTCTATATACACGACATATATAACATTAATTTTTTGCATGCTGGCTACAATATAACTTGTTTTCATTTTGAATACTCTATTTACATTTTTGTTGTTTTTACAAACGACATTCAAAAGGCAAAGACTGTTAATTTACACTCTATGTTGTGTGTAGCGAAATACAAATTTGTAAGAAATTGAATGCTGACCACAATTTATGGTTCAACTTAACAACTTCCCTCTGATCAACACGAGAAAAAAAAGGTCGTTTAATTTATAACTTTCGTAAAAAATAAGGTTTGACAAAAACTTGTAAGAAACCTGCATAGCAAATTCTGTAGAATTGCTTTCTTATTGTTAAACTGACAAGTTGCCGAAACAAAATTGTCATTGAAAAATTACTGCAGTATAGGTGATGATACCGTTTCAGTGCGGCATATTGTTTGAACTTCATTTCAACAACGAAAAAAGAGAAAAAAATTGGAGGATAAAATAAATTAATCTGAAAGTAAATTTCACTGAATCCAATTTCTAAAACGAAAATTTAAGTATAATGTACAAGTTTCTGAATGCAATGGTGTATTTGAACCAACACCATTATGTGCAGAATATAACTTAAAAACCGATGGAAAAAAAAATAATATAACGACCCCACTGTTCAACGAACAAGAAACATGCCATTCCAATTTTTTCCACTTTCACAACCACATACAGCAGATCCTCAGTTAGACTGGAAGAGTTCACAATTATTCCCATGACGAAATTCTTTAGAAGAATGTCAGGAATTTTCCATTAGCCGCAGCCACATATTTATACATACACTGGCTTCTTTGTGGGAAATATACACGCACACAATTGGGTCAACTGCTGTCTGGTGTTCTGGGTGATTTTTTTTCTTCATTATTATTAACAGTCCTTCATTTTATGAAAGACTTAATTTTCAACATTTTTTTGGTGAAACATTTTGATTATTAAAATTTACTTTAAAAAAATGAAAGGAGATCTCGTTTTTGTAGTCATCAGATTTGTACTAGGGACTTCTCATGAATATGGCCATCTGGACTGCAAAAGAAATTTGGTACTTTTCACAATTTAAAACAAAACTGCCTAAAGTTCCAATCCAATCCAATCCTGAGTTGAACTCATTTTCAAGTCTGGAGAATTTCTCGGCGAATGTTTCGCCTTGTATTCACATTCGCGTGAAGTACGACCCAGCCTTGGAAAGAATGTTGCATCCCGACGCCACTTTCTTTCATCATATAAATTATCTCCGCAAAGGTCAGTCATTGCAAAAAATTTGAAAAGACATGAATCTGGTTCTGAAAAACATGTCCAATTTTGTAAGAAAATACTTTGAAAATGCACTCAACTCTCCATAAACGTTGTACACAACCAAAGAAGAGGCGTCTGGATACTACATTCTTTCCCTTGTCTTTAGTCTGGGCAAGTGATTTAAAGTATCTTTCCGGATCATAATTTTTTTAACAAAGCCAATTGCTACTTCATCATTTGAAGCGACTCGTGACGAGTTGGCTACATTCTTAAGGCAGTGCTCAAAGGATGCCCAAGACACATCAGCATCGGGCAGGCTTCGGGCAAACAGCCTCATCTGACTGTAAGCTTAGACTCGTTACTCGTCGAATTCAAATATGATTTACGAAATAGTAACTTGACTCTCATGTCTCATATTAGCACCATTACAGTCCAGACATGTCAGAAAAAATTTAAATTTGTTTTCTTCAGTTTTTGGATATTAGTGTTGTAAAGGCCCTTTTTAATATTTCATTTTGAAATTGATTTTCAATTTAGAAAATTAAGACTCAAGTCTAATATTAGGACCATTACAAAACAGTCCAGACATGTCAGGAAGAGTTTACATTTTTTTTTTCAGTTTTTGGATTAAGTGTTGTATAGGCCATTTTTAATTTGTCATTTCGAAATCGCTTTTCAATTTTGAAATCGCTCAAAAGGTGTGGCATCGTCTTTTAGTGTAATAGGGAAAATTCAAAAGCTATACCTGTGGTTGTTTGGAAAGTTTGGAACTGATTGACCTTGTAGAAATGCAATACAAGGAGAATTAGGAATAACTTTTTTTTTAATATATAATTTATATTTTTCTTGTTCTTTGATTCATTATTTTTTTCATGTATATTTCTATAAAGGCTAGGCATGGACACCAATATTTTGATGGGTTTGTTCACATGCCAGGTCTCAAGAACCAAAACTCTTGCTGAAATGAGTGAAAGGAAAGAAAACCAAACTACTGCGTGTATTTCTCATACATAGACGGGCTCCTGGGCTTCACTTTGACTGTCACGTTTGGATGCATCGTCTTGGTTGGTACCCTTCACACCGCTCCCGTTCATTAAGTCCTCGACGGGTTCCGGGTACGGGTACCCGCCGTCGTCAAAGAACCTCCGGAAGGTGAACTCGAAGAAGGCGTGCTCGGGATGCTTCCCATTCTCCAGACCGCTACTGGTGGGTCTGCTCTTGCCGCAGCTCGGGTAATCATCCCAGCTGTCGCCGCTCGAGTTAGAACCCTGGTGGCGATCTGAGTCAACAGGGTCAAAGTTGGACGTGTCCGTGGCGTAGCGGATGGTGGGCCGGTAGGGGGCGCGGGTCTTGCGCAGGTTGGTGCTGAAGTCGATCCCATCAAAGAACGGGTGGTGCTTGATCTCGTCGGCTCCGTAGCGGGTGTCCTGGTCCCGGCAGAGGCAGAGGATCAGGTCCGTGGCCTCGCCGGAGAGCTTGGCTTGGGAGGGGATGTGAAGCGTGGTGGGCCAGTTGATCACCTGAAATAAGAAACAAAGTTGGAACTCCTGAAACCAAATGCAAAACAAATAGACAGGGCACCTGACAAGTCCTATCTGTCCGTAAAACAGCACATGTCTGATCACCCTAGAATGCATAACAAGAACAGATTGAAGGTGAAAACTCTGCCAAGTTCAGCAGGAACTTAAGTTAGCAACTTCACAAATGCCATACCACATTCCACTCCCATTTCTGCAACATACACTTCATACACAATTTAATTCTAGATCAACAACAGCCAGGAATCTAAACTGTGGTGGGAAATCAAAATTTGGAATACCCCAATACATAACCTGAAGTCGTTATTTGTCACATACTATGGGTGTTTTTTAAAATACAATTACTTAGCTACAGCCAGCAGTGATATAAGCGTCTATTCGCTCTTTTCACACTTCCGCAATGGGCATGCACAGCCTCGATCACAGCCTTTCACATCAAGCTCAAAAAAAAATCTAGACAAGTAAAAAATGTAAAAAATTCGGGTAAAATCTTTAACGATGCACCCACCTTCCACTGTGTCTCTGCTGGACTGTCTGCATGAAACGGCGGTTGACCCACCAGCATCTCATACAAGATGACTCCTACACTCCACCAGTCACACTTCTGTGTGTAGCCTGTGAATGTGAAAAAACAATAATGGAAAATACTGACATGAAACAGCAGTCTATTATCAACAATAAGCACATATATAAAAGCTGTATGAAACAATTGAATGTTGAGATGTTCAAGCACAACACAATTTGTTTATGTTAAAGGTAATATACAACATTTGCTTTTCCTGTAATTTTCAGAAATGGATGGATTTGGGGGTTAGTACTCATGGATGTGTAACCGATTGTTAACTAAATTTGGTAAATTGGGGGCAGTATTTATAAAAGAAAGTCATTTTTTCCCAACGATAGTCGGCTGACCATAGTTAGAAATTGATAGAAAAATGCACTTTTCTTGGAAATGACAGCACACTAGATACCATGATTTCTCAAGATGCTTGAGACTATTGTTTACAGTCAAGTAAGATATTTCATAATAATTTGGTAGTTTTGTTTTTTGATGTTTGCATATGTTGTATATTACCTTACAGATTATTATTTTATCCATCAGAAGGGTTTAGAATATTTTCAGGACTGACGCAGGCAGCACCTGGCCACTTTAACTCCTTACAGCGTCATGAAATTTGAAAGAATATATATCATAAGGTTCAGAGCAGAGGTTGATTTTAAAGGATTCTGAAACTTCCTAGAACCAAATTGCCTTGAAAGTTAGGGTGAATATCTCACAAAAGTACGATGGGGTACTGACCGACTCTTAGGAGGACCTCAGGGGCGATGTAGTTGGGGGTGCCAACCAGCGAGTGGGCCTTGCATCTTTCTTGTTGCCTCTTGCGTCGTCGCTCCAGCGTCTTCATCCGCTGGCCTTGGACCTTGAACTCCCCATTCTTGTTGCTGTCCTTGGGTGAGTCAATGCAGCGGCAGGGGTCTCCCCACTCCTCGCTGGGCTCCATGCTGTCCTGACGACTGTGACCCTCTGTTGAGAAAGAGATCATTTAGAACTTTAAAATTAGGTATCCCCTTCGCCGACATTATTTTATTGGTATTGCATGTATACAGGGTGAGTTAAAAAAAAGGGAAACCCAAATGTCAGGACCTTTTTTTTAATGAAGTTCTGCATGTAGCACTTTCAAAATCTAGGATACGAAAGCCTAATTAATAAGCTTTCTTTTAGTACAAGAATCATACCAATCCCTCATGTACTTTTCAAGTTAAAGAATTTTAAACACAAACACCGGTTTAAACTTCTGTCAACGGATCACAAAAAGTGAAGTGTTCTTTCAGCGAAACGAAAACAATTCACATACATGTTCATCCCTATGAGCTCCTTCTAACGAGCGCAGACATCTTGCCAGTTTCTACTGGACAACCTGGCTTGTTTGGGTTGGCTAGCCAATTTCAATCCTGTTCTTAAAGCAACTCCTAACACAGATGTCCATTAACCCTAACCTCCTCAACTCCAACAAAATCCATCCCCCCATTTTGGTGGATTTTGGGGGACTTGGTCCTGCAGGCCTGGTTTGATTTAATATTGATGGAGTACTGGAGGCTTAAAGCAAAGCATGCATTGGAAGCAGTGTGATTGATGGATTCTAGCGGATCTGCTCCAATACTTAGTAAAAGACAGTAGGGAGTTAGAGTTAGGTTGTAAGGGTAAAAACGAAGTATTAAATCTACTGTCGAATATTTTTGCAAAAAAAAATAGCTATTGACAAAAAAAGTGGCACCTGACAATTAAACGACACAACATACATAACATTACAGTCAAGTTTGTATATAGATTTTTTGTTTTCGAATATTCAAACCGGCAAAAAGCTCTTGGAATATTCAGTTGATGGTCAAATATTGGAGTATTTAGTACATTCAGGACAGCCCTACTTACAATCTTGAGGACTAATTTGTGAGCAATGGGCTCCATGCGCAAACAAAACTTTTTTTAACCACTTTTGAGAGCGACGTGGATGGAACATACCGCGTGTGCTTACTGGTTCGTGCGCATGCAAAGCAATAGTGTCTTTGCAATAGTGTCTTTGCATGAGCGTCAGGCGTCGTAGCCAATGCGTTCTGTCTCCCAAGTGGGCTCTCCCTAACCCTCCCTTTCTTTCCTCTGACAGGAACTTATGCACGGAGCCCATAGGTCAATGGATCTTAAAGAATTAAAAGATGAGAACTTACGTTTCTGGTAGTACTTGGAGTCATGAGTCCACCTGAACCCTGTGCAGAGTCCAAAGTCGGTCAGTTTGATGTGGCCGTCTTTGTCAATCAGCACGTTGTCCGGTTTGATGTCCCGATGGATGAAGCCCATCTTGTGTACGCTCTCAACGGCCAGCACAAGCTCTGCAATGTAGAAATTGGCCAGGTCTTCCTGAAAGATCTCTAATCGGATCAGGAGGCTCATAAGGTCTCCTCCGGGGATGTAGTCCATAACAAAGTACAAGCTCTCATGATCCTGGAAGGAGTAGTAGAGCTTGACGACCCATTCGTTGTCAGCTTCTGCAAGGATGTCTCTCTCTGCTTTGACATGAGCTACCTGATTGCGCTGTAAGACCTCCGCCTTCCGCAAGGTCTTGATGGCATACAGCTGCCGCGTGTCAATCTTCCGGGCCAGGTTCACCTCCCCGAAGGCCCCGACGCCAAGACGCTTGATTCTCTTGAAGAGGCTCTTTTGCATCTTGGCCCGCCTGAGTCTGATGTAGTTAGACTCTTTCTGGTTCAGCATGAGCCTCATTTGATCCTGGGCCTCCTCCGAAAGGCTGACTCGGGCCATTTCATTCTCAAGCTGCATCCGGCGATTAAGTCGTTGTCTGTAGGACTTCATGATGTTCTCAACATGCTGCTCCATGTAGAATTTATACGCTTGAGGTGAGTAGGACTTGACGCGTGACTCAAATTTGTCAATGTCTCTCCCCTTGTTCTTTCTCTCAGGGACTGGCGATTCAATTTTTTGTTTCTCCTGTGGTTCTTCCAGAGCACCAGTATTTCTTACTTCGCTACCCGTGTCTGAGGTTGTGGATGCCGTTGATATTTCAGACAGTGGCGGAGAGACAGGTCTAGGGGGAGGGGATTCGGACCTGTTAGAGCTCTGAGTGCTTTGGGTGCTTAAGGTGCTGATGGTGTCTGGTGAGGGTCCTCTTTGAGGTGGTGGTTGATCAGGACCGTGGGCAGTTTGCAGAACAGGCTTTGGTACAACAGTACTTCGCACTGACTGCATTACAGGTCCCGTGTAGGCACTTATAGGTAAGGCAGTGGTGGTGTTAGCAGCTGCAGGTTGTGGGGGAGAGATCTTCCTGACGGGAGCACCTGACGGCATTGTGACAGAGCCATACTGGGCCTGCATAGCTCCAGTTTGGGGCAGTCTGTAGGGTGGGGGTAACTTACCCCCTTCCTCACCGACTCTGGAGATGACGATGGTTAAGGCGGGTTTGGGCTGAGGGGTCTCTGATGGCGGGGGCTGCTGTTGTTGCTGTTTACTCACAACACTGACATTTTGAGATGTAATTGGTTTAAAGCTGTTGTGATCTGTGTGGTAGGTTTGTTGCTGGATGGACGCACCTGCTGTGTTAGATGGGCTATTGATGATGCGGTGATGAGTACTGGCCTCATAACTAGGAGGTTGTTTCAGAGGTGGCTTGATGATATTAGAGTCCTTCATAAATATATGATGATTGCTGCTAACAAGGTTATCATGACCAAGCCCAGTGGCTGGATTGACTTGGCTGCTGTTGGCTGCTTGTGTCGCTTGGCTCTGAATGCCGGGCTGCTGACGATGTAATGTACTCATCTCGTAACTGGGAGGGGGCTGGGTTTTGTTGATCATGGCATTGATCATGTCCTGATCTAGGAGTTGAGACTGGGGAGCATCAGGAGGCACGATGACAATGTGCGCCGAGCTGAGGTACTGCTCGCTAGACATGCCTTGCTGCTGCTGCAGATGCTGGGCTGTCAGCTGATCAATCGGGGATCTCTTGTGATTCTGACTGACATACTGTTGGCTGCTGTTGCTGCTGGGTTGCTGCTGCGACATCTTACCTTGTGAATACAAACCCTGTTGATGCTTATCCAAGTGGCTGGACTGTGTTAGGTAGGTCTTGGCTGCACGGTACTGAGGTGAACTACTCTGCATGTTGTAGACCGGGTTCTGATCAGCGAGAGTGAACTCCTTCCCAACGGTATAAGTTGTCGTCGTTGTTGATGTTACCCCATAGTAACATTGTGCACTCTCTGTTTTGGTCTGCCTTGTGAAGCGGTATTCATCAGGATTCAGAGAGCTCGGCGAGGCACTTGAGATGCCTGAGTCACTGCCTGTGGAGTATCTATTGGTGTTGACGCTGCCTCTGTGATGTACACTGCCATTGGATCCTTGTGAAGGTGAGTAGTACATTTGATTCTGTTCCATTTGGGTTCCTATTCTCCCGATGCCTGCGTTTATACTTTGGCTTGTGCCTACCGATGTGCGTATATCAGTTTGAGTCCTGTCTGTGCTGATGCCTTGTCTGCTTCCGGGTCCTTGCAAAACCACAGACCTTCCTATATTGTAGTCTCTGAGCTGCCCTTGTGTGCTGGAGCTGGGGGTGACCCCAATACTACCCGGCATGTGCCTCGTGGGTCCTACAGGAACCAGTCGATGAGTCATCTGCTGGGGCCGACCGGGTGTGTACATGGGTTGGTTGGTCGGGGTTAGCCGGTACTCCCCGCTGGGGGAGGGGACTGAGCCTTGACCAATGTGACCCCCGACGTGATTGGACAGTCCCTGGGACGCCAGGGGCGGGGGAGTCTGCCTCTCCCCAATCACAACATTGGTCGTGTACTGTCTGGCAGAGTACTGCTGCGGAAGGCTCTTGGGATTCTCAAAGGAGTTGTTGCGGGTGACTGGGTTGGAGTTCATGCGGGTGGTGTCTGGTTTGAGGGCGGGGTGGTTGTAGTAGGGTGTGGCATCGGTGCGATAGGTGTCTATGCTGGGTGAACTGCCACCAGATCGATCCTCAAAACTTGTCTTCCGGTGAGCAGGGGCTGACGCTGGAACAAAAATGAGCAGAGAATATTGAAGAAAACAAGTAACTCAACAGATAAGTTCAGCAGTTGAACGAAAAAGTGCACATTACATGCCATTCAAGTTGTCAGATTCCCCATACCAAAATAGATCAGTATGATATTGACCAATTCACACCTGTTGAACACAGTTATTACATTGTAATGACTCCCTGATAAATCCATTACACAGCGCATGGGCAGGTGGGGGAGGTATAGGGAGAAACAGGTAGGGCAGTTTGGGGCCGGCCGTACAGGGAGGGATGGGTTAATTCAATGATGTCTTGTATCTAACCTGACGAAACACGTGAACCTCCGTTCGTCATAAACTTGGCACTGGAAACCAGCGTGTCGCTGCCAGTGTCTTGGGAGGACAGTCTGTTGATGATGGTGTCCACCGCAGCCTCAATGCCCCGATTCTGGCACATCTTTAATGCTCTAGTTGCGACCTCCTGTCAAACAGAATAGAGAGAAATACAATGTATCATATTAGAATAGTACTGAACTTGTATAGAGTGCCCTGTTATCCAGCGAACTTAGACAGATGAGGGTAAAAGGTCACTTTTTCTTAAACACAGTCCAAACAAAATTTTGCCGTGTGCCCTGTGGTGCTCCATGCCTTTGTAAAAATTAAATCCATGAACCCCAATCCTCCAAAATCCTTCAAAATCCACAGCCTTGTTTTGGATGGTTTACATAGGATAATCCCTCAGTCTGATATTTGCAAGCAGCCTGCCTGAATCTTTAAAAAGGTACATACAGTCGACTCTCGTTAGTACAAACTCTGTTAATACAAAATTCTGGTTATAACATAAGGCCTTGGTCCCAACTGTGCATGTATGTGCACAATGAATAGGACTGACGTTCCTCTTAATACAAAATTCTGATATACATGTACATGTAACAAACAATTTGGCTAGAAAAGAACAAGTTTGTATTAATGAGACTCGACTGTACATGTAGAATCATTTGCGTTTTGTGCATTTTTTTTTTTTTTAAGCAACAAAATTGCTCAAAATCTTAAGAAGGGTGCATAACAACTAAGTTGTTTAAGTTTCAGCTCAGTGGATAATATACATGTTGAGAAAAATGAGAAAACACAGATGCACAATTTTGGAGGTCTCATAACTGGATTTTGTTGCTAACCCACGTTAAAAAAACTGTGCCAGTGGCCACACTTTCTTAAACCACCTTCAATGATTGTTTTCTTCCGAATGACACCATTTTAGGCACAATGACTTTACAGGGTGTTTGGTACCAGTCCTATCTTCACTTTGAGCAAGGATTTTCTTGATAAATCGGCGGCATGTTTCCGGGTAATTGTAAATGTTCCTACGTGCCTTTAAAAACCCTCGATTAACTTTTACTGTGAATTGAAACTTGGAATATGAGTTGCACATAATTTGTCAGTTTTAATGGGTTAAGAAGTTGACCCTAACCCCCTAAGGATTCCTCAGGACTACTCTGCTAAATCCAACAGGGTCCAACGGTTAATTCTCGCTCAATCCAACAGAATCCAACTGTGCCTAATTTTTAGCTGTCTGCTGGATCCAACAGAGTCCAACTTGGCGTTATTTATCAGTACCTAACAGAGTTCGACTCTGCTGTACATTTGTATCAGGGGTTTTCTACTCAATGCAACAGGCATATGGAATGGATTCAGCAGGGTTTAATAGTGACAAGATATTTGGTCATAAAGACTTGAATGCCCTTGATATGATTCCACCATTGCCCTTGCATTGCAATCAAGGCACGTGTTCATTTCGCAACATCCCTTTTTCTCTTAAGTTCTCCCTCGGATCGACAGGATTGAGAAATCCCCTCCGCACCTGACACGACCTTCAGCCCGGGTGTAGCAACCGATCAAACAAAGACCAAAAAAACCCTCCAATGAACTTTCGCTTTTACGACAACGTGATGACAAATCTGGCACTGTGATGACAACTTTGACTGGCAAAAGAAACTCAGTCATGCGTTACCGCATTGCCAACCCACATTCAGAAGCTATGAATAGCTGGGACCTTAAGCCCTCTATTCAAACAGGCCCACATAATCCACATTCCAGTATCAGCATTACAATAGGGTAGAATTCGTCATCTTTATACAGAATCTCTGCCCATGGGGTGCAGACAGTGTGTCAGTTTTTTTTTTTAAGCAGTGGCGCTGACATGGAGCATTGTCTTTTTCAGAGACATAAAATTGTCTAAGCATTACATTTGACACCTGTTGATGCTGGACTATCATGGAAACCATGTCAACATTTTGGCTCTGTTCTTCACTTTTCAGAAGTTTGTTTATTGTGTTAATAGGTTCATTTACAATGTTAAAAAAAAAAAAACCTAGAATGAAATTGCAGAAATAACTGAGTATCCGGGTCTTTTCAATGAATTTCTATCAATACGGAATGACTTTGCATGACTGTTCATTCTAGTAATCGGATTCTGCTGTCAATAAAAACTGCTGACTGTTCCTGATTGTTTAGAAATGCCGACGGGGGTTAGCACTTTCCAAAAAATTGAGAAATGAAAAGAAAAAAATCACAAGAACTAATAGCCATACAACTGGCCCTCCCTACATAGGGAACTCCCCTTCAAGACCCCTTCTACAAAAGACCATCAAAATTGGACAGTTAAAATAAAACCCAAATAGTTTCTAACTAATTTCGTATCAATTCCTTATACTGCTGTTGGTCAAAATTATTCAACAGTAAACAGTGAAGGGCAAAACCTAATTTGATTTATATCACCCCGACGCAAAATTCCATCTTATAATAGTAAACACCTGTCCATATTTTCATTCTAGGAAAGGTAAACTCCCCAAATATTACAACCTTGTTTGCAACGTTTAGAAGTTCTGTCTTAATCATACATGACATGATTTTACAGGATGCTTTACACTGTCATTCACTAACAGTCCAGCAAGGTATTTCAAAATGATTTGGTAGTTTTATTTTTTGATGTTTGCAAATGTTGTATTTTCCCTTTAAACAACTTTTAACTCCGACGAATTTCGCAGGGAATGTTGCCTGACATCAAATCTGCTTCTCATTCATGCGAATCATTTACCGGCCTTTACAAAGCTAGTGCTAACTTTCCATGCTGCTGCTGTAAGCACGGAATAGTGATCATTAGCCCTAACTCTCTAGGCCTTGCTAGAATGTAGCCTTAATCCTGCAAAATCCTCCAATTGGCCTCATGGAAAAATAGCATATAGCCTGAATCCTGCAAATTCCTCCATTATTTCTTGAATATGGTCCGTGAAGGGGGGACCACTGCCTGAATCCTGCGGCAGTGACTGTCAATATGTTGAGGCTTGGCCAGTGACATCCTGGAGCAGTACGGAGGATTTCAAGCATAATCCAGGCCTGTATTTATGCATGGCTGAGCAAAAACAACACAAGGTCCGGCCCAAGACCTTGACAAAGTGCATCCTACGAAATCAGTAACGCACTTCTGCCATGCATCCTCTATCCTCCAAATTTCTCCACTTGGGCAAAGAGGATTTTGAAGGATTCAGGGCGGTTAGGGTTAATGCCTAATTTTGTGGTTACCAGAGCCATGAAAAGGGGCCAAGAGTTTCAGCACCCTGGTCCCTAACAATGATAGTGGATACCTCACCTCTTCATAGCCCATACTGACAAGTTGCAGCAGCATCTGCTTGTTGGCGGTCGTTGTCGCTGACGCTGCAGGGCTAGCCATGCCCGAGGTCGACAGGGGTTCCCCAACCCCATTGGGCAGTCCCAGATCGTTCCTAATCTTCTGCAATTTCTGCTGGTGCTCTCCAAATCGTCTGCGCCCCCCAGTGTCCCGCCGTAACACCTCCCCCTGTCCGCCATTGCTGGATACCTCCGGGTTGACGTGCAGGTGCTGTAGCGACTCCCTGATCTCCAGAAGCATTTGCCGGTTGTTGGTGACCATGTTCCGTGGGCGATTCCCCTTCTGCATTTCTCAAATTGTTTTTTTTTTAAGTTAGGGAGGTACCCTGCGGCCCGGTGATTCCTTTTGGTGAACGGTATCTAATCTCTACTATGGCATTCTTTCTGCAACAGAAAAAAAGGAAATCCTGTTAACCTGGGTTCAGTCAGCATAGAGAACAACAAAATTTGACCAAAGTGGGGCTTGAACCTACAACCTCAGGATTAATTTCCAGTGCTCTACCAACTGAGCCATCAATCACTATGTTGGCAGTCTACCAAACGGTCAATATCTTTGTTCAATAATACACATTAGCCCTAACAACCCCCATCCAGTCAAACTCCAACACCAGGGGTTATTGGAATCTGTTAGAGTACTAGTAAACTGATTATGCTTTACATGGGGTTAGGCATACCACCAGAGTGAGTCCAACAGTTTTTGCGTTCAGTTTACCATATGGTGTTGGAATTTGCAGGACTCACTGAGGAAGGTTCCTAGTAAATCACTCCAGGGGGTTACGGTTAATACAACAACTTGGGGCCCAACTGCCAACATGAGACTGGATAGCTCAGTTGGTAGAACACTGGTACAGCGTTCCAGAGGACAAAGGTTCACATCTCTAATATTGAATAAAAATCTAGTCAAATTCCTGTTGTGGTTTATTGCATAACTCACGTTCAAAACATAAAATGCACTTGAATTAAGGTGCTTGTTCTCAGGTACATACATTCCATAAAAACTTCAAAGAACTGCTTCATTTACTCAACACCTGTTCATATTTATTTCCAGGAAAGGCAAATTCCTCAAATATTACAACCATGTCTGCAATGTTTGGCATTACTGTTGTAATCATTCATCAAATGTTCAACAGTCAAGAGAGTTTGCTAGCTTTACAGGTCCAAAAAGAATAGGTTGCATCACACTGGCCACAAGATTATGTGAACTGTTATATTCAAATCTTGGAACACTAACAAACACACACACAATGGAAACATCAAACACATGTTATCAACAGCCCAGTCATTACTTGTCCAAGATTTATAAGCTTAGGCAAATTGACTTATTCACTTATTTGGCACTAAACAAAATCTTGCAGTGCCAACTTTGACAAAAGGTTTCCGAGATGGCAAGCATGTGTGAAATAAGGGCCAACAATCACGTTGAACGAAAGATATGTGATGTGGTTTTCTGGTTAGGTGAACAACGAAGGACTCAGAAAATTCTAACTGCATTTTCTATAGTACATGTATGTACAGTCAGGAGTCAAGTTTCATATAAAGCCAACTACACAGATGCCAACACAACTACACATGTATATCTGACCACATACGTGTACATTGGCGAATAGCGTATTAACCCTAACATAACCCTAGCTTTAGGTGAGGTAATGAAATAGCAGAAAATCATTCCTTGCTTCTAATACCATGTACAGTAAAAAGCCAAGGTCAGGGCATGGCGGTAGAAACCTCCATGGTCCGGGTAACACAATTTTGCTCAAGATTATCTCAAATCACCGAGCAAGAATAATTTTGGAAATATTGGAATTTTGAAACATCAAATTCAAAATTTTGGAATGTCAAAAATTTTGATTAAAAAATGGTGGTTATCCTACTTGGTATGCTGTACATTTCTTTTCTTTTTTAACTGAATTGAACTGCAACCTGTTAATACAGACAAGAAAATTCAATATTCTTGCAAATGTGTAAGATGTTTTGGTCACCAGCACATATCGATTCACCAGTCTGCACAATGCACAAATACTTAAATACTGTATGTTTCCAGCATAATGTTTATCACATAGAAGTGATACACTATTCAGAAAAATATTAGTTTTGATGATCATTTACTGTTACAACTTAACCAACCTGTTGAAAAATATTTTACTACAGCAGTGAAGTTCTCCTATGATATTGACATACAACCACTAAACATAGATCTCATTACTTTTGTAAATTAAATATTTTGAATGATTTTTTTCCCCCCGGATTATATGCAACAGAAGAAAAGCAATGCAGTTCTAATAAGTTAGTACACTATTGATTCTGGTTTTATAAATGGAATTATATGAAACACCAAACTTTTTGGATTTGTTTTATGCGACCTCAGTAAATAAATAATACAGAGGCCTAGGGCTAGGCCTACATTTAATATGGTTAGAGGCCAATTTGAAGCCTCTTTTCAAACTGCATATCATTAGGGTTGTCCCGAATATATCTGATCATCAACCAAACTTTTTTTTCGGTTTAAATATAAAAAAACCCACCAAATTACGAATGTACACACATGACACACGACTGTAAGTGTAATGTTATTTCAATAGTAAAATTGCAGCACTTTACTGTCAGATGCCACTTTTTTTGTCGATGGTAACTTTTTTGTTGACGGTGGTGGTTCATTGTTCCAATCCTTTCTGCAGGTGTAAAACAATCCGGCGGTCCATAAGATCGATCACCGCACACAAACTTTAACTGGTGCACTTAACGTGCAACTTTTGACCGGCACAGCACGCAATTGTAGCTGGGATGTGATTGGAGAGTTTCAAATATTCGAATATTCGGTGAAACGCCTGAACGCAGTCTCGAATAGGCATGATAGGCCTAATCAAATACTAAATTATTCAAAAATGGCAGCCCTCCCCTAGTATATATTCTCTGCCAACATTATCTGGCCTGTCGTTGGACACGTTGTTGGGCGGAGATCATAAAACTGCTGTGGTGACCAAACCTAGCCGCTATGCTAAGGCGCTATAGTGTAGAACCATTTTAACAGAACATGATGAAAATGATGAATGAATCATGCGCATTCTCTGCGGTGCATTCCACATTCCAAAAACCAATCCTCATTCATGTCATTCCGCAGGTGCGAAAACGGAGTACACGACCACAGCACATATACTTACACTGTATAAATTAGTTCATAAAATATCCACTGTCTTCTCTTTCCACTTCACACCGCCTCTTTTGCCGAAAAAATACAGGAACATACTCCAAATCATGATTTCAGCCGGTGTGTCTTCATTCGTCTCCGCATCATCAGTACGTTACACGCACGGACGGAAGCCATCTTGGTTACAAAGTCGTCCGCAGCATGAATGGAATTCGCAAGTTTTCACCGCCAGAATGGTGCTCACATTGTCTCCAAGTGGGTGTACCAGACAGACAAAGACCTCTTTTTCTTATTCCCGCTTTTGTTTTACGCGTACCGTCTACTCAATTACCGATATCCTGGTTACATTATTGAGAACAACCGTAGTAAATTCGCAAATTATGGTCTGCACGTACGTTCGGTGACAATCATTATGCAGGTTCTCGCTTGGATTCATGGGAAATTCTTGCAAGTAGGGAGAATTTAGTTGCGATCATGAAAACATTCGCAAGGTCACAAAATAAAGCGCGTGGGGAATTATGAGCATCTTGAAGAAATCTGCTCTTTTTGTTCTAGCCAAATTGCAATATTATTGGCCAAATCAGAGCTTTTTTCTTAAGTTGTTCAATATAGATGAACGAAATCAAACCCAGAAAGAATCGCTATATTTCATAACATTAAATAATTCCTTGCCATCATCGATGAGCAAAATTAATTGATGCAAATTTGAGTATAAGCAATTATTTTAAATTCTATATATTTTCATTGACAAATTAATAAACATTCCAAATGTCCCAAAGAAACTTTGGTTATACCATAGAGCATGCAGAGCATGGAGGAATAAGAACACACCAACTTATCGCAATCGACACAAGTGGTTGTGGCGATCCAAAGATGAAATTCTCCCTAAGTATTGAACAGGAAGCAGGTCAATGAATTTCTTGTCAGGAATGTCGGCGTTGAACGTACAGGTGCTTGATTGATTGACACCGCGTAGACACTCTCCAACCCCCTCCGAAGGCATTGTTCGCATAGTTTCGTGGTCATGTGACTAAATAGTTGGCTACTGTGCATTAATTGGGGCCCAGGAGAGGGCGTCCTTTTGACTCTTTGAGGTAGCAGACCAGTAAATAAACTTCCATAGACCCCAATGGTAAATGCTCCCACTTCAAAAATTCGGGAAAAATACTCACAACTCTCCAAGGTGTTCGAGACACACATCAAATTAATGCTTATTTCATCATCTTTCATTTTCTTTTCAATTTTCGGGGGTCAACTGATGACTTTTAGGAGAAATTTCCATCTGAAGATGATCACCCCTGAAAATAGTCCTGAAGCCCATCGCCATTTTGAAAAACGATGCCTACACTCCATTGCAAAATAGAGCGCTTTTAGGGTCCAAATTACATCCAAATTACACAGAACTGCAAGCTCCTAGTCCTGTGCACGGCTTCCACCCATATTTTTTACAATCCCTCAAGTTCATGGCCCACAGCATGCTCAAATACCGAAGATTTTGAGGGCATGCAAATCGTGATTTGGCCGGCGCAGGCAATTTCGGACCGATTTACTGGTCTGCACCCTTGATAAGTACCAAAGCCATGGGCTGCAGGGTGCTGTGAATATTTTTTTGGCACAAATTAATATGAGCATGTGTTTATAGCTCCATGATATGAGCGATAATTTTTGAAGGAGGAGGCACACCATATCGACTAGAAAGCAACAGCATCAGATTATACCAATTGTACTTTCCATCTGCTACAATTTCCTTGGAAAAATTGAAACGAACCCATCAATTACATTAATTACATTAATTGAAAATTGAAACGACACAAGCAAAAGGTTGAAAAAAAAAAACAACTCTAAACCATTGTTAACTTTTTATATTTTAATTTGCCTGACATTACAAATGATTTGCCGTACTTCTGAAGTTGGTAATTAATGGTTTCCGACTGGTGTTTTTTTAATTTATTTCAAGCAGAGTTAAAGAAAGGCTTGTACAGTACTTGACAGTCACTAAATTTTATTTATAATTTGAGTTTGCCAAAATGTGGCCACTTAACTGCTTCCCAAAGATACAGAAATGCGTTTTGAAAGAAGCCTGTACAAAAACATTTTACAAAGGATTCCACACAAAAAAAACCATAAAATATAAATTTACATTTTTTTTTAAATGAAGCATGGTTTTGTGTAAATGGCAACAGCTCCCCCTGGAATGCTGCTAACACTTCTTGCGAGGCCGTTATTCTGACAGAAAATGGTTTTCATCCCTATCTCAAAATAACTGTCTACATCTCTATTCTAAGGGCACAAGTTTAAACTTAGAGACACAACTACGTGGTCAGAGTAAGATCATGGCTTAATTCTAGCCCTTAATTCTAGCCCCTTGGGCATTCCCAAATTGTTGCAAATCTAACTCTTTGGAGGAATCCAAAGGAACATCTCATATACTTTCAAGCGGGCATTGATTTTCCTTCGTACTGCAAAAACATCCATAACATCCCGGTATCTGAGAGTGTTAGGGTTAATGACCTTGATGACCCACTGACCCCAAGGTCACAGGAATACTCAGGCTCTTAGTGATGCGACCCCCATCTGGGTCTTTCAATCAAGATGAAGATCCCATGGAAAATACAGCATTTTTAGAAACTTTGGTTTCCACTGTAGCCTCGGCTACAGGTGATTTAAGGCCAGCCACTCCCTTACTTGGAGCATGGAGGAAGGAATAGGCTTGGAGGAGTCTTATATAAAATATTGGTCCATGTCCTGTTTGGGGAGCATCACATCTTTTAACAGATGGCTAAAGTTCAGAGTGTTCCCATTTGGTTTGGACATTAAAGGCTTCCTAAGTAAACTGAAGCCAAAGCTGATATTTAAGACCAAGTTTCGAAAACACTCATATCCTTCATCGCAGTCCAAGACTTTTAATGACAAAGACCGCTTCGCCGTCGGTCCCACAGACTAACTGGTCCCCTTCTACGTCGACGCTGTTGACAGGCATGATGTTGGAGGGCAGTACGTGGTTAATGTCTACCTGATTGGTAGGGTCACTGGCCAGCCAGGGACTGGTGGGGGAGCTGGACGATGGCTTGGAGGGTAGCCCGCCCAGACCGAGGTGAGGGTAGATGGAGTCACCTTGAGAAATAATCATCAAAATGGATGATTCTATAGCACTGATATATTTTTACATCTGTAAAACAGACAGATTATGTACTAATGAAATGCCAGAAAGTACGCAAAATGTATTTCCTTGAGTGCTTTTTGGGTATGTCAAATCACAGTGCCTTTCTAATTCATGAATATAGACTGCAGAATTAGAGAACAAATAGCTAGCAATATGGCAAACTAGGACCTGGTGGCCATGTGTACAGAGACACAGCGAAGAGAGAGTGAAATACATACAAAAACCAAAGTTCAACAACATGAGATGTATTTGTTTTATGACACATTTCCACACCTGTTCTGGAGTTCTGTGCACCTGCAGCAATCTGTGAAGCTGATGGTGACCCGGAGCCGTTCCAGTGCAGCACAGCACCATCCTCAGAACAGGTGAACAGGTGGTCTGAGCATGTAGGGTGGAACTTGACCTCCCAAACTGACACAGTGACAAATTGGGTTGAAAGTAACAATATTAGTGAAGAACTTACAACAAAAGGTACAAAGTCAGTTTACAATCATGACACATAGCAAGCTTATTAAATTGACACTCACATTTCTTTTTCTGTCCTCTTAAGCAACAGTTACATGGACAAAATAGCATTGTTGGAGTTTAGAAATAGTTTTGTTATATTATGTGCTTGGATACTGTAATTTCATTGGCCTAGAACCTGCCGGCGCGCTAGCTTTGCCCAATGAGAACTGCAACGTCAAACGCTCAGTCTCATGTCCGGTAGGACATCAAAACCTTCAGTTATCAAAGGTTACATCACAGTGATCTAGTTTATTTCTCAGACAGTGAGTTACAACCATTTATCTTTTTGAGTTATTGGCAAGATATAACAAAACAATTGTTGACTGCCGTGATGTGGGATATGCTGTTATAGAACGTCATATACCACATCACAGCAGTCAGCAATTGTTAAATGGCACTCAAGTGTCCTTCGATATTGACGCTGTTTCTCAATTTACCAACGAGGGAGTACTTGCGAACAAAGGCCCTAGGAAATGAAACTCATCTGCCCACAATTCAGGTCAAAGTAACATCAGTATTTTCACCATCTCATGGCCAGTGTTGTAGTTGATGTGCTTGCGATAGATCACAAGTCATCATAAAATAATCACAAGTCATGCAGCCCCAAGTTAACCCACAAGAAATGACAAAGGCAATCCTTGGTTCTGTTCATCCCGTCTCACTTGTGACTCGACTTGTGATTTACTTGTGATTTACTTGTGATGGACAATCTATCACAAGTATCTGAACTGTGACATGCTCAAGGCCATAACGTCTACAGGGCTGATGGGATAAAACAATGATTACAACTTACTTGGTCCCTCGTGGCCATCAAAGAGAGTGACGGGGTATTTTTCCCTCCTCATATCCCACATGTTCAAGACGCTGTTCTGGCTGCCGGCCGCTACAAGATGAGCCTGGGTAGGATGACGATCCACGCAGTGTAAAGCTGTCTTCTCACCAGTTCTGATGATGGCAAACAGTTAACAGAATGAGACAAAATGGGCTAAACTCAAAAAATGTGGTCGATTTGAGTTACAACCTGTAGACATTATTACTTCTGACACAAAACCCTTTCCTTGTGCTGCAAAAGAGGGTATGACTCCAAAAAGTCTTATCTCAATAGTATAACCATTGTATGTGTAGTTAAAAATCTGAGTACCTTTGGTCTTTCTTCTGCATATTTACGTAAAGTGTTTTCATGTATTCAACTGTAATCAGTCAAAATGAGGTAATACCTTATAAAAAGATCAAATGAACAAACATGAGAAGAGGTGGATTCGTACCTGCCACATCTAGATAACTGAGTTAGTAGAGCAAAGGAACAGTTTCCTCGATCTTTTTTGTTGGTCTCCCAGGCTGTTTACAGACACCGAAAACATATTTCTTGGCATTAGTGCTATGAATACATGTATCCGCCAAATCCGACACTGTGCAGAACCCAATGGTACATTCTCTGTATTCAATTTATAAGGGTCTCCAACCACACGAAAAGTGACTGTGGCTATGCTCTTCCTTCCTCAATCCTGTAATATCCCCCAAAGCCCCCTAGTGGACTTTGAAGGTCAATTCCGTAAAATACACTGTTCTCCGACCACATGACGTACACGTACATGGTCGTTAAGGTGGTGGTGTACCTTAGTTTGGTCTGTAATTGTTTTCTTCTCAATGGACGTCAAATGTTAGTGATGTATACATTCACTTTCCCAACAGCAGCTCATTAAAGTATCTGAAATGTATGTCCGAATTTACGGAATTGCCCTGAAGGATCTGGGAGTGTTAGCCTTCCTAAATGACCCCATCACCAACTGATGGGTATTGGGTACTTACAGAAGGAAGACCCTCGTAGGTTGCGAGTCAGGCTGTCGGAGGTCCCAGATCTTCATCTGACCGGTGGCATTGACCGTCACCACTTGGTTGGATTTCAGGTAGGTGACGGCATTGATGGTGCTACTGTCAGCTTGGTCTGCAAGGACAATGACAATGACTTAGGTCGTAGTCATCACAAGTCAATCAACAGTCAATCACAAGTCAATAACAAGCCATCACAAGTCATCACGAGTCATCAAAAGTCAGTCACAAGTCATCACAAGTCATCACAAGTCATCACAAGTCAATCACGAGTCATCACAAGTCATCACAAGTCAATCACAAGTTATCACAAGTCTCTACAACAAGTTAATCTTAAGTCATCTGGTCCCAAGTCTCAAGGTATCCAAATGAACTGTCACAAATCCTTTCCTTCCTTGTAAACTTACTTAAGATTTGAATTTTGATATTATTTGATTACAGTGAAATTGACATATTAAGAAACACAGGCAATTCACTGAATTGTTTTTTTCTTTAAATGACAAAGGCATTTGCTTTATAAGAGGTGATATATATCTGAATGTCAATTTCAGCTTAAACAGTGGGTTGCAAGAACTTTTCCTTCAGCATCAAAGAAAACTATCAAAGATGGCTGCAGACAAGTAAACTTAGAAATTGGTCAGAGTTCACTCCCCAATATTTCCAAGCTTCTGCATCTGGAAATTATTATCTGTTACCTATTGTTCTGATAGGATGCCTGTAGTCCAACCGTAGTACATTAATTCTTCCATCCTCCCCTACTGTGGTGATATCAGTGCCACTCACAGCCATACTGGTGCAGGGACAGGCCCTAGTGCGCAGCCGATGAAGCCCCTCCCACTTCTGAGTACTGTGAAGTTTCTGAAGTTCAGTGAAAAAACAGATAATTAGTAGATGATTAACATTTCATAGTTGATTATGATTTCATAGATGATAATGATTTCATAGATGATCATGATTTCATAGATGATCATGATTTCACAGATGATTCTGATTTCATTATGATTTCATAGATGATTATGATTTCATAGATGATTATGATTTCATAGATTATGATTTCATAGATGATTATGATTTCATAGATGATGATTTCATAGATGATAATGATTTCATAGTTGATTATGATTTCATAGATGGTAATGTCATATATGATTTTAATTTCAAAGATGATTATGATTTCATAAATGATTACGATTTCATACATGATTATTATTTCATAGCTGATTATTATCTCATAGATGATTACGATTTCATAGATGATTATGATGATTATGATTTTATAGATGATTATATGCTTTTATAGATGATTATGATTTCATAGATGATTATGATTTCATAGACGATTATGATTTCATTCCTAAGCCAAAACAGTGAATGTTCTCAAATGGAACAAGCAGAATTTTAGAGGGACACTCCGCATACTTTGAGTTTGAGAATTCTCCTAAAATGATACAAAGCAATGCTAGCTCAGCTCAGCTGCTTCAGGAGCAAATTGAAGTGCATGTGTATTACCTGAGCTCCTTGCATCAACTTGAATGCCTGAACTGACCCTGAAGATGAAGATGCCAGAAAGACGTCTGAGTTTATGAACTGCATAAAAATTAGGAAAAAATAAAGTTACGTTTTGAAAAGCTTTGGTGAAACAAAGTGAATTACACCTTGCTGGGTTTGAAAAATAACTAATGTGATTGATGTACTGAAAATTGACAGTTATCCAGTACTTACTGCAAAACACTCCAGTGACCAATAATTTACATCGCCGTATGCAAATTTGAACTGCTTTGTATGCAACTTTAGACCAGCAAGGAAGGCAGCTACAGCTGGCATGTGTAAAACTTAATTGGTGAGTTTCAAATATTTGAATATTCGGTCAAGTGCGGTTTCGAACAATCGAATACTAAATTATTTCCAAAATGGACAGCCCTAGTCATTGTTCATTCTCTGTTACTTGTGAATTGTGTAATTTGCCGTGATTGCCTTCTGATTTAAGACTCAACTACAACACTGGGGCCAGGAAATTATTGACAATGAATTACAACAAATTAATGAATATACCTTCAAATCTGTCACGTCCCCTTCGTGTTTCTCTTGATACACAAGCTGAGGTTCCTTGTCGATTCCTTCTCCATCCGCCTCGATGTCGGTGGCCATGGAGGAGTAACCATCATAGTCCTTAGCACTTGGTACACTTGGTACACGCCACAGACATATCCTGTTTTCCTGCAATGAGAAGAATTCAGGAGGGAAACACGACCAGATCAACATACTTTCTTTAAAGACTCTTGTTCATCCATGTGACACATGCTCTGTGCATGGGATTTAAAATGTTAAATTTAGAAACTTTACATGCCTTTCCCAAATAAAGCCCTATAAACCTAAATAACAAATCTTCGATGAAATAAATGTTCATTAATTTTTTTTAGTAGGCCTACATGTATAAATAATTGGTAATCATGTAGTTTAGGACTCGGTTCCATTAAGAGTAAGAGAACGAAAAGACACTTTTACGTTTTTGGACCGTCTTTAGTTTAGGACTTCCTTTTCCTACCCAATTATTTGACGATGACACAAGCACTAAACACAGTAAAACTAAAGTCACGTTAATTTCGTTATATTTGGCATGTTTGTCATGTTTGTAATCTTCTAAATAGTTTGTTATTATCAGCTAGCTTAATTTTGTGGGAAGAGGGCAGGGTTTTGATTTTATGAACGGTACTTGTGGAAAAAAAAGTGAAGTGTCCTAAACAAACTACGCGGTACAAAATTACGGTCACTGATTACCCTTTTTTCACGAAACTGATTAAACACACGGAACAGTCTGAACGCCAACAGATCTTCATACTCACATCATTATCCCAACTTCCTGTGACGAACGTTTGCGATGGCTGCAATCCTTGTAGATCACCTGGTTGCCATCTAACCTTACTTACTTTTTGTGACACAAATTTGACGGAAATGGAAGCCATTTTCTTACGATTTCAACGCGGAAAAACATGAACATGTGTTGGATCACGCTAGATTCAAGATCCCGCAATTTCCGTTTAATTGTCTATTGGTGGCGGTATTCATGCCGCTGCCGCCCTCTTTTTTTAGCTGCGCTGCTCGGTTAGAGCTTTTTTTGTGGAGATCAATGGATGTTTTGTAGAAATTAGTGATTGGATCCCTTGAGAATCTGTTAATCACGTAAGAGAGTTATAACTGCTACCCCGTCCTCAATATATGGTCCTCCCCTCCCCCAGTAATGTCGTTAACTTCAATTGAGTTGCCAATCACCCCCCCCCCCCAAAGAATTAACTAAGCCCCGCCTACCCCGCCCCTGGACCTGCCGCCACAAAAAAAACAAAAAAATATGAACGATGTCTACTAAAAATGCAGCTCACTTGGTTAAACATCGCTTTCCATTCTTCAATTCCAACAACAATATTCGTGCAGGACAGCCAGCGTTCAGGGTTTTTTTTTTCAGGATAAAAGGATAGTGCAAACAGCTTTCGTATTTTGTTTTATTGCGAGGTGTGCTTATTGTCTCCAACTGGGAGTTACATGTTCTTTAACTTTTACTAAAAACCAAATAAAAGTATGTTTGTCCAACATCAATATGACCAGATAAAAAAAAAAGCCTGAAGCTTTTTTGTGACAATTGGAAACGGGTCATTGTCTGTATAACAAGATAATGTGAAGTCTGCTGACGCTTAACAAAATATCTAAATAATCACTCTTTTCGAACTTTGTATACCGTAATTAAACCTTCTTCAAAACGTGCGTCGAACGCGTGATGTATTCCTTTGCAAACATTATTAGTATTCAGATTATTTCCTATAGCAGCATCTCTGAAATGTGTATTATTTGTTAGGGTGTGCCTTTTACAACAGAGTTATGATGTTTATACTGCATTGTGTTTGCCAAAATTCATATTTACTAATGTCATCTCCCCCTTCGTGACATCTGCATCGCCTGATCCTCTTCCTCATCAATGATGTCACTCCCAGAACTGTCTTCATCCTCGACTCCCTTCTTTACCACACCCCCTAACCAGTTTCTTTCGAGAAATCTCTCCACTTTGACCAGCACGGTCTTGTTTTCCCTGCTCTGGTCGACTTTCCGCAGATGGAGAACCGTCTCCTCTTTCCTCGGTTTGCTGATAGATTGTCTTCTCATGAGGAGTTTTTCTCCGGTCTGCGGAGCGTTGGTCTGATTCTGCTCCACGCTTGGGAATTTATACGCCGCCCATGGAATGAATTTGCTTGTGGCGGGCCTTGGCTTGGAGCTAGCCAGGTTGGTTCGCTTCGATTCCGGCGTTGTTTGCGGTCGGGTTATGGAGGTGCGACGGTAGAGACGTCCGTACTTGTGCACGGCCCACGGGGAGGAGGGTGGGACACTGGGACGGTGTCTGACGTCGAACGGGAAGTGTCTGCCAGGTGGAGCGGAAATTGGTCCTCTGTTGGTACTCACTGATGATGTGAACATACTGCCAATGGAACGGGGCGGATAGGCAGATTTGACAAGGCGGTGTCGGTCTCCAAGTTGACGTTTCTCTTGTTTGCCCTTGACCGCCTGATGAGCGGGCGATTTGAGTGTCTGCTCGCGAGGTTTATCACAGTACAAGTACGTCTGGTTCCTTGATTCTTGAAAGGAAACCATTTTCGAGGACTTGGGTTTAGAAGCTGAGCAAGGTGTTTCATCGGACTCACCGTGACGAAAGTTCCTCACGGAGTGATCCGCACTCTGTTTCCGTTCTTCCTGCATCTCCTCGTTCCTCTTCAGTGATTCTTGCGTTCGCCTTGATATCGTCAAACCCTCAAAGAGCAAGTCAGGCATCTTAGAAGGTGGCGCTGATGACTCGGTCGTGTCCTCCTCGTCTGACGAATCGCACTCATCTTTCTTGATGACCGGTTTCAGGAGAGGCTCTGACTTGTTGACCTGTTGGCCGAAATGGTGGACCGAGAGAGACCCAAGGGTGGTACATCCCAGCGCGATCGCCTCACGCCGGAGCGTGGCCGATCGAGTCTCTTGTCTTGACAGCGGTGACTTCGGGTCCACCTCGCGACCCCTCTTGCAAAACGAAAAGGTGACAGGCGCATCTCTGTGCGAGCAGAGTTCATGCTGCACCAGCCGTTTCTGGCGCGTCAGGTTGCTGAGCACCAGTTTCCGTTGTCTCTCGATGGCCAGTAAGGTGTTAGCGCTGGCCCGTTGAAGGATCAGATTGGCGTGCTTGGAGTGTTCCATGTACGACCCCTTCACGCAGTATTCCTTGGTGTCGGACATTCTCTACTTGAAACTATCTTCCTCAAATTTGAAGAGAATAAAATCTGATTTTCGATATCCACAATGCTGAGAAAGTAATGATGGGCTTCAGAACTTTGACGCCAGTTGTTCGACGCCAGTAAACTTACAGAAAATTGGCGAACATGTCTTTACCGATGCTCAATGAAAAACTAACCAAAAAGATCTCAGGAAATATGTAGTCTACATAAACACTTGTTTACTGTGTCTTTTAATTGCGTCAATCTCCAAAGTTGGTTTTTGGACCTACAATTTCCCGACAATATGGGCGCGTGTCACGAAATGAATAATGACATTCACTTCACGCATTTCTCCTTTTATATCCCGTTGGATAACGGTCATGATCACCCTCTCAGGATCATATTTCCGACTCTGAGAAATCGATCCCTTCGATTTTGGATCGAGTAGACTTAAATTATTAACGTACGAGGGCGTAATTTGACCAAAGTATGTTTACTTTACCAGCAGGCTGGTGAGTGAAACTCCTCTTGCAGCTATGCTTTTGCGTAAACATTTTGAGACAACAAAGAGAGCATATATTGAAAGCACGGCGGGATAAGTCAACACTCGGAAAATATATCATGACATTTTAAGCACTGCGTTCCTTCGCCTGACAAATATGCGTTACTGCTACAGAAATGCTTCGCACTTGGAGGTCATGGCTGATAGGGATAGTAAAGCTGTCCTCAGTCCGGCTTGTTTGACCATGATTGGTCAAGGACAATTTCTTAGCTTGCTGAAAAGTTGACGGAGTTCTAAGATACTCTAAGATCAAGGTTAATCAAAGGGCATCAGGGTTCAAGGCCCACAAATTTGATTGGATAGTATACTTGAATGAAAGTCGATCTTGAGAGAATTATACTGCTCAACAGGTTTTTCTGTACTCCTATTCGTGTTTTGATTTCGGAGGAACGTTCATTAACTTATCGAAAAATAAAAATATGAAAGGATTTTTTTTTAAAACTCAGTCTGGATAAGGAGACAAACTAGCTTGATTCAACCAAATTTGAAAGTGGAATTAACAACCAACGGCGGACGTCGCTAGAGGGCGTGTGGGTCTGACGCCCATGAATGCATGGGAATGTAGTACACAATCAAAGCCATCGATTTGTGAAAAACAATTACATGTATTGTGAATAACATTACTACATTTTCTATTGCGAATACCATTTTACATGTGGTCGGGTTGGTGGGGTATTATTTTGCTGAAGCCTTTCCCACTGGAAATGGTGAATGTTTGTCTTGTATTGTCAAAGTTTAAACAAAAATGCAATTGTAACTGTCAGTCACCCGATCGCGGTATGCAATGAGGACAGTCACCAAGCAATTCAATTATAGTGCTCTCAATTAAACTTATATTTACTTATAAGTTTAAAAACCTAAAATTTGATTGAATCTAAATATTAAGCAATGACAAACAAGACAATAAAATCAACGAACGAATTGAAACAGTGACGGTTAATTGACGGAATATGTCCGCTTTTCCACAATAATGGTTTATATTCTATATGTATTGTAAAAAAAAAAACCAATGCAATATCATATAAAACTCCCCACAATCATGCTAAGTGTATATTCTTAAGACAAATTAGAAGTTATTCTCCGTCCTGGCTGAAATTATTTTTCTATGTGGTGCACATGAATAATTACTTAGCCATAATTCCAAAACCCTTTAACCTATACATGTAGTCATGAAATGTCTTGGGTATGTTCATATTAAGTTGTTCTATGCACCGAGTTTCATAATTTTTGTCACACGATGGCTGAGATCCGCCCCCCAGCTGTGAGATGGTCAAAATAACCGGCCCCTTTAGGGTTAAAGTGAAAAAAGGATATTTGTTTGTGCCAAAATTCAAAATATGAATGATAAACTTTAGAAAAAAATGATTAACTTTACTCTTTAAAAATAAACACCAACTAAACTAAATTAATTATTATATCGGCAAGTGTTAATGAAATTCGATAACAAAAACAAAAACGGCTTCTGCTTAATACAAAATACCACAAGCAGATGATGACTAAAAATGACGTGCTCTGTTAGTAGTGATGAATGTGATGGTGTAACTTTGGTCATAGAGGTGAAAGTCGTGAAAAAAGTCAAATATAAAGGCCACTAAACAATAACACTGTCACTAGTTACATAACGTATATATAAGGCACTAAACCTACTGCTGTCCACACTGACAAATCTACGAATTTGATATCCAAAAATAACGAAAAAGAAATAGTTGTTGAAGGAAGGGTGTTAAATCTGTATCATTCAAACCCTTGGTAATGTTTTAGATCCGTCATAATCACCAGAAGATGACATTGACGACCATAGCGGCACCGAATAGGATCAATGCGTTGATCAGCAAAACGATCCGCCATTTTCTCTTCTCGTCCAGTGACGCAATCAGCTCTGGTACCTCGGCGTCTTTCGCCTCCGGAGCGTAGCCGCAGAACCAGTAGACTCCCCTCCGCCAGAGAGGAAGCCCCGGCTTGTCAACAACTAATGCAAGCCAAAAAAATGCACACAGGCGGAGCTTTTCAATTATTATTTTAAAAGTAGGCTTATCTAATTTGATTCAGTTTAACCTGTTGCTTTTTGACTTGTTTCTTTAATTTCTATAAGCAGTTATGTCATTAACTTTTTGTCACTTGTTGACTGCTTTTAAAAGTGACCGCATTGACTTAATGTGCGAAGTGCTTCATGAGAAAAAAAAACTTCCCTAATATTTTTACTGCCAGGTCAAAGACACATGCGGTCACGTGTCAGTTCCTAACATTGTTCTTCATATTCAAATACATCTGTGACGTACCAAAAATGTAACACAAATCGGTAATTTGCCTTCATTGTAGACAATACGGTCCACTTTTTAAATTATATATTGCCATATTTTTCATGTAGTGTATGTACAGATTATAGCCTCGTAAAACTAAAGAAGAGTAGTTTATTTTTAAATATCCCTTACCATTTACGTTCTCATTCATTTCTTTCATTTCCACGGGTTTCTCTTTCCCTTCCCCTTCAACTTCGTCATTGTCTTCATCCAATCGTTCACTATACTTTTCTGGCCTCCTCAAACCCCGAGTGAAAAAGGTCATGCCCCTTACCTGCAATACAAATCAAAGGCATATACACAACAATAAGAACCAATGCAGCCATGAAACGTCGGTAGATAATTATGGCTAACTAATTCGGGAATTCATGAAACGGGGCAGTTTTGAATCAGTGCTGATGTTGTACCGCCTGAGGCCTTTGAAAAATATGGATACATGTAGGTTAAAAAAATTAATCACAATCGCGCTATCACTTTGTAAACATGTTTAGAAGCTAAACATTATGTGTTCAATTTCTAAACATCAATGTTCAATTGCTAAACACTATCTGTCCTTACTCTAAATATGTTTAGTACATGTATGTAAACATGTTTACAAACTGACTAGTAGCTAGAAAGTGTTTAGAAAAGGTTTTAATTGCTAAACACAGTTTTTGCAGTGTAGCCAAGGTTTCGAAATCGTCTATAAGTAATATCGATGTGAAGTAAATAGAAAACATACATTTTCTTCAGGCAGTTTCTTGGTGAGCAGGCTGACGCCAACAGTAACCGAAATGGACACAGCTCCCACAATGCAGTTGTAGTACAGGAAGTGTATCCTAGCAACGAATGGCGGCCGCGTGTCGAAGTCACCGCAGGCAGGAGAAGGGTAGATGATGTCAAGGATCATGCGCACTAGGCCCAGGACAATGCCGCACAATAGACCCCAGAAAGCACCCTAAGTCGAAGAAAAATCCAAATAATGGGAAATCTTAATTCTTGATTGGAACTTGCCACACAAACAATTCCATCTAAAACCATGTTTTCTGTCTTCATGGTAACACACAAGGATCTTCCCATGCAGTATAACACCTCCAGACTTTCTGTTTCCGTTTTAAAATAACAAAGGGTAATGAAGTAGCACAAATACAAATTCAACCACTGTCAAAAATGATATAAGAAGGAAAGAATAAGTGGCGAAAAAGTTTGAAATGTATCACGATGGCCTCACCGCGAATTTGTAGGGTCGGCCATCAATTTATACAAATTACAACCAATGCAGGCGACAATTGTTGCCTTATCGTGCACATTTCCATGCTCAGTATATGTATGGAACGTTATCTTTAAACAGGTTTTGCTAATGTGTATCGATTTTTAAATTTTTTGTTTTAATATTTGTTTTTTTAAATTTGATTTTTCAATTTCTAAGCAAGTGATGAAACCAAGGATTCCTCAAAAGTGCCATAGGCACTGTAGCTCGATAGCCTGAAGAAACCTGTAGAGAGGAGACAATGAGAAGAAATGCGCAGTTCTATTGCATTTGTTAAACTCTATGGATTATTTTTTGGGGGTTGAGCAGTAATTGTTATCCCTATAGTTTGAGAAAGTACATCTGTGCCCTGGCAAAGAAAAGTCACCTTCTTGCGATAATATTTTGGTAAATTCAAAAAGAGCTTACTCAAACCAAAATATACCGTTCTCCAACTGTGCCCATGCACCATTATCTCAAAAAAGGCCAATTACAAGCGCGAACCTTTTCATTGATGCGACCCCAAGCCACGCCCATGACGAAGCAGGTGAAGACGGGAGGGGCGAAGTAAGACTGAAGGGACTGGATGTACAGGAAGAGTTGTCCTCCCTGAGCAGCCTGTACGATGGGAATCCATACGATACTCACAGCCAGCAAGACCACGATGAACACTCTATACAGACCAAGAATTGCGGACGGATATTAAGTAAGATTTGAGGTTTTGCATGGTAGAGATACTAATGAAATGAAAGGTTTGCGGAAACACCATGTGCGAGTAATTTCTCAAACTAAGAGAATGGTTCTGAAAAGAACCAGAGGTATATTAAAACTCGACGTTCCGGTCAGTATGCTCTGACCGTCTTCAGGAGAGTGCCTAGAAAGTAAATACTTAAGTAGCAAAAGCGAAATCGATGGAGTGTGAAGTTGCATCATGTGTGGATGCCAAGTAGTTGGGAGCCTAGAGCAAGCTTGGTGTGCCCTTCATTCAGAAGGATATTAAGGTGTGAACAGTCTAAAAGTTTAGAGCATTTGTACGTCTCTGGATGATTCTATACGCCGACGTTGACAAATCTCAACCTTCAATATTTTACGCACGATCAACTTACATGTATATGGAGATTATAAAGATACATGTAATTATATTAAGGAATGGTAGAAAATGAATTGGAAATAATCGCCTTAACGAATGTTGAACTTTTTCTTCCGCGTGCTATATATTTTATTGACTTGATCGGTCCCGGCGATTACGTGTTGAGTAAAGCGGTGGAATTGATACATGACATCACATCAGCTTATGGCAAAACTGATCACAGCCAAAACCATGAACTTATCATTATTTACCGACTGTGCTTTTTAATAATCATCAGCTAGTATTGAATAGCCTGGATTGATAACATTCTTTAACTGATGGAGATGCCAACATGATGCTACTTTTTAGCACTAGTTTTCGATGCAGTATTCTTTTGACTTCAATATGAACTAAACAAAGGCGAAGTTTATCGTTGGCTTCTTTCGTACCTTCCGACTATCATAAGCTCAGCATTGTTCGCCCTGGGTCGAATTCGACGCCAGATGTCCATAGTGAAGATGGTACTACCGCTGTTGAAGATGGACGTGAGTGAACTCATGAGGGCAGCCATCATGACCGCCACCATCAAACCACGAAGGCCTGCGAAGAGAAACAGAAGTTTAGCTGCTTGAGACAATGCACAGTTTGATTTATGTGATCTCAATTTTAGAACTTCAAAAAATTATTAATTAGTTTTTCGTTTGCTTTGAATTTCAGTTGCAAATGCCCTTTACATTGAGCGGCTTTCAGTAAAAAAAATGTTGAAGCTAAATCGATTAGGGCCTACAGCAACTACCAAAAACTGGTGTAACCGGTTTGGTTGGGTTGGGTTAGGTTCAGTTTTAAACTTTTATGAACAGAAAGGAGCATTATAATATGATTAAGAAGGAAAGAACACCCTTTTCATGTGAATCTGAGGAAAAACACGGAATGCAAAGCATTGAGCAACGACAGTAAAAATGGAAAACTGAAGTTGGTTTGTTCAGGTAAAGCTAGGCCGAAAGCTCAATGGACGAACCAATCTACGGACAGCATTCGAAGACGAATCGAGTAATTTCAATCTTGAAAATATTATTCTACCAATATCATTGCTTCTTATCTCGACATGATACCTGTTGGTAAGAGTTCTAGGACTAGCCTGGGATAGGCTATGTTGGAGCATCCCACTTCAGAACCACATACAGCCTTGCAGCTCTCGGCACTGGCACAGGCTACATCATCTGCAAAATTAATGACCAAAATATTAAGGTGAAATACTAGAAAGGGGCTCGTCTCGATGGTTGATAATTGATAATTGAATGATACAACTTTGAACATGCAGTGAACGACGAATGCGTACATCCCTACTTTGGAAAACCTTACACGAAAGCCTGTGAATAGATCATTCGCTTTCAAAATGATCGAGAATGCTGAACTGTGAATGCATGACGGTTAAATAAATGGTTTATAACAACAAGAAATAACGACAAGACATCAAATCACAGCTGTGCAAAAAGAAACTTGCACAACAGTAACTTTTTAATTTCGCACAACATCAGCAATTAAATAATTCATCTACAAACCTACTTTAGCAATACATGTAATTAGGGCCTACACTCTTTCATTGCCAAATACAGGGTGAGTCAAGAAAAGGAAACCCAAATGACCGGACCATTTTTGTAATGAAGTTCTGCATGTTGCACTTTCAAAAACTAGGATATGAAAGCCCAATTAATAAACTTTCTTTTAGTACAAGAATCACTCAAATCACTCATACACTTTTCAAGTTACGGGATTTTAAACACAAACACTGTTTTAAAGTTCTGTCTACGGATCACAAAAAAAGGTAACTTTCAACAAAATGAAAACAATGCACCTACATCCAGCTATGTGAATTGTGTCCGATTTGAATGATTCTTGTACTAAAAGAAAGCCTATTAATTGGGCTATCAAATCCTAGATTTTGAAAGTGCTACATGCAGAACTTCATAAAATAACTGGTCCTTCCATTTGGGTTTCCTTTTTTTGGACTCACCCTGTACGCACATTCGTGGTAACAGCCTACCTGTGAACAGCACACGAGCGATCATACCAGGAATGACGATCATAAACAGAGGCAGTAGTTTCAGGTAACCGCCTAGGATCGAAGCGCCCTTTACATGACTCATGTTCTTGGCCGCCAATGCCCGTTGTACAATCACCTGAAAAATCAAGAAACAAGCACAAGATATCAAAGCGAAATTAGCATAAGATATAAAAAAAATCTTCATTTGCTCCTTTATTTGTTCTTCAAAGATGTTAGCTTTGAACTTGTACTTTACGCTGAAACGACAAATATGAAGTATGACTGTTTCATCAAAGTATGAACATTATGTTTGTCAATTATAATTTTATTGTGTTTCCTTCATGGAAATTCTCTTGGATTTTCTCCGGAGAATCTCTAAACTTTCGGGTGACATTTCAAAATAACGCTTCCATAATTTAAAGTTGTAAAAATCTGTTTAAAAAAAAAAAAGATTAAATAAACGACAAAACCCTTAAAATAATAAAACAATGTCTGATTTTCGAATATCCCTCTCTTCAAAATTTGAGAATTCTTAGAGTTTAGATTTTGAATTTCTAACTTGCCCGACGATGCTGGAGGTGATATGGGTACCAAGGAAGCACTTCTCATAAGATGGTCTGGCAACCCAACAAAAGGGGTAGACATTCCAAGAAAACTCTATCTAAGCACCCGTGACCTTTTTTTGTCTCTCTAGTCTATACCTAGGCCTACCTGATCCGTGCACCAGTACCATACGCCAATGAACGTAATACCAATCAGGGCCCCAGGCCACGGCTGATCCGAATCCAGAGGGTGTCGCATCATGTTAAAGGCGTCGTCACGCGGATAGCCACACGTGGAGTTGATGGGGCCCTCAAGCGTCGTAGATGGTATAGATTGGGCGTATTTAATCATCAATTGCTCAATACCGCCCACCTTAATATAGCCTATGCAAGAAAAAAAATTCCCTCAAATGTAAACTCCGGTCAGGCAACAAAAAAAGTAAACCAGCTTTCATTTAAAATCGAGGTTTTCCATTCTGTTAGGCTCTATGGTAGAAATTGAGAAAACAGGGGGCCACTGACATTACTAAAGTTCGACAGCTCAGGCATGTGGAATATCCATTATTATACAAGAATCAGAAATGGTTATCATGATTAATAATACATGTATGGTCAAAAACTGACACAGGCAAAATGAAAAATGTATCGAAACACAACTTACTGATGACCATGAGAACAGCGCCACCAGCGACCATGATGAAGGACTGCAGGGCGTCAGTATAGATAACGGCAGCGAGTCCACCTATAAAGAGGACAGTCAAATATTATCGAACAAAAAATACTATATACTAGTCACATCAATCGCTTTACTGTCACTTTATGTACGAAAATAAACGAGCATTTTGATCTATTACAATTTGTCTATAGTACCTGGGTTTGCTCGCTGATATCTTGCCAATAGTCAGGCGGCTTATAGGTGGAATCGTGACCGAGTGGTCCAAAGCCCAAACTGGGCAACCAAAATATGGGAATAAATATATTACACGGCAGCTATTTACAATGTATGCAGATTAGGCACCTTCCCAAAAGACTTGTAGGTATCACCCCTTCTCAATATCTTCTCGAGAGCTATCTACCAAGTTTGGTGTTTTGTGTACCAGATCGGTCACCATCTTGTCCAAGTTTTGATCTATACAGGACACCAACCTGCGATGGTATAGATCGCTGTCACTACCAGTAACACGATGATTGCAGTGTAGAGGTTCCAATTGAAGGCCAGTTGTATGAAAATCGCACCGGCGAAGATATCCACCTGAAAGACGAAGATTAGTTACAAAAAATCCTATTATTGGAGGATTGTTGTCTAAGATTAACAGATATACCGAGGGTGTATCGATATCTCCAGGTTATGCCTGGTGAAATATTCCATGAGCAAGAGGAGGAGAGGAGGAGATGAGGGAGGCGTCTTGTAACTTACCGATATCTTGGTGAAGATGTAGAGAAACAACGAAAACACCGCCATAAGAATCCGCAGACGCTGACCTCCGTATCGCTTACGAAGATACTCCGGCATCGTGTAAACCTACAGCAACAAATCATCGTTGTCAAATAACAACATAATAAGCCCAAAGTATAACAGCATCGCTAAAGGCTCCTTTTCAACTGCTGAAACAATTAACATACCGACCTCAAACATATACCGCCCTTAAGTGTGCAAAGTCTTCGGTGCTAACAAACCTCCAAAATAGATTTTCAACACCGCAAAGAGTGTTGTTGGATATAACACGGGTGGTATCTATATAGGATCACCAGTGTATTAACACCAGTGGTCCTACATCAAAACCACCGGTGTAAAATTTACACCGCAGGGTTTTTTGCAGTGAAGGTATTTGCATTTTGATATTCTACTTTTTTTATTCAACTATTATCATTTTGTGAATCGTGTGAAACGCGTTTTAGAGTCCAAAAACGACGGCGCGTTAAGAATGTCTCCTTTAAGACAACTTCACTAGGTTTCCTTACCCCGGATGACAGGTAGACGGGAACGAATATCCAACCAAGAAGGATGATGTTCCACACAGCCTAGGAGGAAAAATATGGAAATGGGTTAATCGACAATGATCACGCGAGCAGTACTCATTTGCCTTTTTGAAAATAAAGACGAGGATTCAGGAATAAATACCCAAAATCATCTCGCATAAACTTGGTCAAAAATCACATCTGGCAATGGTATTCAACGCCTCAACAAAACAAATACGTTAAACAGTCCTAATTTTTTTATCAATTTTGAGATCGGGTAAACACTAACGGGAGAACCTGATAATTATATTATTCACACAAATGTGCATTTTCAAGTATTGCATTATAAAAATTACATTATTATATGGGCCCTTTTATAACAAGGCTTACCATAGTTTCATAGAGGCCAACGGCGAGTCCCGATGCAGCACCCGTGCCGGCTAGACCGATGAAATGCCCCGTGCCGATGTTGCTGGCAAACAGGGAGGCGCCAACCTGGACAGCAAAATCATCGAAAAACAGGAATCACAGTAAGTGCACAACATATTTTTGGGGCAAGTGCATAACAAGTCGCAAGCAAATGGACACCACTAAAGGAATTAAATATAATAACAGGGAATATCGTCACTTACCGGCCACCATGACATCGTTTTCCCGGCCAGAAAGTACCCTTGAGTATTGGTCCTGTTTGATCTGTACATTGACTGAGGAAAACAACAATTGAAAGATGTACTATATGAATAATGAATGTTTATGGGTGCAATGGTAAGAACAATTTTGTCACCGAATAAATTTATTCTTTCCATTGCATGATTATGAAACATTCATTATTATTTTGTTTATAAAACGACTGAATAAATCCTCGTCATCTGATTGGTCACTTGCAAATTCAAAACATTAGGGTCATCAGAGCTGTGACACAACAGGCGACCGTGCAGTTATATTTTTGCGGTGTAGCCGCGCCGTAATTCAATTACACGTGACTAACGACCCTCCAATCAGATGATGGGGTTTTGTGTTGTTTAACTATAAGATCACATAAATTACGGCACATGTCTCGTAAAACGTATATCAATCTATCATAATATACAAAGATTAAAACCAAACAGGTTCAATTATTAAAGTTCAATTACTAGCAGATCAAGGGCGGGGCTAGGGTTCTCCCTTAGGGCGTAACTAAATATAGACGTTCGAGCCATCACAAGGACGTACAGCAGTGGGCGAGGATTAAGGCTTGAATCAAGGCTATGTAGACAGATGCAGGAGTCCTGGCAACACAGTACAAGGCACGGTACGTGACAGGGATCATTAACACCACGTGGGTAACTTTGAGAAGTGGTATAATGTGTTACACCTGTTGCCTCAGCTAGCCTGGAACCCTGGAGATTGATTATGCTACAAGCCTTACAACGGGTGAGGTGGGCGTGGAAAGGGCTCGAGTTGGGGAGGTTTATAGAGGACATACCCTCCAGGGTTTTGTAGGCTACGCGTACGATATGCATGATAAGGGAAGGCTGCAATATAACATCAATAAACAGGCAGAAGGGAAGCCAGACTGAATTGTTTTCCTCAGGCTATTGCATGGAGCTTGGAGGAAGGAATGGTGAATGGTGTGAACATGGTGTGAACAACCGTTGAAAAAGTATCGTTTTCCGGCAACATCATAATGAATTGGCCTAAAATTCCATGTCTCTGGGATTTTGGCGTGTATTATGATCGTCACCCCCAAGTTACTTTTTGTTTAGGTCAGGGGCGTGACCTTTTAAGTATGAATAGCAATTCAACAAACATGGAGCTATTGTATTGTCATTGAAAGGGATTATGTTATGGGGGAACCGCAAACATTGGGAAAAACTATCACAGTCAAAGTTAGGGAAAACAAAGGGCCTCCAAGTGATAAATTTTACTTATAATGACATATGACTTGTATTAAGTTATATCATTAAGCTAGCCCACATGAGAAAATAACATAAACCTGTATTAAGTACAGATAATCTGCATGTCCCGCATCCCGCACACGAGTACATGCACATGTGGAAAAGTAGGTATAGTATTTTACATGACCAACGGGAATTCTTGTTCGTCATTTTAATACTTTTCCATTATGTCGATTGTGATTCTTAATGTTCTTGTTCCTCCATGGCCTAGTATTTTTTTAACACAGCCATGGCGGCTATACACATCATGCACACACGGTAACGCTTTCTGCTCACTTTCAGTTCCAGACTCACTGATCCATGCCAGCTAGTATTAAGCTACACAGCGATCAGACATACACAACCTAAGCTAACTTGACCGACAGTACCTGTAAAACGAATTCGTGCTATTACAATTTACATGATCCTCACCGCCATTATCAATGCAAGTTTATAGTCATGTTAGTGACGTGTACTTACTTACCCACAAACCGACGACAACCACGAACAAGAAGTACACGCCGATGATAGCGTAATCTGCAGGCTGCATTCGGTTGACAAAGTTATCGGCCATTTTGATCCACTAAAAAGTGCAACAAATAATGCTCAAACTGGCATTTGCCCGACCAAATTTCTGAAGTACCCTCTGGGCTGATTATGCTCGTACCGCACTCGTACTTCACAACACTGTGGGCTCCGTGCCAAACTAGTACAACAGATTAGTGGCAGAACTTCGTGTAGAATTGAGGAAATATGCAGCTGGCTGTTACCAGATGCAATACAGTCCCTTGCATGTGACAGCTGGTGACAAGCCTATGAAGTACCTATCGTACGCAACTTGAAGGCCACAGTTGCACCCCTATTGTTGCACCACGAGTCACTTCAGGAAAGTTCAGAGAGCTATTATTTTTTAGGACGTGACTTTCAACCATTAAAGGGGCACAGATTCAAATCGGTCGGACGTTCATTACCGTACTCAGGTAGGTCCGTACACGAGAGGCAAGGAAGAGTTCGCGTAGGGGTAAGGGGCAAAACTCAAGCAAACGTAGGCGAACCCCTCGCGGAAAACTACCTCAAAATGATGATAAACAGTAAACCATCCAAGCTGGTAGTAAACTCAGGAATGTTGCTTATCTACCCATGGGCGTTGTGAATATTTGTTCAGAACTCGAACAAGTGGTACAAAGGGCTTCGCAAGGCTGCACTCAAATTACTTCAACCGGCCTTTTTATAAACATAGGACCCCGTAAAAAAAGACCGCAATTGAGGTATTATCCGTTATCACATTGAAGCATCTCATGTTTACAACACAGTAATTGTTTAATCATGGATAAGAACGACGTGGACAATAAAATTGACCAAATCATCGAGATTGCAAAAAAGACGAAGCGGCCCACCAGGTTAATGGTCCACAATTAATGTCCTGCCGACTTGCGTACAATTAATGGCTACAGTTAAGCAGGCGGTTATATTGTTAATATAAAATAATATGAAATAGCCTATACGATCATTTCAAATCATCCACTTCGACGTTGTCACTCCGATAAGGCACAGCTGAACGTAAATTAACTGGTTATAATGATGATTACATGCATATAGTACAACCATGGAAGTACATAGCTCCATGGTACGACTAGATTATAATTATGAATCGTCTTGCTTCATGTGGTTTTACAGAGCGCGAATAGAAATATAACATAATGACGTCACGCTTTGTTTACACTAGTGTGCGTTTTCCTATGAGAGCCAGGTAGGACGCGTCATAATGTCTTAGGTCTATCCATGGAGCTATTATTATGGTCTATCATTACACGACCATTGCAATCCTACTAGTTTGGCATTGCAACGTGTTTGCTACTTATGGAAATTATTACATCAAATCACAATTAAAAATCAATTGTATAGGCATAAACCACAATTTGTTATTAAACATGCTAGAGCATCTATCGAGCCGATAATGCCAACGCGGACTCTGAGCACAATAAAAAAAAATCTTCCCCCAAAAAGTTGCAAACCGGTACGGCGCATAACGACCTGGCGCGTCAATATGGTTAAATGATAATTATATACACAACGTGAAAGGTATTAACCTGAGCTATTAAACCTTGGGTGCAATTCTTGTAAATAATCTGTTTTACCAAACTAAAACATTGATTCCGATTGCAAAACCGATGACGATGAGTGCATTGACTGTCACGAACTTCTGCCATTTTGGATTTTCTTTGATAGACGCCACGTTCTCCGAGGATTCGTCGACCTCTTGCGAAATGCCGCACAGCCAGAAGACGGCTTTCTTCCAACGTGGGAATGACGCAACTGGAGAAGAGAAAACACGAGATTTACATGATGTACATTAATTTATATTCATGTCCTATATACCTTTTAATGATCCCACAAATTTTGAAATTATTTTAAGTTGCATTTTGACTCTTGAGGGCAGCACACACCTTGCTTGTCAATCTCGTCTTCAGATTCTTCCTCGTCTTCTTCCTCTTCTACCAATACGGCCTTCCTGCTACTTCCTGAGGGAGCCAATGGCCGTTTGCCACGTGTCCACCACGTCATCCCGACCACCTGTTACGTATGAATATTCATCAAGGTAGTTTGAAATCGTGAAAATACCATCTGTTTATTGTTGCTCATTACGCTAAATGATGTAAAGATTAATTAAACAAATATTTTGGCCTATACATCGAAGTTCAAAAGGGATATACATTTGCAGAAATTCTTTCTAAATGGTGCATTTTCTTTGCTCAATGCATTTTTTTCTTAGAAAGTGACTCGCAAATTTACATGTTTTTATATAGTCTTTTGTTTGAAAGTGACTCGCAAATTTACATGTTTTTATATAGTCTTTTGTTTGTAAAAAAGGTCTTTGTTTCGCATAAAGTAACTTACATATTCATCTGGTAGTTTCTTTGTCAATAAGCTGATCACAATTGTTATGGCCAGTGAGATGAAAGCGACGATGCAGTTGAAATACAAGTAGTGAATCTTCACCACGGCCGGTCTGGTGTCTGGACTTCCACAAGGCGGTACTGGGTAGATGATGTCAAGAATCATGCGCAGCATGCCCAGGAAAATACCGATGATGAGCCCCCAAAAGGCACCCTGACAAAATCAAAGGAAAAAAAAACAACAACTAAAAAAAGCAATTTACGCTCGGAAATGATCATGCAGTTGAAGGGTTTTAAACTGCAGGTCGATTTCATAACCATTAATTTGCAAGAAAGAGTCCGGACACGCCCCAGTAAACTATCGCCCAACCTGATTCCTTTATGAAGGCAAAGATGGGAGGAGTAAAGTAGAACACGTGTTGCATTACATTGTTTGGACACACCCCTTTATGCGATCGCCCCGCCCTGTTCCTATTCAAGGATAGATACCCCAGGCCACGCCCATGGCAAAACAGGCAAAGATGGGTGGAGTAAAGTAGGACTGCATGGAATTGATGTGTATGGACAGTTGGACACGCCCCTTTATGCTCTCGTCCCACCCATGATCCAATTTGAGAAAAACAGACCTTCTCCGTGGTTCGTCCCCAGGCCACGCCCATGGCAAAACAGGCAAAGATGGGAGGGGTAAAGTAAGACTGCATAGAGTTGATGTAGACGAAAATTTGACCCGATTGCGATGATTGGACGATGGGTACCCACATGAGGCTGACAGCCAACAGGAAGACCACAAACAACCTGCAATTTAAAGAACAGTAAACCGGTTCACTCACTGAATTTTACGCCAACCTACGTTGGTAAATCATTTTTGAAACATTTTAGAAACTTTGCACACCGCGCTCACGATCACATGCACCCGGTGGCGTTGAACACGTAGCTGTAATTTTCCTACGAAGATGGCGTCCTATGAGAGAGACCTATAATGGATGTGTTATGATCAGAATATTTCTTACGACTTGTCTTAATTCTGTTTTATGTGATGTCAAATATACTGAAATCATTCTCAGCTCACCTCCCAACGGCCATGATTTCCCTATTGGTTGCCTTTGGGCGAATTCGACGCCAGATGTCCATAGTGAAGATGGTGCTACCGCTGTTGAAGATGGACGTGAGTGAACTCATGAGGGCGGCCATCATGACTGCCACCATCAAACCACGGACACCTGAAATTGAACACAGGGAACTTTAAGGGAGGCAGCGTCATTCAAGACGGGCAAAAGTGTTGCATGAACATACTTTGAGTAAAGGAGAGGCATAGGTAATATAATTCACCGTCAAACGGTACAGTGCCATCTATAATTACATATGCAAAAAAAATCTTACCACTTGGCATGAGCTCCATCACCAGCTTCGGGTATGCGATGTTGCTGCATCCTACTTCGCTATCACAGATTCGTTTACACTCGGCCGGGTCGACGCATGCAACATCATCTGTCAAGTGAGAGAAAAGATTTGTAAGGAAGACTTGTAAGTTCTCTTGATAGACAGACAATACGTCTTGCGGTAACATCACGTGTAGTCTCTTATTTCCAAAGACATAAATTCAACCTATGCATTTTACTCCCACACGTTGCAATCTGGGAATGAGACAGTGAAAAAATTAATTTAAGTGTCTTTTTAAAGGATTGTTTGAGTTATTTAAACAAAGATGAATCCAGATGCCTTTTTTTTTACTTCCCTTTCCCGAACGGCTTGACGTGAATAACGTCACGAGAGGTTCGGCACCCCCTCCCAGATTTTTTTTTTTATTTTTTTTTTTTAATTTGCAGTACTTGCGTTGGCCTGAAAATTGGGGAAATGTTGTTAATGGGTCCGCCTTTTGCGCCCCCTCATAACATGCTGGTGTTCCCCCACACACTGTAAAACATACTGGCTACGCTACTGCGTAGAGTATCATTTAGAACGGACTCCAAACGATTTTTTTATTGTTTGGGAACAAGCTACTTTTTTGGAGTCATAATCACTTTTTTGGAGAACGACCGCAGGAACTATAAAATCATTTAACAGGGACGGACAGGTGTAAAAGTGGATCCCATGTTTCTACCTGTGAATAATATCCGTGCAATCATGCCTGGGAAGACTATCATGAAGATCATGCAGAGTTTGAGGTAACTGGCGAGCACGGATCCCGCCTTGGCGTGGGTGACATTCTTGGCTGCCAGAGCACGCTGAACAATCACCTGGATACGAGAATTGGCGGGAAAGATTAATGTCATTTCTCAATGTTTAATGTTTCACCCATCATATCACCTGTAGAAAAAAACCGCACTAGAATAATATTGGTTCGTCTGTCTGGCTCTTGTAAATTTCCTTAAACCAAAACCTCGAATAGTTTCCACACAAAAGCCTACACTATGTTTGAAAATGTAATTAATGTATTTGTTCTTCACAGAGTTTTAAAGATTGACAGTTATTCGTGCACATGTGCAGGTTTCAATGTTAGTTAAACCTAGCTATCGGATTGGTTGATGAAATTACGAAAGAAACGAGTGGTAGGCCCTATGTACTCGTATGCGACTTCTTCGGTATCAGGCAGTCATATAAGATTTGTTTAACGCAGAATCGGACACGTATGTGTTACAAATAATTTGATTTAAAACTTGGATATTTCGTTTGAGAACCTATGACGGCAAAATCCACAAACCCTCTGACAGTGGGTCTCAAATTAAAACACATCAAACATCTCGCGAACTCAGCGTTCGTCACGTTTTGTACGTTTAAACACCATCGCTCAGTGTGACGGCACGTATTTCCTCAGAAATATCTGACTTGATAATCCCACATCATTCAAAAAGTTTCACTGGCCGGACTGAAGATAAAATAGGTGACTGTATTTCAAATAATTATCAAACCATACGACAAAGTCAACACTGGCTCAACAATCTCCGATACGGAGAAGACTTGAGCTAGGCGTCGCCAGGGTAAAACCACTCTGCTTGGTACTCTTCGTTTTTAATGAATTTGAACACTTTAGACTGAAACTTAAACAGCCGTTTTGAGACCGGCCGGGATCAAGGGTGGATTCCACCCCCGCAAACCTAGGCCGTGAAATGCGCAATGATTAAAAGAACGCAGCAAGTTGACCTAAAAATACAGGGATTTTATGGGAATATAGGCCTACACATCCGAGCATGCATGTATGGGATTTTACAACGTGTTTAGCGTCCTATTTGTTGCATTTATTTTGTGGCCTGACTGGGTTTATCCTGTCAAGGGCAACAAATACAGCTTACGCTATATTTGAAAATATTGCGCATTGATGACTAAAAGATTATTAATTTTATCATGCAGATGACAATTGGGTAAAACAATTCTGACACGGGAGTCTGTGACTAGACTATCAGTGTTTGGTACCGCGACGCTCACATGACAGTGAACACGTGAACGGTGATCTGGCGAGACTTGCACGCTCTATTCTTTTAAAATTTGGTATGCCCATAAGATATTTACATGCCAAATGAAGTTGGGGAAAAAAGCGTTCTGTAAAATGCAATCGGAAAAAATGTCTGTATTTTGTAGATAATAATTCTCAATATTATACCGTTTGTGAAAGACCACTCTATGTATGTGGCCAGTAAATGGTACGTATTTTATGGAACGTAGCATACCAAAACTGTGGCATTTCGCAGTGATACGGTACGTCGGAAATTTAACATCAATCCTATTTAAATTCTCAAATCTTGCGCATCTTGCCATGTGAACTCAATTTGGTTGAACTACGTAATGGTTGAAATTGGGTGAATTTTTATTAAACGCCCTTTCAAAGTACAAATCCACAAAAAAATGAATGAAAGCACAATCATTGCAATTAATGGCCGATCGTTACCTGATCGGCGCAAAAGTACCAAGTGCCCATGAAGAAGAGCCCGATGACCGCACCAGGCCAGGGCTGGTCCGATGTGACCGGGTCCCGCATCATATTGAAGGCGTCTGCTCGTGGGTAGCCGCACGCCGTGGTCGGGTCAGCCAGGGTCGTGTTAGGGATGGCTTGCATGTACTTCACTATTAGTTCCTCGTAGCCTCCTACTTCGCCGACAGCTGTTGAAACAAAATTGATAGAGGTGTCAATTTTGAAATTGCTTTGCAGCCAAAAAAGGCAGCTCCAGTAACCAAAAACATCGCGCAGGCAATCCATCAACGCCATTCACATGCACCCGAACAACAAAGCATAATGAGCAGTGGCAATATTTTTTTAATCATCTCAAAATCTATTTTACGACTCGGAATCTGTTCATGCAAACAAACACAAATGACCTAATTCAAAAATAAAGGCTTGCTACGAAAAGAATTGTTTGAATTGAAGAATTGCCAAATTATTATTAAATTATTCTTTTAAAACCAGATTGTTCTCAAATTCAAAGAAAGTCATCTGAAGTGTCTAAAAGTGTCTTTCTGATTATGGCCAAAATGAATCGCATCCATTGAAGTGGTTAAATTTTACACTGAGATATTCTCCAAATTGGTAACCACTTTTTCTGGCGAGCATGCTGGACGCCCAGCCAAATAAAAACAATAAGATAGTGATGAACGTTATCATACCGAGTCCCATGAGCACAAAACCACCGATGACCATGACGAACGAACCCAGCGTATCTGTGTACATCACCGCCCCGAGGCCGCCTGCAGGAAAAAGAAAGTTTAAAATTAGAAGAAAAAACTATGAGAGTCACCAAGATAGACTCAGAATACATAGGCCTATCTAGCGCAGTTCAGAAATATTTGTAAACTCAAAAATCAAAATGTTTACAATTTGCTCCAAGCCAAGAGAGCTGCATCTTTATTTGTTTAAGTAGTACTTTTAAACATTTTGTGGTAATGCTAAATTAGTATCAGGCCCTACAGATCCAATATTCTACGTCAGATTTAAATATAATATAGACACTGAGCAAGTTTTTGTTGTAGCAATTCAACGGAAGCGAGTCAGCCATGGACGAGAATTTCTATGCGCCACTCTGGTCCAAGTAAATGACAGCACCTTTATAGTATTTTTATATCGTGCATTTTTACCTGTGATTGTGTATGTGGTAGTAAAAAGCAACAGTACCACAGTCGATAAGTACATGTTCCAATCGAATGCTTGCTGGATGAAGATGGCTCCGGAGAAGATATCGACCTAGATTAAGAAGACAAATTAAGAAAAGAACAGTTGCAAAGAGTGATTGGAAGAAGATAAAAATGGCCATAGCCTTGCAAACTAATACACGATGGATAAAAGTGACGTGTGAGCTCTAGGAGGTGCCATCCAAGATGTTGAGATCTTTACATAATTCGTTACGAGACAATGACATCTCGAACGTAAGGTACGTGTCGACACGCCCAGGATCTTAATAACTCAAATGTCACCTCTAGATCTCCGTAGTGTGGCCTTTCAGTATGAGACGCCATACTTATCAAGAGATTGAGCGATGATACTTAATGAGCACGAAATAAACATTTTTGATGGTCTTATATAACATGTGATTTGGATTCATACTTCAGCCTATCGACTCAATGGAATAGAATATCTTTTTGATGGACCTAACATGTGATCAGTTGGTATCGCACTGCACCATTATGGACTTACCGATATTTTCATGAGGATGTACAGAAACAGCGAGAAGACGGACACGACGATTCGTAACCTTTGACCCCCGTAACGCTTCCTTAGATACTCCGGCATGGTGAACACCTTCAACAACAACAAAATAATAGCCGAAATCAACACCAAAATCAACCATTGTGCTTGCATTATCTAAGGACGCTACTGCATATGCAATTACTACTAATCCCATTCGCAAAATGTTGTGAAGGAAACGCAAAGCGTTGTGGGTAGGTCCGATTGCCATGTTCAATGCACGGGTAGTGCACACGCGTGTTGACCCCGTGACACCGACTACCCAAAATCTACCCAAGGAGAGCTCAAAGTAAATCAACATCTACATTTTACAGATATCATTTCTTCGACTCGTTTCTTCAGGGGTTTGAGTATAGCAGTGGGCGACTTTTGACTAATCATAACTTCATTACTGGTACCATGAATGAACCGACATATGGAAGCAAATACTAATTGTCATGACATTTTAAGAACCTTCATTTTATTATTCTTACCCCGGCAGAAGTGTAAACGGGGACGAAAACCCATGCGAGCAAGAGCACATAGTAGATTGCCTAAAAACGACAAGGGAGAAAATTTATAGTTCCAGCTGTTTTAACACTTTCAATCATTTCTCTTTCTCAAATCGTAACTTCAAGGCTTTCGCACGCCAGTCCATTAGTCCCATTTTTGAACCGATGAAAAGTAATTGAAAACATCAACAACGAGCCAGTTACCGGGAAACGGTTTAATTTTGAGTGATAGGGAAACAAGAAAATGTACTTCACGTGTTACAAGCGGTACGGTGAGCGCCATGCTTTAATCTTTTTACCAAAATGACGGTAGATCAACAGGGAGTGAGTAATGGCTCGATGTATTAGCTCGGACATTGATTTACTTCGTAAAGTGCCTTTCAGAATCTGCTCATGCATGTTCTTTGGAAATGGCAATAAATTTTCGTCTGTACTCATCCGCTTTACGACAGCGAGCACCGTCCATTAATTAATCAACGTTTAACATACACTGTTGCGAGTGGCATTAAATGATTAGCGCTTTTACCTATATACGCGTGGTAAACGTATGCTGACAAACACGCTCAACATAATTACTTTAAAAAAACAGGGGAAGCCTATGTATTGTAAGTACCTGTTTAAAAATAATGATCAGCTTTGTTTATAATTGTCAATTATAATGTTTAACGAATAAATCCATCGTAAAATAGAACCACAGTATTGAATTGAAACACGTTTAAATACGCCTTTGAAATAAAATTTCTCCAAATAACAGGCACAATCGAAACGGCAAGATAACGAGCTCTGTTCTTCTAAGAAACAAAAGGGATGCAGGCCAGCTTCTTCATTAATATAAGGTGAGACAGTTCAAGAAGCGTTTTAAATTTGTTTCAGAATTCTTCACATTTTCTGGGTTTTTTTTTTAAATCTTGCCTGGACTTCAAAGATACCGACAGCCAAGCCTGAAGCTGCCCCAGTACCGGCCAAGCCGATGAAGTGACCAGTCCCAACGTTACTGGCGAAGATGGAAGCGCCAACCTGCAAAAGATGTCCAATCCAAGCTCAAGCCGATTATGTTGTTAAAAATGGCATCGCTAAATCACAGGGATATGATGTTAATATTATCTGGAAAAATGTTATTTCTTCAGTCGAAGTGAAAACACGATGGGCCATCTTATCAAATATGCATTTTGGTGCAAAAGAAATCATAAATGATGGACTGAATTTTACACTTGCTCTTCAGTTTAATTAAAACATGGATTCAGGATGGAATATTGACTCTACACATTTTTATGTTTTATATTGTCCTGGCCACGTGGTAAACACACCCGGGGCCATCTATCGCCAGATCCTAGTATGGACCATAGTACATCCTTCAGAGGGGGTGTCAGTCTTGTGATCCTACTGGAGGGGTTGAAAATTGGCGGGAAAACCCTGTGTGCTTGTGCACATTTACATAGGCTTGTGTACAAATGCACTATAAACATTGGGATTATTTCGATCACCCCTGTGACCAAAATGGAATGTCAAATGGGGTTATGTCTGTGGTTTTAACGGCTGTTTGGCAACCTCGTCCCCAGGGTGTCGAGCAGTACGCGCCCACCACTACCTGCTCTCTCACCCTGGTATTGGATCATTTGCATGTGCAAGATTTTTGCACACGTATGCAAATGAGGAACAGTCTGGTGCCTGGATATGCGTTACACATTAGCGTTTGTTTTTGTATGCGGCGTCTGGGGTACAAACAGAGTCAATACGTAGCAGCGCGAGCACGGCGTGAGTTACGAAAACACGATTTTTGAAATCAAACTGTACGTTACGATCTTATCGAGACAACATGCAGTATCATATTTCATATTAATATGAGCATATTGGAAAGGAAATTAGTATTTTCGAGAAGGCGTGGACGAATGATCGCGAAAACACGTACTGCACGTTGTGAATATATAGCACCAAGTACACGATAAAAATCCATTACTAGCCAATTGCGGCATCCAATCAGGATACAGGAAGAAAGTTTCCTATCCAGGGTTTACTTTTGGAAACGCGGTTGGAAATAAAGTAAGCACTGGGGACGAGGTTGGCTGTTTGGGGCCTGAGAAATACTCCAGACATGCCAGAGGTTAATCAGGGGTGAATGGGCTGGTTGTGAGGGTCAGGTGGCTCAAATTACATGGTGTAGAAGCGATATTCCATACAGTCACTGGATAGTAAACATTAAAGGTGCTCGCTCCATTTTGTGGAAAGACTTCGGCGCCTTTTCTGTTTTCCGCATAAGTAGGTCGATTCCCATCAATTAAGTTTAACATTTTGAGATTTTATTCTAAATATTATGGGCTCCTTTGGTTTCCTCATCTTCTTACAGTTGCGAACAAACTAAGCATTTCCTCAACATTTCTCAAGGGCAGTGCCCAACAATCCGCCACTTCGTGAAAACCCATGTCAAAACTTGAAAATGAAAAGTAATTACGTGTACAATGCAATTATTAATGTAGGGGGAACGTACCGGCCACCAGGCCATCGTTCTACCCGCAAGAAAGTATCCCTTCGCATTGCTTCGGTTGGACTTGTACATCGACTGAACATATGGGGATAAATCAAACATAGTTATTATAAAATTGTTGCGATCAGAAACAATATTTGAACTTAAGAACACCACATGCGTATCAGTGCTCTTAGGCACACAATGGGCATGTATTTATTTGGGCAGTAAAAGGACTACCAAGATCCTGAACTTCAATCTTAAATTATTTAATTTATTTGCAGATTTCGACTTTTTTTTCTTCACCCCAACGACCCTTGCCATCTCACAAGTCTACTTCGTAAATCTCTCGTGCCCGGGTCGTATTAGTCCCCCACATGGAATGTTTAATTCACCCGACTATAATCGATAAGTTGGTACATGTAGTTGGTACAACAAATCAACATACCAATTTGTAACCTATATTTGATAACGGTTAGATAACGCTACAACTGACCCAATTTTGGGGCAGCCATGCAAAACTATAGAACCAATATAAGAGTTCGTTTCGGTGTCGATAAAATCTGTAGTCTACCATAAACTATTTTCGAAAATGTCCCTGTTTGGAAGTAATGTAAGCAGACCATGAATTCTTTCCTCAGAAAGCACCTTGTATACTATTCAACAAGTCTCGTTTTTCAACCAGAGAATACACTACAGCCACTGAAAACTATAAGCTAAAACTGATTGTCGATGAAAACCGAAATGTTAAATTGAACAGTACTTTACTTACCCACAAGCCAACTAAGACGACGAAAACAAAATACAAGCAGATTATCACAATATCTAGCGTGTCTACTCCCAGAGTGCCAGCCATGGTGCGTGCAGTGTGAGATCCTAACGAAGTCGACTGGACAAGTCAAAATTGTTCCCAGTTTAATTAACTACAATTAGATGTATCCCAAGCTCGCCAGACCACAGGAGACAAAGTACACACTAGATATGCATCTGGTTTGGGGTGACATGTACACTTTGTGACAGAAAGAAAAGAGATTTATTTGGTTTTCTGTCGATCAGCTGGGTAGGTGCTCGAAAAGTACCCGTGCAGTTTGATAACGTCGCTGAAAAATGACGACTGCGTGAATTTACTAGCGTTGCTATATACAACGGTTCGGCTGAATAATTGCAATACCGCTGCTACTTCTGCTGGTGTCTGTAGGCTAAGTACATGGAGTGTTTTTTTTTTTCTGTTCCAAGAAGCTCTGGAAATATTGAGCTTGAGCTTTGACGTGCTAACGAGCAAAAAGAACGCAGTCGATGTCCATGCAGCTGATTGGTTCGCGGGAGATGAGAATTTCTAATTCTAATTAAATATATTACTAAAGGGATGTTAATTTACCACCAGATGACATGACAATTATCCTGTATCTACATACAGGGCGTTGCTACAGCGGTTCGGCTGAAGAATAATTGCAATACAGCCGCTACTTGCGCTGGTGTGTTTAGGCTTAGTACGTCGTGTTTTGGGGGGTTTTTTTGGAGGGGGGGGGGGGACTAAGTTAAAGCTTTGACGTGCCATATACAGGGCACAAACGAACGCAGTAGATGCCACGTGCTCAAAATCGCTCCATGCAGCTGATTGCTTCACGGGCGATGAGAATTATTTTCTAAGGTTAATTTGTCAATTTAATATTTCACTAAAGCTATGTTAATTTTCCACCAGATGACACAAAAGTTATCCTGTATGTGTAGATCAATATCACCGAAAGCGCACACTGGCGTATGGTTATTCAAATTATGATTCTTTATACAATTTGGTATAAATTATTATTAATATGCAGACATGTGTGGTTTTGCGACGATAATTAGAAGTAAAGCAGTCCACATGAGGTCTTGTCGATGACACTTATTAAAAAAAGGAATGTTATTTTGAGTTGCATATCTGAGTTATTTTGACAGACGTGATTGAGTTGTCAGAGTTCGTTGCTTTTTGGAATTAATTTTCTCTCCCTCTGGGGATGATTGTGGCGTGGCGGAGGGGGTAAAGCACAGCCAGGAGGCGGTCGATCGTAATGAGAACGGCAGCATTGACGCAACAGGAGCAAATCCAAGAATCCACAACGCGGCTGGCGTCGCAGAGAAACTTTCCATACGGCCAAAAGTTGAGAGCAGCTGGGCCGATTAAGAACAATGAAAAGATACCGTAAACTAAATCGGACAGAATGACGTAGGACAGGAACACCTTGGAGCTGGGAGGAAACCGGGACAAGTCTACGAATCTCATGATGAAAAGACTAAAGATGTTCCCAGTGACAATCAAAAGGGAAGTAAGTACGACGAAGCATGTTCGCAAGCCCCTAATCATTCTTACGGACCGTTATCCAGTCTGGTAAATACATCCTCCTCGCTAGAGTAATAAGTCATCTCAGTCACGTTCCGTGATGAATTGAAGAGAAAAAGGTCAGTCGTATTGGTGTAAGATGCCATGATTTTGTCGAGTGTCATTTCACACAATAATCCACATTCAGAAAACGTTGCAAATTGTCACGACTTATTGAAGACTCCCTTGTCATAACTGTTATAGGCCTATAAGGCCGCGCTTGAATCTCTTGTCTAGAGATATTGTCGAAGTCTTCGCCACCCAACTTCGCCGGAACAAGCTGACAATAGACGTAGCACTCTGGAAGACCGTTTCGGACACGGCCTTAACACAATATCGGGCTACGAAGATATCGTAAGTTAATTTATTTGCTTTAAGCTACGTTGCTCCAAGTTCCGACCCTTCATTACCGAGCTAGTCGAAAGATAAGCTCAAATTCATCAAATGTTGTGGGTGGCCGTCAACATCAGACTGCGTATGCGATGGGAGGACATTCGTCTACATGACACTCGAGAGAATCTTCGTCTACAGTGCCTCCGACGACTTGGTTTTTGGTTTACGGTTCTATAATTAAGGAGGCTGATGCGCAGCATAACTACATGTAGTTAACGGGGTGATTGTTGTATGTGCTGCTGCTTGTTCGAATTATATACACAACGTGATAGCAAGCCTGAGCCTTTCTTTTTTACCAAACGAAGACATTAATTCCAATTGCAAAACCGATGACGATGAGTGCATTGACTGCCACGAACTTCTGCCATTTTGGATTTTCTTTGATGGACGCGACGTTCTCCGAGGATTCGTCGACTTCTTCCGAAATGCCGCACAGCCAGAAGACGGCTTTCTTCCAACGCGGGACTAGGGACGAGAAAACACGAGATTTACAACTTATAAATTTGATAACATTTGCGGAATATACACTCAAGTTCATGTCCTGTACCTATTTTTAAGTCGTAATCCCACAAAGTTTGAAATTAATTTGCTGCATTTTGACTCTTGAGGGAGGCACACACCTTGCTTGTCAACCTCATCGTCCGATTCTTCCTCGTCTTCTTCCTCGCTTACCGGCACAATCTTCCTGCTACTTCCAGAGGGAACCAATGGCCGTTTGCCACGTGTGGACCACGTCATCCCAACCACCTGTCATGTATGAATATTCGTTAAGGTAATTTGAAATCGTGAAAATACCATTTGTTTATTGTTGCTCATTACGCTAACGGTTGGTTAAATAATATAAAGAATAATTAGTATACCCTATACATCGAAGTTCAAAAGGGATATACATTAATATTTTTGCAGAAATGCTTTCGGTGCACTTTCGTTGCTCAATGCAGCTTTTTTCCTTGTGGTAGAAAGTAATTTGTTTGTGTCGCTAAAGTAACTCACATATTCATCTGGTAGTTTCTGTGTCAATAAGCTGATCACAATTGTCACTGACAATGAGATGACAGCGACGATGCAGTTGAAGTACAAGAAGTGAATCTTAGAAACCACGGCCGGTCTGGTGTCTGGACTTCCACAAGGCGGTGCTGGGTAGATGATGTCAAGGATCATGCGCAGCACACCCAGGGCTATACCGATGATGAGCCCCCAAAAGGCACCCTGACAAAACAAAGGAAAATACAACTAAAATAGCAATTTAAATGCGCTGAAGAAATGGACATGAAGTTGAAGGATTTAAAACTGTAGGTCGATTTCATAGGGTCGGTGTTGATTTGTAAGAAAGAGTCTGGACACGCCCCACAACCTGATCTCTTAAGGGAGGCACAGATGGGAGGAGTAAAGTAGGAATGTATTGAATTTGTATAGGCTGGATCCACCCCTATATGGAATAGCCCCGCCCCTGGTCCCAGAGTAAAGGTGAAACAGGCCACACTCATGGTGAAACAGGCACAGATGGGCAGAGTAAAGTAGGATCGCATGGCATTGATGTGTCTGGACACGCCCCTTTATACAATCGCCCCACCCTGTTCCCATTTAAAGATAATGGGTCGTCTACGTGGTCTGTCCAAGCCACGTCAATGACAGGCAAATATAGGCGGGGTAAAGTGGGACTGCATTGATGTATAGACGCGCCACTTTGTATAATCACCCCTCCCACTGATCCCGTTTAATATTAACGGACCTGCTCCGTGGTTCGCTCCCAGGCCACGCCCATGGCGAAACAGGCAAAGATGGGCGGTGTAAAGTAGGACTGCATGGAGTTGATGTAGTCGACTAATTGGCCCGATTGCGATGATTGGACGACGGGTACCCACATGAGGCTGACAGCCAACAAAAAGACCACGAACAACCTGCAATTTAAATAACGGTACCAGTAGTATTTTGCTGACTTTTTGATGCCTGTCTCACCCTCTGAATGTTACGTCAACCTTCCATGGAAACGGTAAAATGGATTCAGACTCTGTAGGGTCTCTCTCAAATGACGTCACTTCCTACAGATTGCCACGTGCCTCGGCATTTTGGGTGTCAAATTTTCGTGACGTCATTAGCAGCGCCGTATTTCGAAAAAAAATTGAGCAACACGATTTAATTCTGCTTTCTGTGATGTAAATTACTGAAACCGTTCTCAGCTCACCTCCCAACAGCCATGATTTCCCTATTGGTTGCCTTCGGTCGAATTCGACGCCAGATGTCCATAGTGAAGATGGTGCTACCGCTGTTGAAGATGGACGTGAGTGAACTCATGAGGGCAGCCATCATGACTGCCACCATCAAACCACGGACACCTGAAATTGAAGCAGGCTCATTCCAGACGGGCCAAGAATTGTGTATGAAGATACTTTGAGCAAAGGAGAGGTATGGGTATTGTCATTTATCGTTAAACGGCACCAAAAATGCCATCTATGCAAAAAAAATACTAAAACTTCTTACCACTGGGCATAAGCTCCATCACCAGCTTCGGGTATGCGATGTTGCTGCATCCTACTTCACTATCACAGATTCGTTTACACTCGGCCGGGTCGACGCATGCAACATCATCTGTCAAGAGAGAGAAAAAAATCTTCAGTACAACTTTTTGTTGGGTCTGAGACAGTCAACGAGTCTTACACTCGAGAATATCTTAAGGCTCTGAAAAGAACACTGTAAAAACGTACATTAAAAAAAATGTTGTATCACGGGGCACAGCAAATAGCCAAACTGAGCAGGGAGTTATTAGAGTGTACTTTCGTTTGATCTTTTTTTTTTCTTTTTGACGGGAAAGGGAAGGGGCTGACCAACAATGATTATACGTTCACTGTAAAACTGTGTTTAGCAATCAAACACTTTTCTAAAAACTTGCTTGTTATCACTAATTTGAAAACATGTAGTATATACTAACCATGTTTAGAGTATTGATGGATAGTTAAATGTTTAGGAATTGGACACGTGATGTTTAGCTTTTCATCATATTTACAAAGTGATAGCGAGATTGTGTTTAATTGCTAAAACACAGTTTTTAGAGCGTATTGAAATCGTAACGACATTTTCACAGATTCATGTCTTTGAAGTTTATGAATTAGCTTCCAAAGTGTGACATTTTACCTATCCCTGTTACGTTGGTATTTTGCCATGCAAGTATCATTCAGAATGACTTCAAACAATATATAGGTAGTTTGCTATTCATAATCACTCTTGGAGGACGACTACAATAAGGAGTGCATCAGAATTATCAAAATCGAAGATGTCAGATGTAACAGGGACAAGGAAAAAAAGTGGACCCCGAGTTTACTAAATGACCATTATACCTGTGAAAAGTATCCGTGCAATCATGCCTGGCAAGACAATCATAAAAGTCAATCCAAGTTTGAGGTAACTGGCGAGCACGGATCCCGCCTTGGCGTGGGTGACGTTCTTGGCCGCCAGAGCACGCTGAACAATCACCTGGTCACGAGAATTGGCGGGAAAGGTTAATGTAATTTATCAATTTGTAATAATTAACCCAACGCATAGGAAATTGGTTCGTTTGTCTGTCTTTTGTAAATTTCCTTAAACCAAAATCTATAAGTTTTCGCACGCACACTACATTTTGAAAATGTAATTAATTCATTTACAAAGTTTTAAAAATTGACAGATATTCGTGCACACGGGCTGATGTCAATGTTAGTTCAACCTAGATATCAGAATGGTTGATGACATTACGAAAAGAAGACAGCAATATATCATCCTTGGTAACCACTATTTCGGTGATTGTGTTGCAACATGCTGGGCAGTCAAATAAGATGTGTTTAATTAACGCAGAATCGGACACGCATGGGCCAAAAATAATTTGATTAAGAAAACGTGGATATTTCGTTTGAGAAACGACTGTGAAATCCACAGACTCTCTGTCAGTGTCTCAAATTGAGACAAATCAAATATCTTGCTAGCTCAGCCTTCATGTGTCACGTTTTGCACGTTGAAACACCATCGCTCAAAGTTACGGCACGATTTCCTTAGAAATATCTTTGCGTGGTTCTCTTAGTTTTAATGATTAATTGGAACACTTTAAACAGACTGAAAAGCCATTTTGAGACCTGAGGGGTGGGTTCCATCCCCGCAAACCTCGGTCGTAAAATGCGCAATGATTAATAGAACGTAACAAGTTGACGTAAAAATACAGCGAGATTACGGGAATAATATCCGGGCACCATGATGTACAGCACGACCCAAAATACCCGCAATTTGTTTTGCGAGGCTCTAGCGTCGCCGGCCGTGGAATCACGTACCGCCAAATTGTTTTTAAAAAAAGGAATATAAGAGCACAATCATCCCAATTAATGACCGAGTTTTACCTGATCGGCGCAGAAGTACCAAGTGCCCATGAAGAAAAGCCCGATGACCGCACCAGGCCAGGGCTGGTCCGATGTGACCGGGTCCCGCATCATATTGAAGGCGTCTGCTCGTGGGTAGCCGCACGCCGTGGTCGGGTCAGCCAGGGTCGTGTTGGGGATGGCTTGCATGTACTTCACTTGTAGTTCCTCGTACCCTCCTACTTCGCCGAGAGCTATTAAAATAAATTGATGGAAATGTCAATTTTTGAATTGCTTTGTTGCCAAAAAGGGCAGCATCAGTGACCAAACATCGTGCAGACGACCCAGAACTAACGGCATCAACATCACATAACCCAAACAACAAACCATATGCCTTAGCTGTACAACTGTCATTATTTTTGTTAATCTTTAACTGTTTTACGATTGTGCATCTTTTAATTCAATCATGTAGTCATCAATGACAATAAAACTTAAAGAAATGAAGCATTGCTTTGGAAGGGAATGTTGGAAACCTGCCCTTCCAATGTAGGAAAGTCATCTAAAGTGGCTAAAAAGTGCTTTGTTTGTGGCTATAAGCTAAGAAGAATCGCAGATATTTAAAGAGGTAAATTTTACAAGATATTCTTAAACTTGGTAACCATAATTTTTGTTAAAGTCTCTTTTCCTTCGTAGTACAGTTGGTGAGTTGGTGGACCCCCATCGGTTGGCAAATTTTAAGAGAGCGATCATACCGAGTCCCATGAGCACAAATCCACCGATGACCATGACGAACGAACCCAGCGTGTCTGTGTACATCACCGCCCCGAGACCACCTGAAAAAAAATCCCAGAAATTCCAACAAGGAAGAAATTTTATCATTAGAAAAAAAAATGAAATCTTGATGTGCAACCAAGAGAAACGCCACATGTAAGCTTGCGAAATTCGGAAATGGTAAAACCAAGAATCAAAATCTAAGGTGAAAGGAACATTCTTTAATTTTTAAGGTACAACTTTGAAAGGTTTTCGGGCTACTTCTTCCTTGATTAATACAGGCCTAATAGATCCAAGATTCTGCGTCAGATTCTTGATCAAATGTTTCCTTGATAGATAGGTCGAGCAAATTTTCGTCTAGCAATTCAACGGAAACAAGTCAGTCAGTGGCATGATCAAATGCCGAGCATTTTACACCAATTGGCGTCCGTATTAATTACTGTTCATTATTCTACGTACCTGTTACTGTGTATGTGGTAGTAAACAGCAACAGTACCACAGTCGAAAAGTACATGTTCCAATCGAATGCTTGCTGGATGAAGATGGCTCCAGAAAAGATATCGACCTAGATGAAGGTGAACATTTACAAGGAGAACAGTTGCAAAGAGTGATTGGAGGAATATTAAAAAGTAAAATTGGCCATAGCCTTGCACACTAATACGCGATGGACAAAAGTGCCGTACGGAACTCTGGATGCATCTTCAAAGATGTTGAGATCATCACATAATTCATTACGAGTCAATGGCTTCTCGAACGTAAGGCTTTTTTTTTTACCTGATTTTTGTTGCCTCAACTGTCGGCTGATGACTGCAAATGGTGCCCGACTAAACTTAGTGCAAATATAATGGGAGTCCAGAGAGGCCACATAAAGCTTATTCTCGATCATAACCCCATCTAAAAACACGTTAAAATTGTGCAGCAGCAGGATTCCAGTAAAACCAGCGAGTTTGGCGGTTTTGAGACATCATCTTTCATTGAAAAAAAAAATCGTTTTGTCGACGCGCATGGCTACGGCGACGCGCGCGCATACCAGAAACCGGAGACTTTTTTTTTTGGCCTAAGGTGTCGACACAACTGAAATGGCTTCGTCTAGAGCCCCCCTGCTGTCCCCACTTAAATCTCAAGTGGACTTCAATGGAATAGAATATCTTTTTGATGGACCTAACATGTGATCAGTTGGTCTCGCACTGCACCATTATGGACTTACCGATATTTTCATGAGGATGTACAGAAATAGCGAGTACACGGACACGACGATTCGTAACCTTTGACCTCCGTAGCGCTTCCTTAGATACTCCGGCATCGTGAATACCTGCAACATTGAATCGAAAACAACATCAGAATAAACATTTGTGCTCGTCTTCCACCACCATTGGGTAGCCCCTGTAATATTTTTTTCCCCACAAAAATTCATAAAAAAATAATGCCCCCCATGCTCTGACACCCCAAAATAATTATACTGATATCAATATACGCCTGTGCACAAAATACGGACACTAGCCTACTTGGTTATGGGGTATTTGTTCACTATCCTATCTACATAAAATCATCCCGTCTATAGACAAACCGTGTCTACATTTCAACCTTTATTTTCTGATGCCCCCCCCCCGGCAAAAATTCCTGGATCCGCCCCTGACCACTAATCTCCTTCACAAAATGTTGTAAAGGAAACGTACGCTTCGCAAAGCATTGTGGGGTGGTCTTCGTCGAGTTCAACTCACTTGCATTTCCTGCGCACGGGTCGTGCGCACGCGTATTGACCTCGTGTCACCGACTACCCAAAATCTACTCAAAGGAGAGCTCAAAAAAATTCGAGGTAAATCAACATCTCGCTCTGAGTAAAATAAACATATTTCGTATAGATAATCAACCCCCCCCAAAAAAAAAAACCCCCGAATCTTCGACGATTTCCTTCAGGGCTTGTAAGCAGCTAGGCGATTTTTAAGTAATCCTAATTTCATTACTGGTACGAGAAATGAACCGATATATAGAAGCAAATACTAATTTTCTTGACATTTTTAAGAAACTACTTATTATTATTCTTACCCCTGCAGAAGTGTAAACGGGGACGAAAACCCACCCGAGCAAGAGGACATAGTAGATTGCCTGAACACGACAAGGGAAAAAAACCTATAGTTTCAGTTGTCAATACACTTTAAAGTTGGTGTATATGTGCTTTTTGGGTTTGGCAACTAGAAAATAGATCTTCAAATTTAATTGAAAATTTTCCAGCCTTACATTAGCTATGAGCTTTCCTATGAAATAATGGGGAAAAAAATCGCCCCTCTACAAGAATCAAGATATAAATTTCAACTTTTGAATTAAGAACCGGACGCCCCTAATTCGTTCTGAATAGTGTGTGCAATTTCTGACCTGGTGCGCGCCATTTAAAACCACTTTTTAAAAACTGTACAAAGGCCTGCAAAAACTAACAAGCACATTATTTGTTACAGGACATTCCTTTAAATTTCGTTCGGAAAAGAAAATCAACATTTTGACAAAAGCACATACTATACCAACTTTAAGTCATTTCTCTCTCTCAAATCATCACTTCGAGGCTTTCGCACGCCGGTCCATTAAGCACTTTCTTGACCAACGCGAAGTAATTGAAAACATCAACAACGAAGTCACCGGGAAATTTTTAGTGATGAGGAATAATTCACTTCACGTGTTGCAAGCGATACGGCGGGGAGCGCCATGCTTTAATCTTTTTACCAAAAATGACGGTAGATCAACAGGGAGTGAGTAATGGCTCGATGTATTAGCTCGGACATTGATTTACTTCGTAAAGTGCCTTTCAGAATCTGCTCATGCATGTTCTTTGGAAATGGCAATAACTGTTCGTCTGCACTCATCCGCTTTAAAAGAGCGAGCGCCGTCCAAATTAAGTAATCAACGTTTAACATACACTGTTGGGAGTGACATTTAATGATGGGCGCTTGCCCATACGCGCGTGATAAACGTAGTGCTGTCAAACACACTCGACATAAAAAAAACAGAACACGGGACCCGTAATAACATGCACCTGTAATGTATGCCCGGTATATATTACAGGTGCCTGTTTGAAAGGAACGATCGGCTTTGCTTAAAATTTAGATTTATAATTGTTGAACAAATAAATCCATCGTTACATAGAACCACTGTCCACTGTACTGAATTAAAACACGTTTAAATACGCCTATGAATTAAATGTCTCCTAAATCATAACAGTGCACATTCGCAAGGACGAGATAATGAGTGTTGTTCTTATTATAAAAGACACAACTCACAAAAGGGATGCGAGTGAATTTTGCTACGCAACATCGTTTAACGCATTGATTTGTCACCCTGTGAGTTTTACACTGAAATATCGAAAAAACAAACAAACAAAAATATTGCTATAACAACAAGCATGTAATCATAGCTTCTTTACATACATGTAACTCGTTTGCGCAACCCAGATTTTAAACAGTCATTATTTTAAGGTGAGACAGTTTTAAATGAGCGTTTTGAATTTGTTTCCAAATTCTTCAGATTTTCCTCTCTTTTTTTTTTTTAAATCTTGCCTGGACTTCGTAGATACCGACAGCCAAGCCCGAAACTGCCCCAGTACCGGCCATTCCGATAAAGTGACCCGTCCCGACATTACTGGCGAAGATGGAAGCGCCAACCTGCAAAAAAAAGTCAAATCAAAGTTCCTGTATGTTTTTTTTTCTTCTTCAGAAATCACATCGCTAAACCACAGGAAAAGTATTTTTATTGTGTCTGGAAAAGTTCATAATTTTGTCCTCCTATATGAAGTGGAAATTATGCAATAGTCCTTAACATGATGGTCCGTGTTTGCTATGTAAAATATGTCATTGTTGTGTTCATGTGAGATCTTAACTAAATGTTACACTTGCATATCAGATTCTGACATTTAAGTCAATTTCCATTTGTCTAACATATAAAATGCCTTCTAAACCATTACTGGGCTCCTTTGGTTTCTCATCTTTGTGGCTATATTTCCTCAACACCTCTCAAGGACAATACAGAGCCGCCAGAATTCATGAAAACTCATTTCATAACTTGAAAATGAAAAGTAACGACACATTATAAGGGAAACATACCGGCCACCAAGTCATCGTTCTACCCGCTAGAAAGTATCCCCTCGCATTGCTTCGCTTGGACTTGTACATCGACTGAACAAATGAGGTTAAAACAAAGAGAGTTATAATAATTGTTGCGATCAGAAATAATGTCCAAAAACTTAAGAATATCTACATGCATATCAATTTTTTTGCCGGATAATCAACTTCGCACGCCAATCAACTCAAACACATCTATTTGTTTGGGCAGACAGAAAAATTGAGGTAATTAATCCTGCTCAAGGGCACCAACACCCTGAACCTCACTCGGGTCCCCGACTTTTTTTTTTTACCCCAACGACCTTTGCCATTTCACGAGTCTGCTTCGTAAATATGCCGTCGTAAATACTCCCTCACAATCATGACAGAATATTGGTATAAAGCTGGTTCCAAAAAAATCGGCGACACAAAATTTCAACAAATCAACATACAAATTGTAACCTATATTTTATAACGGTAAGATAACGCCTTGCAAAACTGGAAACATGAAAGAGTTCGTTTCAGTGTCGGTAAAATCTGTAGTCTACCATATTCTATTTTCGAAAATGTCTCTGTTTACAAGTAATTAGACAAACCATGAATTATTTCCTCAGAAACGCCCTGTAGGCCTACTCATTCAACAAGTGTTCCGTTTCTCAACCAGAGAGTACACTCCCACCGCTGATAACTATCAACTAGAACTGATTGTCGATGTAAACCGAAATGGTTATAAATTGAACGGTTACTTTACTTACCCACAAGCCGACTAAAGCGACGACAACAAAATACAAGCAGATTATCACAATATCTACCGTGTCTACTCCCTTAGTGCCAGCCATGGTGCGTGCAGTGTAAGATCCTAACGAAGTTGTCAGGCAAGTCAAAATTGTTCCCAGTTTAAATTAACTACAATTTGATGTATCCAAATCTTGCCAGATCACGCGAGACAAAGTACACACTTCTATGCATCTGGTTTGGTACAAAAAAGTACACATTGTGACAGAAAGAAATGGCATTTAGTTTTCTGTCGATCAGCTGGGTACGTCGAGGTACGTACTCGAAAAGTACCCGTGCAGTTTGATAACGTCGCTGAAAAAAAATTACGATTGCATGAATTTACAAGCGTTGCTACAACAGTTCGGCTGAAGAGAATACATGTAATTGCAATGCCGCTGCTACTCATGTTGCTGGTGTGTTTAGGCTAAATACATTGTGTTTTTTCCTGCTCCAAGAAGCTGGGGAATATTAAGTTTAGCTTTGATCAAGAGCACAAACGAACGCAGTCGATGTCACGTGTTCAAAATCGCTCCATGAAACTGATTGGTTCACGGGAGATTTAATATTTGACTGAAGAGATGCTAACTAACCACCAGATGACATGACAATTATCTTGTATGTAGATCACTATCACCGAGAGCGCACACTCACTGGCGTATGGTTATTCATACAAATTCTTACAATTTGGTTATCTGATCACAGCACGTGGCGAAACGACGCCAATATCAACTTTTAAATATACGAGGTTTTGCGACAGTGATTAGAAGTAAAGTATTCAACATTAGGTCTTGTCGATGACACTTATAAAAAGCGATATTTTTCAATAACATATCTGGGTTATTTTGACGGACGTGATTGGGTCATCACAGTTCGTTGCTTGTTGGGGTTGTTTTTCAACCATCGCTTATGAGCAACTTTCAGAGCTGTCTTCCTGAATTCCTTGGCCATCAAGAAGTAGATGATGACATCCCACCAACTGTTGCTGAAACAGAACCAGTTGATGAAAAAGTCGACCAAGGGCGGGGCTTCGGTTTTCAAGAAGTAGCTTCGAAACGAGACGACGAAATAGGGCGTCCACGCGATGCAGAATGTCCCGGCGATCAGGCTGCACATTTTCAGGGCGCGATGGCCTTTTACCGGACCAGTACCACCCGAGCTTTTCCGGCAGGTGGTTCCTCTCGTGCGCAACTTGGCGCGGCGGTTGGTGTGTTTTCGCGCCACCAGGTACAGTTTGGTGTAGCATCCGATCAAGATGGCAGCGGGAATGACAGCCGAGTAGGCAGCGAAGAAGATCAGACGAACCAGGTACGGACTGGTGCCGATCGACCACTTGATCAAGCACATCATGGCGGCGTTGTTGTAGGAGACTTGAACTGCTCCTGTGAACATAGACAAGGTGATTACCAAAGCAAAAATGGTAGACACTGCGACAATGGCTAGCGCTCTCCTTCTGGGGATGATTGTGGCGTGGCGGAGGGGGTAAAGCACAGCCAGGAGGCGGTCGATCGTGATGAGAACGGCAGCGTTGACGCAACAGGCACAAATCCAAGAATCCACAACGTGGCTGGCTACGCAAAGAAAGTTTCCATACGGCCAGAAGTTGAGAGCAGCTGGGCCGATTAAGAACAATGAAAAGATACCGTAAACTAAATCGGACAGAATGACGTTGGACAGGAACACCTTGGAGCTTGGAGGAAACCGGGGCGAGTCTACGAATCTCATGACGGATAGACTAAAGATATTTCCGGCAACGATCAAAAGGAAAGTCAGTACGACGAAGCAAGTCCGCAAGCCCGTAATCAGCGGGCTGTACGGACCGTTGTCCGGCGGCGGTACATCCTCGCTAGAGTACGTCATCTCAGTCGAGTTCCCTGATGAATTGAAGAGAAAAAGGTCAGTCGTATTGGTGTAAGATGCCATGATTCTCTCGAGTGCCATGTAACGCAATCTGCATTAAAAAACGTTGCAAATTTTCAAGACTTGTTGAAAGCTCCCATGTCGTCAATAATTATTATAAGGCCGCGCTTGAATGTCTTGAGATCTTGTCAATGTCTTCGCCCTATTTCGTCGGAACAAGCGGACTGTACTGTAGCGCTCTGGAAGCCCGTTCCAGACACAGCCTTAAGGCTACGAAAACATCATATGATAATTTGGTTTGCTGTAAGCTACGTACGTTGCTCCAAGCTCGGATGCTTTCATTACAGAGAGTATCATGCTCCTGGTGTTCCGCCGTCGTGACCGTGCGATTTCATTAATAACACAACGGAAATGAAAGCACGATAAATGCCATACCTACTGATCTGGTCTGAAGATAAGGTTATATTAATCAAAGGTTGTGGATGGATGCCCACGTCAGGCTGGATAATAGAAGAGAAAAATGTCCTCGCTCTCCTTTGACTCTGATGAGTTGTTTTTCCAGCTAGGGTTATAATAAACGAGGATGATGCGCGGCGTAATAAGTTATTAGTGATGTGCCTGTTGTGCTGCTGGTGCTGTTTGACCAGTGGATCCGCTGTTTGCATGTGTTCGTTAAAACCAAGATGAGACGTTCCCGTGGACGGTCGTTTTATTCATCAATTATGTTCAAGGCAACCTGGACGGGGAAGGCGACGTGTCGTATTATAATCCCAAACATTCATAGGTCATTGAGTTTCAACATTCTGGCGTGAGAGTTGGATCCATTAAGCTTGTTGGATAAATAAAGGTGGAATATCCTCTCGGGTAATGTACACCACGTTCAAGGAATTCTCTTTCTCCGGGAAGTGGCAACAGCACTGTACGCAAGTGTGACAGCTAATTGGTTCACGGGAGATGTGAATTTCTAATGATTATTTAACAATTTAATACTTCACTATAAAAGGGATGTTAATTTACCACAAAGTGTCATAAGAATTATCCTGTCTGTATTATGTATACATCACAATCGTTGAGGGCGCACAGTGGCTGGTTATTCAAATATGGCTGTATACAATTTGGTTGTCTGATATCACAGCACGTGGTGACACCATGCCGATATCATTTTTTTTTTAAATCCAACGATTTCCGACGGTAATTAGACGAAACGTTGTCCAAATTCTTGTCGATGACACTATGCCCAAGTGAAAGAGACTTATATTTTAGAATACAAATTCAAATACTACAGATCTGGGTTATCTTGACGGCACTGCGTCGTCACAGTTCGTTGCTTGTTGGGGTTGTTTTTCAACCATCGCTTATGAGCAACTTTCAGAGCTGTCTTCCTGAATTCCTTGGCCATCAAGAAGTAGATGATGACATCCCACCAACTGTTGCTGATGCAAAACCAGTTGATGAAAAAGTCGACCAAAGGCGGGGCTTCGGTTTTCAAAACGTAGCTTCGGAACGAGACGACGAAATAGGGCGTCCACGCGATGCAGAATGTCCCGGCGATCAGGCTGCACATTTTCAGGGCGCGATGGCCTTTTACCTGACCGCCCGAGCTTTTCCGGCCGGTGATTGCTCTTACCCGCAACTTGGCACGGCGGTTGGTATGTTTTCGCGCCACTAGGTACAGTTTTGTGTAGCAGCCGATCAAGATGGCAGCGGGAATGACAGCCGTGTAGGCAGCGAAGAAGATCAGACGAACCAGGTACGGACTGGTGCCGATCGACCACTTGACTAAGCACATCACGGCGGCATTGTTGTAGGAGACTTGAACTGCTCCTGTGAACATAGACAAGCTGAGTACCAAAGCAACAATGGTAGACACTGCGACAATGGCTATCGCTCTCCTTCTGGGGATGATTGTGGCGTGGCGGAGGGGGTAAAGCACAGCCAGGAGGCGGTCGATCGTAATGAGAACGGCAGCATTGACGCAACAGGAGCAAATCCAAGAATCCACAAAGCGGCTGGCGACGCAAAGAAACTTTCCATACGGCCAGAAGTTGAGAGCAGCGGGGCAGACTAAAAACAATGAGAAGATACCATAAACTAAATCTGACAGAATGACGTAGGACAGGAACACCTTGGAGCTTGGAGGAAACCGGGACGAGTCTACGAATCTCATGATGGAGAGACAAAAGATGTTCCCAGTGACGATCAAAAGGGAAGTAAGTACGACGAAGCATGTTCGCAAGCCCGTAATCAGCGGGCTGTACGGACCGTTGTCCGGCGGTACATCCTCGCTAGAGTACGTCATCTCAGTCACGTTCCCTGATGAATTGAAGAGAAAAAGTTCGGTTGTATTGCTGTAACATGCCATGATTTCGGAAGTGTCATGTTACGTACGAATTCCGTATTCGAAAAGTTTGAAAAATGTTCAAGACTAGAAGACTCCAATATGTCGTCAATGTTAGAAGGCCGCTGCCTGAATTCCGTGTCTAGACTGTCTAGGTCTTCGCCCAAATTCGCCGGAACAATCTGACAATAGACGCAGCCGTAGCGCTCTGGAAGCCCGTTTTGGAATCGGCCTTATCGTGCAACGAAGACCTAATTACTCCATTTGTTTGCTCTACGCTTGCTACAAGCTCAAATGCTTCATTACCCCGGAATAGCCCTGTCAAGCACTTTTCATTTCATTAAAACTACTGGAGATGAAAACACATTACTGACAAATCCTGGCCGAGCGAAGATAAGCTCAAATTTATCAAAGGTTGTGGGTGGATGTCAACATCAGACTGCGTATGTGATGGGAGGACATTCGTCTCAAGTGTCTCCGACGACTTGTTTTTTGGTTTACGGTTCTAAATAAGACGAATACTGGTGAATCTCCTGTGTTTGTCGACGGTCTTTTATTTATACAATGTAAATTGTGTTCAAGGCAACCTGGACTGGAAAGGCTACTGTCTTAGAATCCCAAACATTAATGGATTACTGAGTTACAGCATTCTGACGATAGAGTTGGATCCATTAGGCTTGTTGGAGTAATGAAAATGGAATATTACCTCGGGTAATGTACATAACGTTCAGGGATTTCTCTTTCTCAGTCCGTGAAGTGACATCAGCGTTGCACGCAAGGTTCGTCTTAAAAAAACTCAGTAAGATTAAAACAAAAGAAATGATTCTACAAGCTTACTCGGGCCAGACTTAAACCCCGAAATCCAAAACATCGATTATAAACATTTTTGACATCAATAAATACGCTTTTTAGCATACAAACAATTCCGAAAGGTAAATAAAACACATAACGCACTGGATGGTTATGAAAGTGTTAATCAGCATGTATTTACGCTACTTTTCATTTTTAAAATAATTGTATCCACATATACAACATTTGTTATCATAATTTCCCGTTAAAGGGCAATAATGCCACCTTCATCCTAACTCCCTGGCATGATTTACTAGGAACCATACCATACCCATCCTGGCAAATTCCAACACCATATGGGAAACTGCACACACATATTTCTGACTTAATTCTGGAGGTGTGCCAACCCAATGAAAAAGACCGTCAGTTTAGGGGTACTATACCCATCCTGACAGATTCCAACAAAACATACCGTTGGGGTTTAATGGGTTGAGTTCTGTTAGGCTTAATATCAAAATGTGTTCTTCATGGTTCCTCATCAACAAAAATACATAGTGCTATTTTGAAGGGGAAAACTACATACGCGGGGAGATATTTTACCTCGAGTGAAAGAACTGTATTTTGGGGATCCTCTGTATCATAGACTTGTTCTTGTCATTAATTTATACACGAATTTATTTCTCTGTGTATTGAGAAAACTAAAATCGGCGCTGAGAACATGCGAAAATATTTAAAGTATATAACAATAGAATATGAAGTTACATGTATATCAACATTAAAAATCTATTAGATAACTGAGTTTATATATACATGTACATATACATGTGATTTTACATATACCAGGTAACTTGACCATGTCATTCATCTTTCGGATACAACTTCTCAAGACAGAAATGTGTCTTGACAAAGTTGTAATAAAGTGATCACTAGTAAAACACAACTCATACTCAGTCTCAAGTTTATAGCGGCAAGCTTCTCTGTCACAGGCTGAACTATTCTGGTTCAAGCTGAACTGTGACAAAGGCAAGTAAGATTTGAGGCTTTGCATGGTGGAGATACTAAATAATGAAAGGTTTGCGGAAACACCATGTACGAATAATTTCTCAACTAAGAGAATGCTTCTGAAAAGAACCAGAGGTATAAACTCGACGTTCCGGTCAGTATGCTCTGACCGTCTTCAGGAGAGACAAAGGCATTCCTTAGTCATGTCCATTTCGTTAGCTGTGGCCCGACTTGTGATTTGACCTCAGACCTGACTTGTGCGTGACTCAGTTACAACTCTGAGAAGGGGAGCAATGTCAAGATATTACCAGTGTTGTAGTCGAGTACTTTTCCGAGTACCACCGAGTACTGCCGAGTACTTAGGTCTCCGAGTACGAGTACTTGTACTTCCAAGTACGAGTAAGAGTACTACTTGTGCGTAATTGGCCCAGGCCCATATGTATGAACAAGTACAATTTCGACATGTCGAGTACGAGTACTTTGCTGCCCGAGTACGAGTACCATCATTTCGAGTACAAGTACTTTGACATTCGAGTACGAGTACGAGAACGAGTACTCCAAAAAAAAGTAGTTGAGTAGTACTCGGGTACGAGTACAGAGTACGAGTACTACAACACTGGATATTACACACCCTATTAAACTCCTCTTAAATACTCTATAAGCTACATTTCACATTGTACAGCCCATTGCCCCTTAGACAGTAAGCATATTTGCCAGGATCTTTTCTGAATCCTCCCAAATCCTCCACTCTGTAGAAAACCAATGGCAGATTGTACCCTAGCTATCAATGAGCATCAAGCTCTTTGAGGAGACTTAGATCCTCTAAAACCTCCTGGCAGATTCTGGAGGATCTTAGAAGGTGAGGGTTAGAAGGAATATATACAAGACCAATCCATTAAACTCTATTCTACTAATTCTTTAAAAGCCTGGCTAATTGCGCCTCAATTTCTTGATCAGCTGCGTCCTTCGTCTTTTCTTGGCCCGCTGGTAATGAATGTGAGGCTGTTGGTGCATCTGTTAGCTGTTGGAATGATGACAATAAATGTCACATAACGATTGTTGAGCACGGAATTTCATTTCCAGTCCAATTATTGAATCAAGTAAATGGAAAGGTACCTTTTAGGGACTTAAATTACACCTGTTGTTTTATATGTGATAAACAAATTAAAATTCACCATTAGTTCGCTAATACATGAACATCTTGACCTCAAGTGTGAAAATATTGTTGACACACCAATTTGTAGCCCTTGCAACCCAAAACAGTATGGTAGCAATGATGAGATATGCACACATCTTCATTATCATGCATGAGGGAACGAGACCAATATGGTGGGATGGTTTGTACCGCTTGGACAACATCTAAATGACAGGCTATGGCTGCTTCCATAGATACATGTGTAATTGCAAGCCGCAGCCACTAAATTCGGACACGGCTTACCTTGCCAGATACTTCAATGCCAATCTCATCAAGGACCTGGCTGACAATGGCGTCTTGCTCCTCCTCGTCACCTGACTCCTCAAACATGGCGTCCAATGTGTCATCCACTGAGGGAAGAGAAAAAATGGAAACAATTTTTAAATGTGTAACGTGGATATCTTCACTTTCCTTCTTGTGAAACGACTGCGGATAAATCCTCCTTGATGAAATGCCAGTCCATTGCAAGTTACTTGCCTGCTAATGCCAGTACCCCCTTATACTCCTGGGTGGAGAGAGGCAAATTGAGGTAAAGTGGCTTGCTCAAGGACACAGCATATGAGTACAGTAGTAGTTTTACTTGAGTGTACTATGGAAATTGGATTAGTTTGACCGGTCCTTGATCAATGGTTTGACAAATGCAGTCTGGCTTGATTAGGTCGATCAGATTCACTAATATGACTGACTCAGTTATTTATTTTTTATAATAAATGCCAATAAAAAAACCCAGAAATTCAAATTAGCCTAATAAGTTCATTCACCCCATGATAACTAGGGACTTACTTTTTTTAAATGTAAACTGCAGTATCCACAGATGTCAGCCTGCCCTTAAGGAAAAAGGCTCACAGAAAGACAGATAGACCAACTGACAAACAGACAAGTAATGGACTTACTGAGTTCCTCCTTCATGGCCATCTTGTCTGATTCCATCTGGAATGCCTTCATATCCTGCATCATCTTCTCAGGACTCATCGCTTTGTTCATTGCGCCCATTGCCTGTTTAGGAGACGAGAGACAATCAGGATGATTCCTTCAAGACAGTTTGATCAATGCACACCTTAGTTTAACAGACTCTTATTTTTTTCCAACTCATTCTGGTTTAAAATTTTATTTCTTACTTTTCGTTTCTTTTCTAGGCTTACCTTTGTTGTGTTTCCCATTGCTGCTGCCATGGATTTGTTTGACTGCATTGTCTGAAAAATGATAAAGAAAAAAACAACAGAAGACAATAAAACAACTTCCTGTTTGACTTTCCAAAGACATTAACCCTCCTATGCAAACAAGCATTCTGTACAAAGTTATCCTTTCAGTCAAAATCAAGTTACAGTTTTAACAGTTAAGAGCTCCCAGCATACATAAAGCAGGATTGACTGGCTGTGACTGCTAATGCAACTTGATACAGCTATCTTTTGCCTGTAGGCGATTGATAAGACAGCTGTGCCTACCAGTTGCTTGCTTTTGTCTGTTGATGGAATTTGACTGAAGTCAAAGTGCTTGCTTGAAATATGATCTGACTGTTGGTGACTAGCCTGTCTTAAAGGCATGACAGGGGAAGAGGATTGATTTGTTGGACTGTCTACGACTGTTCAGACAGCAGCGGAGGGTGAATGGGTAAAAATCAACCCCCTACCAAGGTCACCTGCACCAAGTGAAAATTCAATGGGTACTGACCAAACCGCACTCCACTGAAAATTGACTTGCACCCAGTGATTTCTTATGCCTTTTTGGGCACATGAATCCGAAATCCCCCCTACTCACAACCCAGTATTTATGCTCATTTGGGTACATAATGTTAACTGGGACCTCCCGACTCACACCTTATATTTATGCCCATAACCCAAAATATTCCTGACTCACGCCCAGTTTGTACCCATTTGGGTACATAAACCCTAGACCCTCCGGATTTACACCAAGTAATGAAAGCCATTTAGGTACATACAAACCCTAACTTCCTCACTTACACCCAGTAATGGCACCTGTTTGGGTACATAAACCCAACCCTCCTGACCCACACCCTGTAATGAAACCCACTTGGGTACATACAAACCCTAAACTTCCTTACTTACACCCAGTAATGGCACCAGTTCGAGTTCATAAACCCAACCCTCCTGACTCACACCCAGTAATGAAACCCATTTGGGTACATACAAACCCTAAACTTCCTCACTAACACCCAGTAATGGCACCCGCTTGAGTACATAAACCCAAACCCTCCTGACTCACACCCAGTAATGAAACCCATTTGGGTACATACAAACCCTAAACTCCCGACTCACACCCAGTAATGACACCCGTTTGGGTACACACCTTTGCCTGTGTATTGACGGATGAGACCCTGGCGCTTGCTCCATACATCCGTGTCTTCTGTTTCCTTAGATTCACCAATTGCTTGGCCAATACAGTTGCAGCCTGCAAACAACACATGCAGCATTAACAAAAAATAACAATAAATTTGTTTTTAGCAGACTGTGTATTCTTTTTGCCAAGTCTGTGGCTTCAGGCCTGATGAATATATCACTTTGTGAAACCAATGCTCAATAGAAGCACAGTGTCTTCAGAAGGATAATATCTAGTAACAGTTGCATCTACCACAATATGTGCCTGATACAGATAAAAATGGATCAAAAGACAAAATACAAAACATTATTTTTAAGCTCACCTGTTTGTTTCCTTGTTTGGCAGCCTTTTTGATTTCCAGTGTCTAAAAATAAAAACAATTAAACAAACTTTTTTTATGTGACATTCTAAATGAAACCAAATATAAAAAAACATTAAATATGGACCAAACTATAAAAAATTTCCCGGGCAACGTTTTTGCAGCTTGCTTATTCCACCTTCCAAACTTCCATTCCGTACACAGCAAATTCTGTACCAAAACAAGCAGTGTTTTGTTCCTGGTTGAGTATGGTTTCCCACCTTTTAACTAATATACAGTTAACTTAGGCCAAATAAAAAAACCAAATACATATTTAACGTCCCCGCCTGCTTCCTTTATGTTCCTTTAAAATGTCGACTGGACTCACAATTTTCTGTTCTTCTCGTTCTAGTTTGGCTCGGTCTCGTTCCAAGCCCCGTTGTGTGTTCTTCAGATCTCTGTCTACTTTCCTCATCACTTCTGCAATAATAAGGGTCATTCCAAAACATGTTGGTGTTGACATTAGTGTAACAAATTGGACAAGCCGCTATTCTTGTTGGGAATGGTATTGACGCATAGTTCAATCTGCTATCAACTTAAACTAACATTCTGAAAGATTTCTCTTTCTCATGCACGGCCCTGAAGGATTTGTTTAAAGGGAAAAGTAAAGTCTGAGAACCATTTGGTTGACAAATGACACATACATGTACGTATTATAAAAATGTATACGCATTATGCACCTATCAATTGTTGTTTGACCTAATACTAGTATTCAACGTCAGGAGCTTTGGTTGTTGGAACCAGAATACCAGACTATGAATTCAACTGAATGGTTCTCGTACTTTATTAAAGAAATACAAAAGAACTCCAAAGCCACGGTCTACGAAGAAGACTAAAAAAAATTAAAATTTCATTGACACATGAAAGTAAAGAAAACTAAAAAAAACAAAAACAAAAGAGCACCGTCATGACCGTGGTAGCAGTTTCGAACCCCGCATCCATGCATCCCCGCCATGGTAGCGTAACAAATCAAGCTACCAAAGCGTTCTGGTTGGACAGGTATTTATAACTAATTCTAGCATGTCTAGGGCCTACCTCTAGATTTGCAATGGTTCTTTTGCAATACCATAATGATAACACAATGTCAGTTAAAAATAGCATTACGGTTGCTGTATCGATAACCACTAGTCCAATAATATATAAACGGCATCGACAAATAAAAAAAACCATTTTGCATAAATAAAATACTCAATAAAATTACCGTAGCATGCCATTGGCAAATAAGCCTAGCCTCTAGGCTATCCCATTGTACGTGTGAACATGGTATAATGAACATCAACATGAACATTTACTAAGTACTAAAGTAGGCTCTCTCTCTCTCTCTTCCGGCATAATGTCCGGTGAAGTACACAGTCCACTACAGGCCTATGGCCAGGATAGTGAAGACAGTATCAAATAACACTCGCAGTCGCAATGAGATAAACGTACCTTTCTCGTTTGGCTTCTTTCTGAACATTTTGCTTCCAAAAAGAGAAAATCTAAACCGAGAAAATTGACTGCTTTCAGTTCGTAAAGTTGGGAATGTTTTGCGTCAGGTGCTCGTGATACGCGTGAATCAGGGTCCTACTAAAGCGCGTCAACAAGCGTCAACAAGCGTCAACAAGTTTTAGTAGTCGTTAAGTGCGCGTCAACAAATTTTGTATAGGCCTTTGAACAATAAAAACAGCTTTATATGGTAGAAAAAGCAATAATGAACATCTTCTGCATATCAATTGAAGTTAAAATTACTTAAAAAGTGGTTTTCCAGCGCGAAATCTACGACGGGTTTTTAGGTTTAGTATTGGCCGCCATCTTGTTTGAGATCTACATACTACGCATGCGTGGAGTGTACCATTCACGCATAGGGGTTTCTTTATACGATACGCTTAGCGATACCTCGTTTATTAAGAAATTAGGAAAACTATTTTTTTTTTTTCAATTATAAATTATGCAAAACTTGGTACCGGTACTTGGCTAATTATTTGAAAAATATGCAGACTGACACTGTTCACAATGTCTGCCAAAAAATCCCAATGCAAAAACCAAACGAGGTTTCGCAAAGCGTATAGTATAAAGAAACCCCTATGCGTGAATGGTACACTCCACGCATGCGTAGTATGTAGATCTAAAACAAGATGGCGGCCAATACTAAACCGAAAAACCCGTCGTAGATTTCGCGCTGGAAAACCACTTTTTAAGTAATTTAAACTTTAATTGATATGCAGAAGATGTTCATTATTGCTTTTTCTACCATATCAAGCTGTTTTTATTGTTCAAAAGCCTATAAAAAATTTGTTGACGCGCACTTAACGACTACTAAAACTTGTTGACGCTTGTTGACGCTTGTTGACGCTTGTTGACGCACTTTAGTAGGACCGCCTGATCATGCAGGTCAAACAATAAATAGCGACAGCGCCCTCAAGAGTCCTTAATAAAACGAAATGACCTCATGTTTATTTTTAGGTGCTGTTTCTATTTTTGGCTCTCTGCATGTGCCCGGTGTCACATGAAAATCCAACTCCCTAAGAAAATCGGACCCCCTTTTTCCTATTATTGGATAATCCCTCGCACGTGACCAGTTACTCTTATCTAATTAACATACATACGCAAGCGCAATACTACCAACGAGTCCATATTTCATGGAGTCGGATATTCACGCTACACCGGTGTCCTATGAAAATCGGACTCGTATGAAAATCTGACTCCTTTTCCCTGGTATTGGTTAAAACCCATAAAAAGGAATGATTTCTTTTAATAGAAGATTTTTTTCCAGTATCTTGCAATTACTTCAAGTCTTTTTTTCTTTACCCCAGTCCGAATAACTTATGGCTACGGCTTAATTGCAGTCGCTACCAGCGTATATAGACTCATGTGTAATTCCCAGCCGCAGCCAAAGTAATTCGGACACGGCCTATGAGGGAATACTCTTTTTGGCAGCCGACATTTCCTGTTCGAAGAAACAAATCATACAAAGACAGAAGTTTTAAGTTCTGAATGCCGAGCATTACATTAGAGAATATCTATGCGCAAGAGCTTGTGAGTGTCAATAATTGACCATAAACCTTTATTCTCATCTCGTTTGGATTAGATGCCGTCCTAAAACGTGAGCTTGCATATGACTGACACATCATTACTGTTTAACTTGTAGCTAGCTATGTGCGGTGCATGGGTGCATACATAAATGCCCCCTTTTCAGTAGGACCTATTTCTACATGGATCACTTTTGCCACACTCCAGTTTCTGGGTCATTTTGTTATGTTTTCTGGGTTACATTGAGAAAAGGTAACAATAGTTCCCGCCTTTAAAACAACACAAAGTGCTATTGTAAGCGAATGTGTTAACATTGAGATTATGCATATAGGCCTACGTACTATAATGCATGCCACAATTAAAGTTCTTTGAATACAGAATTATGTATAGGCCTACATGTATCTCCCCTCCCGTAACTGCTAGTGTGTGATGTGTTATACCCCCACTCCAGGGGCACGGATCCAGCTTTGGATAAGGGGCGTGGGGTGGGTGGGGGGTGGGGGTGGGGGGGGGGGGGGGGGAGGGGGGGGCAGCTGTTAAGGGGGTGAGGGGGGTAGCGGCATGTGATATGTTTTGGTTCGCGATTTTCCTATTTTTGGCGCCCAGGGGGAGGGGTTCTGGACTCCCATACACCCTCGGTAGATCCGTCATAGTGCGCTCATGTTATCGGCTGTAAAGTTAATTGGATTCGGTACGGTCGGTTGCTTAATTGCGTATGGCTATCGATTCTCCAGGCACTTCAGTTTTATGCTGACACTAAATACCGGTTTGTTTTGAAAACAATGGCTGCTACAATGCCACAGTATTTGAGGTGTCCTAAGAGTGAGCAGTACTAGTGATCAACATATACTCCCCGGCCCGTAAAATAATTGTTATTTCCCATATCGATCATATCAGTTTATTGTTGAAGGAAATGAACATATAATTTCATACCGATGAATGAGAAAACCGCTCGTGCTTTTTTTTCTTAATTGGATGTACACTACAAGGGCAACAGTAATGTTTTATCATTTGCAAAGGGCGAAAGCTAATTATGATTTCGTTTGCTTACAAGCTCTCTGACAACAAAGTGTTTGTAAAAAAAAATACGCTAAAGTAAGGGCAAAAAAAACCATAAGATCTGCATCTCCACAAATCAGCGAAACAGTGGCTTATAGAGACGCGAGAGGACTTGTTCTTTTATTATTTTTTTGTGAAGCTCAAAGGCCTACAGATTTTTGAAAAATAAATGTAGTAACGGACATCCCATTCCAACATATTACACTGTATGTGGCACGTTTTTCGCGCGGGTAAGTAATTTATCACACAATCAGTGAAGCCTGCTAATGAAGAAGCTCTCTGTGTGTAATCTTCCATCGATAAGCTCATATTTTACGATTGAGGGTAGTGTTTTAGGTAGGCCTGCATTTATTATGCAAATTTGATCATCACAGCCCTTCTCTGACACAACAGTAGCCTGTAATGGTAAAAGCTGGGTTAGATTGTGCTAGGTGTGTTTATAATTACCTGAATTTACTAGGAAAATGAATAATTTCTTATTACTTCTACACTCGAGTGCACTCAAGGGTCATATTAATGTATGCCCAAAAATTGTTATTATATAAGGCTTCCATAATGAGAATGCATATTATACATAAGGGGAAATGGTACCCTTTAGAAGGCATTCCCATAGACTTGTCTTGTGCATGATCTCATGTGCGACTGTGAAATTGTGCCTAGAAAAACTTAGGGCAAAAAAAGGCATCGTGAAAAAGGGCAAAAAAGGGCACTCGTGAAAAAAGGCGAAAGGGGCACTCGTGAAAGAAGAGCAAAAAAGTTACTCGTAAAAAGGGCCTAAAAGGTAACTCGTGAAAAAAAGTGCAAAAAAGGACATTTGTGAAAAAAATGGCGCTCATGAAAAGAAGGGCATTGTGGTGACAAAAAGGCACTTGTAAAAAAAGGGCCATCATAAAAAAAGGGAACTCATGAAAAAGGGCGCTAATGAAAAAGGGGTACTCGTAAAAAATGCACTCGTGAAAAAAGGGCACTCGTGAAAAAGGCACTCATGAACAAGGGCGCTCGTGAAAAAAAGGCACTCTTGAAAAAAGGCCATCATAAAAGGTAACTCGTGAAAAAGGGCGCTAATGAAAAAAAGGGGCACTCAAGAAAAAAGCCTGGCACTCGTGAAAAAAAGGCACTCGTGAAAAAGGGCACTCATGAAAAAAGGGCACTCGTGAAAAAAAGGCACTCGTGAAAAAAGGGCAGTCGTGAAAAAGGCACTCGTGAAAATATGCACTCGTGAAAAAAGGGCACTCGTGAAAAAAGGGCACTCGTGAAAAAAGGCACTCGTGAAAAAGGGCACTCGTGAAAAAAGGCACTCGTGCAAAAAGGGCACTCGTGAAAAAAAGGCACTCGTGAAAAAAGGGCACTCGTGAAAAAAAGGGCACTCGTGAAAAAGTGCACTCGTGAAAAAGGGCACTCATGAAAAAAAGGGCACTCGTGAAAAAAGGCACTCGTGAAAAAAGGGCATTCGTGAAAAAGGCACTCGTGAAAAAAATGCACTCGTGAAAAAGGGCACTCGTGAAAAAAGGGCACTCGTGAAAAAAAAGGCACTCGTGAAAAAAAGGCCCTCGTGAAAAAAGGGCATTCGTGAAAAAGGCACCCGTGAAAAAAATGCACTCGTGAAAAAATGCACTCGTGCAAAAAGGGCACTCGTGCAAAAAGGGCACTCGTGAAAAAAATGTTGTCATGTATAGCCCCCCCCCCCCCCTCCCACTGTTTGGATTTACGTAGGCCGGCCACGGGTAACCGGTGAAAAACAAACCTGTCTACCTTTAAGCACGGATGAAGGAGTGCCCTTTTTCACGTCTAACCCCCAATCAAATTGACCTTGCTACGCCACTGATTAATGTGCCGGTATGATAATGCTCGTGATCGGTGTGCTCGACATGAAGATTGGACGCTGTACGTATTTTGAGCGTCAGCACAGTGAAATAAAACCTCCATACAGATAGTGAACCTGACAAGAAATTTTTTTACCCGACCAAATGGAAAGTATTGCTTGTTTTGACACTTGACACCTCTTTCATCTGTGTTGATCGTCAAATTAAATCATGGACGCTTGGTATGACGCTAAGGACACAACGCCAGTGATCCTGAAGATCAAGTACCAGCACGCGCAAGGCGGTGCTGACTGTTCAAACAGCTCTGCTCTCCCTCAAGGCTCTGCCATGGGCTCGGTATTGTCATCGGTTGGTGTCCAAGACCAGATGACGAGGCCTACGGCACAAGGAGGAGAGACATTCGCGGTGAGATTAACGGAGTTTGGGGATGCCACCACGTACCACGGGCTCCGCTATGTCATCAATAACAAATACTCACGTTTTCGAAGGTTGGTATGCCGCTCAAAACAAGAATAACCATGCATACTTCAACTGGACTTAGGTTAGGACATCATACTCAGCGGTGTAGTCACAGTCATTCAATCAGTAACTAAGTCAGAGGAGATAGGCTGATCCTTTGGTCTAGGCATTTGTCGTTGCCTGAAAATCGGTTATGGAAAATCTCTAGTCTGAAACACGATCGGTGATTTCCCTAATGGAAATTATATTTCCAGTCATTTCTCAAGAGCTATAGACAACTCGTATTTTGACGATGTTTTAGAATTTTTATTTAAGAGCCCTAGTGCTACATGTTCAGTAACTCTGGATTTGTCTGAGATGGATTTTTTTGTATCCCCCCCCCCCCAGATTTGTGTGGCTCCTCGTGGTCCTAGGAATGGCGACCTGGCTGGTGGTGAACATCATTAAACTGACGCTCTTGATGCTCCAGCATCCGGAGTCCAGCTCCATTTCTCTCAACTACGTGCCTACGATCGCCTTCCCAGCCGTCACCATCTGCAACATCAATCTCCTACGGAGCAATGCCCTGAATGAGTCTGTCCTCAAGACTCTAGCCGAAATCTACGATCCGGTAACCGATTATCACCAAGAGGGCACTGGGGTTGATTTCGGTCCTGTGGACGCCTTGTACCACTACCCCAACGGGAGCGACTCGACGGAGACCATCTTCAGTGCCTCGCATCAGATCGAGGACATGTTGGATCGATGTAAGTGGAGGCATGAAAAGTGCTCCCCAGCCAACTTCACGCAGCGTCTGACCGACCACGGTGTGTGCTACACCTTTAACGACCCTCCGGACGAGAGAGATGTGCTGCAAGTCTCGAACCCTGGAAGTAGTAACGGGCTCTACATGAGGTTGAACATCGAGCAGGATCTGTACACCTATGGAGAGAGCACATCGGCTGGCATGAAAGTAAGTTCCGGCTGGCGGACAAAGTCTTGCTATACCAAAACCAAATTGCTCCGCATCACTGGACGCGTTCAAAGTTTAATCATTTGGTAACGTTGTTCTTGGTCAGTTTCTATGCACACTACTTTGGCGAACTCGCATTGACCTCGAAAAATACGAAAAATATTCAGTAGGAAAATGTCACTGTCGTATAATCAGACAATCGTTATCGTTTATCCTCATCCAATGGTTAAGTCATCAAATCTGACTTAATAAATCAGTAACTTCTGATCATTCGAGACTGTGTACAAGAACTTCAAGTAGATTGTGTGTCGTATTCGACGAATGTAAACGCGAATAGGCCTACTATATTTATGGAGTAGGAAATAAATGACAATACGTGTACTTCAGTGTTGTACTCGAGGTACTTAGTGATGGATCAAGTGCATGTCTTCACAAGTGCATCACAAGTCAACTGGAAATCATCCAGTCTCAAGTCAATCACAAGGTATTAAGAAAGAATTGTGATAAAGACAGATTGTTACTGTTCATCCCTTGTTACTTATGACCGCCGTGATCGACATTTGTGTTCCATCACAAGTACCTCGACTGCAAGGCTGGTCTTAACGTCCACAGCCTCCACAAGTACCTAACCAAATTATGACTTACGTTTTGTAAATGGCGTTCTATCATTCATGCATCTCATTATAGGATGTTGAACATTATGACCAATTTCTGACCGACTTCGTTTGGTATCACAGGTCATGCTACATAAACAGGGCGAGTTCCCCATCGTCAAGGAATTTGCGTTGTCTTTGACTCCAGGCTACGAAATCTCTATTGCTGTGCGAAAGCAGATGGTAGGTATTGACATACAGGAACGAATTGGTCTGATCGTGAGAATGTCCCAATGTGTCTTGATTCAAGACTATAGACAAAGGTATCTACATAAAAGATACTGGCATCAGTAAAGATGTCCGAGATAATAATGACAATGACCTAACGAGGTCAATACGATTTTGACAAATCGTCCTGCAAACTAACAAATCACAGTCGGCCAACAAAGAGCAAAAGTCAAAACTGTTATCAATTAAACCTGCATTTCCTTCGTTCAACCTTCTAATGAAACCCTCCCCACTCCCCAGTATTGAAACCCCTCCCCAATATCCGCCTAAACGAATCGTACATGTTGATTTATTGATTTCTTTTAATACCAAGGTGAAGAGCCTAAAAGCACCGTTCAAGTCTAATTGTACGACCTCCAGCCACCTGAGAGAGTTCCCCTACAAATATTCCGTACCGGCTTGTCATTTTGAGTGTATGGTTCGATTCGTTGTCGACCACTGCGGATGCCGTGACTACAGGTGGCCAGGTAGGATGGTAATGTCGTGTCTTTGATGCTGCAAAGTTTATCAAGTCACAAGTCATTAAGCTATTCAAATCAGCTGACAAAAACTGTCATTTATATTTGTTCATCCATTGCTGCTATAGTCTTCTGAAACAAATTTCACTTCCATGCATGTAAAAATGTTAATGGTTAAAATTATCTTATGTATAATTTCCCCTATAGTCAAAGCACCAATATGCTCCGTTGAAAAGCAAGTGACGTGCGTCTACCAATACGAAGGTGAGGAAAAAGTGGTTTAATTTAATTTGTCGTCGTTAATAATACGTACATAATACTAACAGAATCCATTTGCCACAATTTTAAAAAGCATCGGTACCAAACATCTAGGAAATTCACACAGCGGAACACACACAATTATTCAATATCTTGGCGGCTGTAGTTAAATTTTAACATCAAAATCAGCTAACTTAATAATCCGCACCTTTTAACGCCGTGCTTTGTGTACTGAATGGCGTCACTGAAGAATATCAAATATGTATAATGTATTTGAATGTTCGAGTCACCCGACACTGAAAGAATTCCTGTAATTTAATAAATTTCACTCGGTATTGTCGATTTTTTAAGATGAGTTTGTGTGGGACAGCGATAAGTGCAGCTGTCAGATGTCTTGTGAAACCTTGACCTACGAAAGCACAATGTCGCAGTCATTCTGGCCGGCTAAACAAATTGACCGAGATTTGCGAGAGAAATACGGCTTTTCCCGAGATTTTATCAGGTAAAAAGGCTCGGCCTGAATTTGATATTGTGATTGTGGTTAGTATATCAGTTAGATGGCTAGCAGGTGATTTAGGATAGAGTGTGGTGGAACTGAGGGTCCTAAGGGAGCTTCTGAGCCAAAAAGGCTCTAATTAAGGTCAAATTCGGCGCTCCGGAGCCAACAACAATGTTCACCTTTAAGATGGAAGGAAAACCCAGAAAAGATAGCTCAGAGGAAATCCAAGAATAGCCGGGGAATGGAAACTCAATCCATGTGCAGCCTGGTCTGGATTCGAACCCAGGTCTCTGAGTTGAAAGGCGAGGAAAGTACCAGAACCTGCCTCTCAATTGGATAGTATTTTGTTTTGTTGTTGATTAGCCCGTTTTAGAATAGTCTATGTAATGAGACCATATGACGAAAGGACACCTGGCTAACGGGTGATACTCAGACTAGGTTAAGAACTGGTTGGCAGTAAAATCCAAGAAGGTTAAATACACCAACCAATTTTGGGGTTTTTTTCTCGAAAGGGAAAACTATATGGAGGTGTACGTTTTCATGGAGGAAATAATGTATATGGAAATCCAGCAACAGGAAGCTTACACGCTGGAACACTTCGAGGGTAAGTCCATCCATAAAACATGCGAAATCTTCATGAGCGGGTCGTGGCCAAACTATTTTTGCATCGGTAGCTCATAATACTACGGAAGTGTTAAAGGGACGAAATACAAACTAAAGTCATAATTATGACTTATATCTCATCATTATGACTTAAGTCATTGTTATGACATATATCTTATAATAATGACTTAGTATTAAGTCATATGACTTATATCTCGTAATTAAAAGATATAGGTCATAATTATGACATTTAATAATAAGTCTTTTCTTTCTTTTTTATCAATGCATGTGGTGTTTTTTTGTAAGGCGGCAGAACGCTATGCCCCAATTTATAACAAATTAGCTCAAGTTGTCTACTGATACTCATTCAAAGGGGCCATGTTTTGTCGACCGAAAAATTGACTCTCCATTCAAAACTCTTGGTGGCGCACTACATTGTGAATCGCCCGAATTAGTCTCACCGAATGAAGTGTAATTAAGCTGCTGACTCATCATCAGTCCCTTTCTATTTTTATTGACAGGTGACATCGGCGGCTACATGGGTCTACTATGCGGTATGAGCCTGATCACTCTAGTCGAATGGCTAGATTTCATCGTCATTACCCTGTACAAGAGGTTTGGTTGCTCGAAAAGGAACAGGTCTGGTGATAGCAAAGCTTGAAAGGGAACATTGTACGAGAATGACAGTCATCGAGTTTTGATATACATGTAGACAAATACGTAAAGCAAAAACACAAAATAGTCTTTGCTGACATCTTAATCAAAATTTGTAATTGTTTGCGTCACATCACAAATTTGGAAGTGGTTGAGCAGTAAACCCGTACGTGCTCACATCTGGGCGAAAAAAATTACATGTACATATTAACACGATGCTTATAATGCATGCAGTCTGTAGACTTCTAATCTGTTGATTAAAAAGGACCATAGTTCATCAATTAGGGATAACGAAGTAATATTTACTGATTGGGAGAATGGCAGAGCACATCTGTCAATAAAATAGATGCGGGTCAACGGTCCTCCAATCACATCCATAAAGCGGAGGGTAAGTTACGATAGAAACCCAGAATGCTGACCGCTCATCGCTGAGGGGAACGCGCGCGAATATTGATGGTGATGATGCTGATACCAATTAAATAAATAAGCCATGAGTCGGCATTTCAAAGAACCTGTGTTACAGTGAAATATCTGATCTAGAAACAGCAATGTTGACGTAAATGTAGAGTAAAACCACAATATAATGACCTCAATTGGAATTAAGTCTTCGGTAAGACAATCACCCATGCCACAGTGATACTTTCGCATCTTTAAGAAACTACACAGACGGACGAAACTGCATTCAACATTTTGAGACATACAGAAAACAATCTACTGGACGCACTTCGGATGTCGAATAACAGCATGATAAATAAGCCCCGTGCCAAAGCAAACCACCGAAAATGTCAAGATGGTACGAGACGATTTCCTGCAAGACTATGATGAAGAAGAGGAAATCAGTTAAAGATTACTCTGAGTTGGAGCAGATAAAAGTTTGCAATAGCGAATAAGCAAGATTCTACGCTGATAGCACATTAATTAAATCTGGCTAGGACTGATTTGAGTCCCAGACGCATCGCCTGATGTCATTAACAACGACTTTGTGACGTCACGTTCCTCCTTGCATCGCCTCCGCTACTCTCTATGAGTGATGAGGTTGACTGTTTTATTGCAAATTTTGTCTAAATTAATGTTGTCATGGTAATTTGCGCTGTCAACTTCGGCCTTCAGGCCGCGATGGTAGATTTTTTTAATGAACCGAAATGAACGAATGAATGAACGAATGGATGAGGTTGTTTGAAGTGGTCGCCACTAATAATGGTGAACTCAATCACTGAGTGGCATTGTAAATGAGCTGCATCAGTTATTCCAACTTCCGGGTAGTGCCTAGAGTCTGTCAGTGACTTTCATCCTGAAAATGATAAATGACAGCTCTTTTTTCGTCGCTGAGCATTCAGTATTACGGGGACTTTGTGTGTGCATGAATTGCCAGTGCCAGGCAACTGCATCAGTCGACGCCAGTATATACTCAAGACTCATGCTGATGAGCGGATACCGGTAGGCTTTGTGACTAAAGCTGAGGAGAGCGCGTCTCTCAGCGAACTGACACAGCGCAACTTGGAGCCGAATACAGACCCCTAAACCCCATACAACACTCGTCTGTAATGATTACAAGTGTACAGCGCATTGACCAGCCCGACTTGTTAGAGTTGACCACAGACAACTAAACCCCATACAACACTGGTTTATTCCAAGGAAAGTGTATATACTCCTGCAAGGTCATGGCTTCTAGCCGTGATTCAACGGAGCTCATGATTCAGAATGTCTCGAGTTGTATCACTGATGTGACTCCATTGCTCGAAGATGATTACCTAGATTCAGAGAGCTCCACATACAACCCTATCCAGACAGCTCTACGGACATCTTTCATCGTTCTGAACTCTCTCATGGTCATCATCGGCAATATCTTCAGCTTGACAGTAATGAGATATGTAGACTCCCCTCGATTTCCACCAAGCTCCAAAGCCTTCCTCTGTAACGTCATTGTCTGGGACCTGGCTCACGGTATCTTCTCCATTCTTTACGTCCCGCCTGCTGCTCTGAACTACTGGCCCTACGGACAGTTTCTCTGTGAAGCCAGTGGCTTTGTCTTGATGTTCATCAATTTTTGTTGCGTCAATGCTGCGATTCTCATCACGGTAGATCGCCTGCTAGCTGTGCTGTACCCTCTTCGCCATCCCATTATGATCTCTACAAAACGCGCGCTAGCCATCATCGCGATTGCCGTCTTATTCGCTTTGTCTGCGAGTATTGCAACTTTTGCCGTCAGTGCAGACGTCGCTTACAGCAACGACACCGTTACTTGTTTTGTCCAATGGTCCCGCGTCTCCCCAGCGAACCTTTTTCGACTGATCGTCTGCATTGGATGTCTACTGTTTCTACCGGCGGTTATTTTAGTCGGCTGCTACACCAAACTTTATCTGGTGGCTCGCAAACACGCAAAACGCCTCGCCAAGTTAAGGCGAAACGCCAGCGCCTGTGGGAGGAACCCTGGGTTAACAGTGACAAACAGTCGGGCGCTGAGAATGTGCTTGCTCATCACTGCCACATTTTGTATCGCCTGGACCCCTTACGCCATCGTATCCACCCTGAACTACGTCACAGGAGAGGACACTCATCCATTGGTCGACTTTATCACGTGTTGGTTGTGCCTCTGCAACAGTTGGTGGGACGTCATTATCTATTTTTTCATGGCTCAGGAATTTCGGAAAACTGCTCGAAAACTACTTTGCCGGCGACGGTTGTAAAACTGAGCACACAATTCAGAGTCACTGAGCCATCACTTGTAAAGAAACAATCGATATAATATTGGTTTTGGTTACAAAAAGTAGTTTATCAATCCAAGCTAAACATGTTTATTTTGTTCAGTATTGTAGAATTATACCCTGAGATACAACTTATATAATATGACGATTAATGATGCCCTTAACTTGTGTACACACTGTACACATGCCTATAATTTTTACGAAACGTTTGTTTGGTAATTTTAGGCATTTCGAGAGAAAAACGGACTCCGTGATGTAGATAAAGAAAGAATTTACCAACACACTGCCTCACTCTGGAACTTCTTACCTGTGGATTAAGAAGGACCTTTCTGTAAATAGCCAAACTGTTTTGTAACCAATCTTTGTGTTTATGTTAACACATACCATGTTCAGTACGCGACAGTTTTTTCATTTGCAAATAATATTTAAGTTCCCCATTTCAAAAAATGATCTCATTTATTAGAACTGTAACGCCATTTCCCCGTTCCATTGTAATTTATGTGCATCACTCAATCTTCACCCTCCTGTTTTGAACAAAGTTCCCGTTATTTTCATTGAAATATCGCCGTTTTCTCATTCCGAGACGACACGATCGATCGCAAGGGTCGTCAGCTCAGTCGGTAGAGAGTCGTGCTGATAACGCGGTCGTGGGTTCGAGCCCCATATCGACCATTTCCCCCCTTACAACTCGGTGACACTTTTCTTGTGATTAAAACATGATCAAAATAGGGATGAGATGCAAATTTAGTCTTTATAAGTGGCAAACACGACGTTGACAATAACTTTTGATTTACGGGGCTTACTGCGTATGTTCACTCACTTTTTCCTCAATAGGGCACTTCTTTTTATTTTTATGGTTCTCATATTGTGAGGGCTTGGAAGGAGGGTCGGTCGGTAAAAACATTTTTTTAATGTTATGGCTAAATAAATCGATGCAAAGTGTTCAATGTATGACTGATGTGTAAAGTTCTAACTGTTATTTGCATAACCTTTATATGAACGAAATACAAAACATGGCAAATTCTGGCATATGTTAATCAAAATGATACAAATCTATAAAACAAATCCTTAGCAGCTTTTGACCATTGTGTAGTTACGGGCCCCGTTTCGATAACAGAACTAAAATCCACTTTTTTCGATATTGGATCTGGACTGACCCAATTATAGTTAGCAATGAGAAAGTCGTGGACATGGAGGGCGGGCTTTTGTAGGTTGGATGTCGTGCGTGTTTTTGCCGTCAGCACAGTGAAATAAAAGCTCTCTACGGATAGCGAGCCTGACTTGAAAATATGAACCGACTGAGTGGGAAGTATTGTTTGTTTTGACATCTGAAACCGCTGTCGTCAGTTTTGATCGTCATCATTCATGGACGCTTGGTTGACTAAGGATACATCGCCAGTGATCCTGATCAAGTGGCACGCACAAGCCAGTGTTGACTGTTCGAACAGGTTTACCGAGTCTGCTTTCGATCTTCCTCACAGCTCTGCCACGGGCTCAGTATTGTCACCGGCTGGTGTTAATGTTGAAGACAAGATGACGACGACTACGCCAAATGAAAGAAAAACATTTGCGGTGAGATTTACGGAGTTTGGGGACGCCACCACGTACCACGGGCTCCGCTATGTCATCAATAATAAATACTCTCGCTTTCGAAGGTTGGTGTGCCACTCAAAGTAGGAATAATCATGCATAGTTTAGCTGAACCTAGTTCAGTACATTATTTATACTCAGCGGCTTAGTCATTGTGATAATGTGATTCAATCAGTAACTAAGTCAGAGGAGATAAGCTGATCCTTCGGCAAGTAGCAAAAGAGGTTTTCCGATTTGACAAAAACGGTAAAACATGATTTTCGTTACCTGAAAATATCTCTAAAACACGATCGCTGTCCTCCCGGTAGAAAATAGATTTTCAGTCATTGTACAAGAACTAGTTATTAAGCAGTATTTTGGCTATATTTTTGAATCTTTATTCAAGAGCCCTCATCAGCAGTATCGTACTGTTCAGTAATTTTGGATTTATGATGGCTTTCTTGTGCCTTCAGATTGGTGTGGCTCCTCGTGGTCCTAGGAATGGCAACCTGGCTGGGGGTGAACATCGTAAAAGCAACGCTCTTGATCATGCAGCATCCGGAGTCCAGCTCCATCTCTCTCAACTACGTGCCTAGGATCGTCTTTCCAGCCGTCACCATCTGCAACATCAATCTCCTACGGAGCAATGCCCTGAATGAGTCTGTCCTCGAGACTCTGGCCGAAATCTACGACCACTCTGTACCCGATTATCACCAAAAGGGCACCGGGGTGGATTTCGGTCCCGTGGACGCCTTGTACCATTACCCCAACGGGAGCGACTCGACGGAGACCATCTTCAGTGCCTCGCATCAGATTGAGGACATGTTGTCTCGATGTAAGTGGAGGCATGAGAAGTGCTCCCCAGCCAACTTCACGCAGCGTCTGACCGACCATGGTGTGTGCTACACCTTCAACGACCCTCCGGACGAGAGAGATGTGCTGCAAGTCTCAAACCCTGGAAGTAGTAACGGGCTCTACATGAGATTGAACATCGAGCAGGATCTGTACACCTATGGAGAGAGCACATCAGCTGGCATGAAGGTAAGCTCCGGCTGGCGAGCAAAGGCTTGCTATATAAACCAAATTGTCCCCATCATTGGACGCATTCAGTGGTACTCTTGATCATTATGGTCAATTGCACACGTATACATACTGCTTTGGCGAATTACCCTTTCTGTGAGGCAAATTACGAAAACTTAGGCCTATCCAGTACGAAAAAAGTACCCAGCCAAATTAAGATCTAAGTTAGTGCCGTGCCATTTCATGCATCTCATTATTGGATGATGGACATTATAACCAATTTCTGACCGATTTCGTTTGGTATCACAGGTCATGCTGCATCCACAGGGCGAGTTCCCCATCGTCAAGGAGTTTGCGTTGTCTCTGACTCCTGGCTACGAAATCTCTATTGCTGTGCGAAAGCAGATGGTAGGTGTTGATGATACACAGAAGAAACTAGACAGGATTCTCTGTTAGTATTGATTCAACATTCATTTGAGAGTCATTCAAATCAGTGACCCAGGAACTCTATCCTGACTCATCTCATGTTTCGGAGATACGATCCATGTTTCAAAATCTTGCTCCTATCATTTTCTTTGTTCAACCATTTATTGGGAAAGCAAGACATAAATCCAGTAAAGTATCCGCCAAAAAATGGTACTAACGTGTTGATTTCTTGATAACTTTCGATACCAAGATTAGGACCCTAAAAGCACCGTTCAAGTCAAATTGTACGACCTCAAGCCACCTGAGAGAGTTCCCCTTCAAATATTCCGTGTCGGCCTGTCATTTTGAGTGTATGATTCGATTCGTTGTCGACCATTGTGGATGCCGTGACTACAGGTGGCCAGGTATGATGATATAGGCCTTTTGTTGTGTCTTGTCTGGGATGCTGCAGATTAATTGGTCGATAATGTTTATATAATTGTTGTAGTCGAGTTCACCACAAGTCCATTGTCTAAGTCTCAAGCCACAACTGACAAAAGACAAAAACGCTCAATTGTTTTTGTTCGTCCCTCGCTAAAGGCTAATCATGCGCACTCCTTCGGAATTTGGCGTAATCCTTAGTTCATGGCTCGGCATTCTTAAGCTGTACATGTTTGGCCGTGCGAAATTGCTTTTATGAATGGACGTTTTCTGACAATACATTTCACTTCCATGTGTGTGAAAATGTTAATGATTATATCTGTGTGCATAATTTCCCCTACAGTGAAAGCACCGATATGCTCTGTTGAAAAGCAAGTGACGTGTGTCTACCATTACGAAGGTGAGGAAAAAGTGGTTTAATTGTATTGGTCGTCGTTCATAACACCAACATAATTAAATAACAGAAGCCATTCTCCACAATTTTAAAACGTTACATTAACAACACCAGCATCAGGACAAAACATCAAGCAAATGCAGACAGGGGAACACACAAAATGATTCAATATATTGGCGGCTGTAGCTAAATTTAATAATATAATCAGCTAACTTGATGATCCACACATTTTAATGTCGTGCTTCAGGGCTGTACTTATGTGGCCAATCATCCAACTAGAGATTCAGTTACAAACTCAAAGTGGTCGTGCAGAAAGCTATTTCATTGCATTTGCCCAGTTGTGAATATTTTGAAGTCAGAAAAGAAAAACAAATGTCAGTCTTTCCCGTGGAAGATGCATCTTTTTCTTTTAAAATTAAAATGAATTATGATTTCCTGGGAAGCACTGAATTTCATGATCCATTTTTCCTCAGGCTGCAAAGGCTAAAAACCTGTGAATGGGAATCACTAAAGGCTAATATTATGATGGTCCTGCAAAGGCCGTGAAGATTGTTAATATGTCAATAAATTGCATGGTGCTCTAAGTGGTGGTAATTTGTACAGTCGATTATGACTTAGTTATCATAATTATAGCGCGAGAAAGCATGCACAGATACTATAATACAGAAGAGGTATTTTTCTAAATCTTCACGCATTGCTGGAACGATATTCTCTAAAACTATCCGTGGCTAAATCATGATGATAAATCAATTCGCGCAAAATGATATTGTGGCGCCAGCTAGGCCATGATGGATGCTTGACTATACCTAAATGCAGTGAAGCTCAGCCATGACAATGATTGCAAAGTTGTTTATGCTTGCCAAAAATGTGTGGGCACGTTTCCATTCGATTTTTCAATGAGGGCATCTGTTAATACCTTTCCCTTGAACCTTCCATTGACGTACGTTGCTAGCATTCTGTACCTGACCTTAACAAACAACAAGGTTTATCCTGCGATTACACAAATGGAACCGGCTTTTCGTGTAAACTAGCCAAGTTTGACGCCAATTCATGTGTATTTGTGTTTCAATAAAAAGCTATTCATGCTTAACCCTCTGCAAGTTTTTTTCCCTCGTAAAAACTAGACTGAATATCCTCCACTCGCCATGCACCGATCATAAAGATGAATTGGGGAATCCGGTCCTTATTTCCTATACAAAACTAATAACACGCAATTTATCCTTTTCGAGTAGAACCAGTGTTTTAGCTTTTGGTTACTAACTGGCGTCACTGAAGATCACCAAAACGACACAAGAAGTATGTGTCATATATTGCAACCTGCCGCCTCACTCCTGTAATTTATAAATTTCACACGGTATTTGTTGATCTTTAAGATGAGTTTGTCTGGGACAGCGATGCGTGTAGCTGCCAGATGTCTTGTGAAACCTTGACCTACGAAAGTGTGATGTCCCAGTCATACTGGCCGGCTAAACATATCGACAGAGATATACGAGAGCAATTCGGCTTACCCCCAGAGTTTATCAGGTACAAAGACTCGTATCAGATTTAATGTTATGATTGTATTTTAAGTATCAGTTAGATGCATGGTTAGCAGGTGATTTGGTTTAGTTGTTTCCGGTGATGAAACAAAGGGAAAAAGTACACGTACAGACGCTGTTGCTTGGAAGCCTGAAGAACGTAGACGAAGACGAAAACAAGACTAAGGCAGGCCTAGTATTTGCTGACCCAAGTGGGTCAAATAGGTCGAAGTTTAGGATGGGGGAACTGAGGGTCACAAGAAGCTTCTGGGTCAATAAGGCCCTAGTTTAGACTCAAGTGACGGTCGGATGTTCACCTTTGAGATGAAAGAAATGACCCTGGAAAGATAATTAAGACAACATCCGCAGGTGACAAAGCATCATCGATTGCTGGCTCCAGGGAGTAGAACAACATCCGTCAACACATCTGACTTTCGTGATTAATCATCATTTTCAAGAAATTGCTCAAACACATCTGTTTTAAATCAAATTAACCTAATCTTTCTTGTATATTTGCTGTTTTGCACAGCGCGCTTTCATCTGTTGAATGTTAATCTATGTTATTATTATTATTATTATTTATTATTATATTTATATGTGTAAAGGTACACTAAGCAGACACGTTATCGTAATTTCTTCGCACGATGGGAGACATCGGTCTTCATGTCTCTCTAATGCCACATTCCCCTTTAGAGGCACAATTCTACTGTCGCAATTAGATTATATTTGTTGCGCGAGGTCTAAATATTAAACATACCGAAATTCGTGGAAAAAGGACAAGGGAATATTGGGTTAGGGCACATTGAAATTTGAAAAATTGTGTGCACAAGTCTGATGGGGATGTCTCCCAAATGTCCAATCCAGGGTAATTATATGCCACCCTGGTCTGGATTCGAACCTGAGCCTCTGAGTTGCAAGGCGAGGGAAGTACCACAAGTCCACAACCTTCCTCTCTCAATCGCCCTTTTGGATAACATTTTGTTTTTGTTGTAGATTAGCCCGGTTAAGAAGTGTAAAATCGAAGACGCTCTACAACCTTGTTACATGTACCAACCAACTTTGGGATTTCTATTTTTTATTTCTCCTTTAAAGGGAAAACTACATGGATGTGTACGTTTTCATGGAGGAAATAATGTATATGGAAATCCAGCAGCAAGAAGCTTACACACTGGAGCACTTCGAAGGTAAATTCAGTTCATCACCATCTAAACCAGTCTTCTTGACGTGCTCAGATGCATGTTTGAAAACTTACCACTGAATAAATCTAGATGAAGTGTAAAAGGTGGTGTGTTTTTCTGATGGGATTGGCTCGTTTGCTCCATAAACAGCCATTGATAAATTGTGCAAAACACACTTAGCGGTTGTGTTGGAGCAGTCTAACGGTATCTGAGTGCCCAAATGGTCCCTTGATGAAGTAGCTCATAGTCCAAAATAAAATCACTCGGGATCTCTGCTTGCTTGTGGCGACCCTGAAGGTCGGACTCTAGTGATAGCTCTACAACCCACTCTATCCATCACACAGGTCTTGATGTTTTGCCCAATTAAGCCCGTATCCTCTGCTAGGAGTTGTATCCTCTGCTTTAGGTGGCTGGTCTCTTGATCTCTTTCCATGTTTGGGTTGCCATAGTAGAACCTTGGAGGCAGCTTCATCCTTTCTCCTATAATAGCACAGTGTCCTGCAAATCTCAGCCTTCTTGTTCTAAGCCTCTCAGAAAGTAGTCCTAGTTTCCCATACAAGTCTTTATTGGTGGTATGTGCTCGCCATACCACCTTGAGTGCTTGGCAAAATTCAACCACTACACACGAGATGAAATTGAAAAGGTGTTGTGTTTTTACGGGTATGGCTAGTTTGTACCATGATCAGCCGTTTATCGGTTTCTGAGTGCCCAAATCGTCCCTTGATGAGGTAGCTCATAGTCCAAAGTAAAATCGCTCTGGATCTCATCAGTCCCTTTCTATTTTTATTGACAGGTGACATCGGTGGCTACATGGGTCTTCTTTGCGGTATGAGCCTGATCACTCTAGTGGAATGGCTAGATTTCATCTTCCTTACTCTCTGCAAGCGGCTTGGCTGCTCGACAAGGACCAAGTCTGCCGATGTCAAAGCTTGAAAGGGAACACTTTATGACAATGACACTCATCGAGTTTGACATGGTGCAAATTTGATTGAGACGACTATTAAAATAAAAAGCACACAGCTTTCTTCATCAAAGTATAATTATGGGTTTTTAGACTTGGTTTTGAAAATCAAAATATGGGTTTTTAAAGGTTTCCTGAGTCCCAAAATATAGGACTTTAGGGTACAATTTTTCAGCATGAAGTAGAGGAACTAACCTCAAGTTCTCCACTCAAAATAGAGATGATAAGCAATTTGTAAGAGTTCCGGATGTCTGAAACAGTTGTAAATAATCTCAGCGATGTTTATTGACAATGTGGTTATTTTGGCATTATGATAACTAAATTGTGGGTCAGTATGAGTTGTATTTATTCTTACAATGTTGGTAAAAAGTATGGCAGAATAACAATGTAAATTTTAAAAAAGGTTATATGGGTTGTAAAAATATCTTAGAGATGTATATTGAAAATGTTGTTTATTTTGGCAGTATGATAACTAAATTGTGGTTCAAGAGATTTTTAAATTTCTTAAAATATTGGTTAAAAGTATGGCAGAATAAAAGTTCCCTTTTTTTTAAAGTCATATGCCCCCTCCAAATAAAATAGGCTCACCAGTTGAAATTAGGTTTTGTATGACTTTGTTTTAGAATTGAGGTGAAACCCGAACATAAAAATGGGGCATAAAATTTGTTCTTGTGGGTGAACGTTTCTGTCATTGAAGTGATTACAATAATAAACAGTTGAGAGCAGAAACAAAATAGGGGACAAGACAAGATGCACCTCCTAAAAACACATGAAGAAAAGCGTGGATGGGAAGGGGCTGGGGACGGGGCAGGGAGCCGTTGGCTGCGTACCGTAAATATATCAATGTTTTTTTTCAAATAATTATGTACTCGTTATGTAAGATTAATCTACTAGTAAGATAATTCAATTCAATTTAGTGATTGAAACAAAACATGTCTCGCAGTTAAAAAAAACACCTGAATTGTACATGTGAACATAATATGATCTTTAAAAATATAATACATTTGTATTTAAAACACAATATGATTAAGTATAAAAAAAAAAACCTGAACATTGAAATTCATAATCGGGTTGCTTGACATGAATTTTGTATGTAGCGTGTGTTTTTTTTTGTCGGCACAGTGAATCACCTTTTTTTCGCGCGTGTAAGTAATTTATCACACGCTCAGGGACAGCGAAGCGTACCAATAAAGAGGCTTTCTCTGATGTGTCGTCTTCCATCGATAAGTTCATAATTTATGATTAAGGATTATTTGATGATACGCTCAGTGTTTCAGGTAGGCCTGCATTTATTATGCAAATGTGATCATTAAAGCCCTGCTCTGAGTGGTAAAGTCTGTATAGTGGTAAAGGCATGGTTATATTGTGCTATGGGTGTGCATATACGTGAACTTACTGTGAAAATAGAACGGTCCGTCCCTTCTCTCCAAGGGTCACAAGTTTTAATTTAGTGCCCAAGTATGTTCTCATTTATTATGAGAATACATTACGGGTAATGGTACCTTTAAAAGTCATTTCCAAAGATTTGTGCACACATACAAAAAAAATATGCACCTTAATTACATTTAACCGAAACCTAATCTGAACTTGCCCTCAAAAAACTCTGTAAATTTGGGTTTTGTATCATGAGGAGTAGATTTAGGCTATTTGTGACGGTAAATTGTGCCCAGAAATAGGACTTGAAGCATTAGGGAGACATTCAAAATGTGTTCCTAATCGACCTTGCTCTCTAGGGTACAACTTTTTAGCAAATCTTGTCTTCCTGATGGGCCATTTGCGAGAATATGGAAGACACTAAAACCCATAATTGGAGTGTTCCATTTTAACAGTAAAGAATAATTATGCGCAGGAGGATGGAAAACCTATAATTCTCCCGTGGCGCCGGACGATGGTCCCAAAACGTGAGCTTGACACTGTGTGATTATAATAGCTATTATATGTGCAATGCATGGTGCATTATTATACCCATTTAGTGCCCGTATCAACAAGGATCACTTTTGACACACTCCAGTTTCTCGGTCACTTTTATATATGTTTTCTGGGTTACATTAGAAAGTGTTTTCCCGGTTCCGAGGTCACACAATGTGCTATTGTACACGACGCGTTTAAATTCTCTCCCCACACGTAACACTCTCATGATTATCTTTGTATGTGTGTATACTCATCACTCAAGGGGCGAATCCAGCGTTGTATCAAAGAGGGGGGTAGCTGTCAAGGGGCACAGGCATGACGAGTCCTTATTTTCTGCGTGATTTTCCTATTTCAGCGGCCTAAGGAAATGGGTTTTAGACTTCAAGGCCCCCCCCTCCTCGAACATCCCCCACTGCATTCAGGTTATCGGCTGTAAAGTTTAATATACAATTGGATTCGGTTGGTTCCTTTATTTTGCGTATGCTATCAAGTGTTCTCCAGACACTTCAGTTTTATGCTGGTACTATTATACCGGCATGTTTTAACACTGGCTGCCGCAATTCTGTCACATATAATTTAGGTGTCACAAGAGTATGCAGTGCTAGAGTGATCAACATATTCCCGTGAAATTGCCCATATCGATCCATAAATTATGGTTGTACGAAAATGAACATGTATAATTTTGTAAAGATAAATGAGATAACCGCTGGGGATTTTTATTTCTGAATTGGATGGCCACACACGTGCACCAAGGGCAGGTTTCAATTCACCGTCGTGCATTGTTCCGTCCATATCGTTGTATAGGGCAAAAGATCCTCAGGTGTTTTTTGTTTGTTCTAACAAGCTCTCGGCCAACAAAGTGTTTGTAAACAAAATACGTTAAAGTAAGGGCAAATTAAGCTCAGCTTGGTATACATCTCCACAAAATCACTTAAACAGAGGCGAAAGAACTTGTACTTTTCTTGTGGGGATTTTTTTTTGTTAACAAACATATATGTTTTTCAAGGGACACCCTATTCCAAAATATTGCACGGTATATATTTACGGCCCTTTTTTTCGTGCGTGTAAGTAATTCATCTCACGATCAGTGATGCCTGCTAATGAAGAAGCTTTCTGTGTGTTGTCTTCCTTCGATAAGTTCATAATTTACGATTGAGGATGATTTCATCATACATGTAATGTTTTAGGTAGGTCTACATTAACTATGCACATGTTGATATTGTAGCCCTGCTCTGACTCAACATTAAATGCAAAAGTATAAAGCCTGGATTTGATATTTTGTGCTGGGTGTGCTTACGTAATATTACGTGAACTTACTGTAAAAAAAAAGGAACAGACGTATAACAGACAAATTCCCACGAAACACCAATCCGTATTAGGTCATGTCTCATTGCATTCTGAAGATGTTATATAAATAAACGGCCACGTCACGTAAGCACACCCAGCACAAATCTCTTGCCCAACCCTAACACAGCCTCCACGTACACAGCTTTAAAAAGATTCCAGACGGTGAAGGCTAATTGTGTGCCGGTATGAAGAGTGATTGACATAAAGGGTGGATGCTGCACTATGAGTTTGCCATTAGCACAGTGAAATAAACGATCCGTTTAATTTTGGATAGCGAACCTGACAAGAAAATATCAACCGACTGAACGGGAAGTATTGTTTGTTTTGACATTATGATACCGCTGACATCAATTTTATTATGAAAGCTTTGTTGACTAAAGACACATCGCCAGTGATCCTGATCAAGTACCAGCACGCACAAGCTGGTGTTGACCGTCCGAACACGTCTGATTCCCTGCACAGCTCCTCCGTGGGCTCGGCAATGTCACCGGCTGGTATTAATGTTGAGGACAAGATGACGAGGCCGACGCCAAAAGAAAGAGAATCATTTGCGGTGAAATTTACGGAGTTTGGGAATGCCACCACTTACCACGGGCTCCGCTATGTCATCAATAATAAATACTCTCGTTTACGAAGGTTTGTATGCCACTCAAAATAGTAATCATGTCTACTTTATCAGCACTTAGTTAGAGACATCATTATACTTGTACTCAGCGGCTTAGACATCAACCAGTGACTGAGCTGGTCCTAGCAAAAACGTTTTCAGATCTGACTAAAACAGTAAAACGTGACTTTAGTCATTACTGGGCCAGACAGTAAGACTTGCCTGAAAATTGGTTTATGGAAAATGTGTAGTCAAGAACACGATTGGCGCTAGTTCTCCATCTGTAAACTAGATTTCCAGTCGTTTCTCAAGAACTAGACAATCAGTTTTCTGATTATGTTTTGGATTTTTTTTTTATTTAATATAGGTTTTCCCGGCCAATTTCCTGAAATGTTCATTCACTTCTGAGAATCGGTCATTCGTTTTCGTCTGAATTTGAGAATCGCTCTGAACACGCGTTTCATTTTTGCTACCAGAGCATTCGATTCCATTTCAGTTCAATCAATTAAATGATTGAGCAGCTTATATGCTCCTTCAGATTCGTTCCTAAGACTTCCTTTTTGCTTGTAGAGGGCGATTTCAAACACTGGTCATTCTATTTCACTTTTAGTTTAATGTTATATGATGCAATCTGCTATTTTGAATGAGAAAAACGTACTTTTGATTGCACATTCACGAAATTGTATGCCCTATGCAAGAACTCTGCGCGAAAAGGTATGCTTGCGTAAATGAATAGTTATATTTGGAAAAATGTACTTTAGCGTTTAGTAACTTCGGATTTATGATGGATTCCTTGTGTTTCTCCAGATTGGTGTGGCTCCTCGTGGTCCTAGGAATGGCAACCTGGCTGGGGGTGAACATCGTAAAAGCAACGCTCTTAATGATGCAGCATCCTGAGTTCAGCTCCATTTCACGCAACTACGTGCCTAGGATCGTCTTTCCAGCCGTCACCATCTGCAACATCAATCTCCTACGGAGCAATGCCCTGAATGAGTCTGTCCTCGAGACTCTGGCCGAGATCTACGATCCGGTAACGGATTATCACCAAGAAGGCACTGGGGTTGATTTCGGTCCCGTGGACGCCTTGTACCATTACCCCAACGGGAGTGACTCGACGGAGACCATCTTCAGTGCCTCGCATCAGATTGAGGACATGTTGTCTGGATGCAAGTGGAGGCATAAGACGTGCTCCCCGGCAGACTTCACGCAGCGTCTGACCGACCACGGTGTGTGCTACACCTTCAACGACCCTCCGGACGAGAGAGATGTGCTGCAAGTCTCAAACCCCGGAAGTAGTAACGGGCTCTACATGAGATTGAACATCGAGCAGGATCTGTACACCTATGGAGAGAGCACATCATCTGGCATTAAAGTAAGGACTTCCGCTATACCAAACCAACTTGTTCCCTTCACTTGACGCATTTAATGTTGAACTTGGTTCTCGTGATCTTGGCCATTAACTGCGCAAACGATGTCTGGCATTCTCACCTTGTCATTAAGTTATTAAATGTTCCGGTAATGAAACCAAGGATTCCTCAAAGGCGCCACAGGCACTGTAGCTCGCAAGCCTAAAGATATGGAATGAATATGCTTTATAATTTGATGATAATATTCCCCCACCTTCATCTTCATCAATAAACTTGTTCAACAAGTAGCTTGAGCTTCTGATCACGTAATTTACTTTGTGCCAGATATCAAAGTAGATTGTGTATATCGTATTAAACAAAGGTAAACGCGAATACTCGATTTATGGATTACATAAAAAAATGACGATCATTTAGTGCTATAGTCGATGTACCCGTAGGCTTACCTCGACTGCATCAATTATATCGGCCTTCTGGTAACCAAATAATTGGTTAAAATGATTAGTCTGATCGATTTCTGACCGACTTCGTTGGCTATATCACAGGTCATGCTGCATCCACAGGGCGAGTTCCCCATCGTCAAGGAGTTTGCGTTGTCTCTGACTCCAGGCTACGAAATCTCTATTGCTGTGCGAAAGCAGTTGGTAAGTCTTGACGATATACAGAACAAACTAAAAAGGATTTTCCGCAAGTCTTCATTCAAGAGGTTAAGCAAACAGTCATCAAAGAGGGATTCAAATCAGCGACCCAGAACACTGTCCGGATCCACCTCAGATACGATGTATCGGAATTCGCATGTTCAAATCCATTCCTATATCGCTTTTTCTTTTACTAGTTGATTTCTTGATTGTTTTTAATACTAAGGTGAGGAGCCTAAAAGCACCGTTCAAGTCTAATTGTACGACATCCAGCCAACTGAGAGAGTTCCCCTACAAATATTCCGTACCGGCCTGTCATTTTGAGTGTATGGTTCGATTCGTTGTCGACCACTGTGGATGTCGTGACTACAGGTGGCCAGGTAGGATGATATATTGTCGTGTCTTGTCTTGGATGCTGCAAATTAATTGGTCAACAAATATTTATATCATAGGTAAGGTCGAGTCCATCACAAGTCGTCTGGTCTCAAGTCACAAGACATTAAGCTATGTACAAATGAATTGACAAAAGTATTCATTTCTTTTTGTTCATCCCTCGATACTATAGGCTTCTGAAACAAAATCCCCTGTCATGCATATGAAAATGTTAATCATTAAATCTCTGTTCATATTTTGCCCTACAGTCAAAGCACCGATATGCTCTGTTGCAAAGCAAGTGACGTGTGTTTACCATTACGAAGGTAAATAATTGGTCGTCGTTCATAATTTTAACAGAATCCATTTCCCACAATTTTAAAAAGATTGTATTAACCTGACCGGTATCAGGACCAAACACCTAGGAAATGCAGACGAGGGAACACACAACATTAGTCAATATTTTGACGACTGTATGTGTACTTTAATTTTAACATCAATATCAGCTAACTAATATTTAAACACCCGAAGTCTGTGTTACCAATTATGCATAATGTATTTGAATGTTTGGGCCACCTGACACTTATAAACATTCCTGTAATTTGTTGATTTTTAAGATGAGTTTGTATGGGACAGCGATAAGTGCAGCTGTCAGATGCCTTGTGAGAGCTTGACGTACGAAAGCACGATGTCGCAGTCATTCTGGCCGACTAAACATATCGACAGAGATTTACGAGAGAAGTACGGCTTACCCCCAGAGTTTATCAGGTAAAACGACTCGTATCGGATTGGATGTTATGATTGTGGTTGGTGAATTAGTTGCATGGTTAGCAGCTGATTTAGTTTAGTTGGTTCGGGTGATGACACAAAGAGAAAAAGTACACAGAGGCTGTTGGTCGGAAGCCTGATGAAACAGAAACGAAGACGAAAACGAAAACAAGACTTGTAAGACAAGTCAAATAGCTGACCCAAGTTGCATGGTCAAAGAGGTAGAAGTGTGTTGGGCTGGTCCAACAACAATGTTTACCTTTGAGATGAAAGGAAAAACCCTGAAAAGATAGTTCAGGGAAATCCTCCAAATCAGGCGGACAGGGGAGTGGAAACTCAATCCATATGCCAGCCTGGTCTGGATTCGATCCCGGGTTTCTGAGTTGCAAGGCGAGGCAAGTACCAGAACCTGCCTCTCTCAATCTCCATTTTGGATATGATTTGTTTGTTGTTGATTAGCCCAGTTAAGAACTGGTTGGCTGTAAAATCAAAGAAGCTCTACACTTTAAAATGTAACATCCAATCTTGGGGTTTCTTTTTTCTCTCGAAAGGGACAACTTTATGGATGTGTACGTTTTCATGGAGGAAATAATGTATATGGAAATCCAGCAGCAGGAAGCTTACACGCTGGAACACTTCGAAGGTAAGTCCATCCATAAAACATGCAATGCCTTCTAAAGCGGGATGTGGTCAGTCTGTTTTTGGTAGCACATAAACGCCTCCGGTACTCGGTACTCTAACAAAGCTAGAGGAAAGGTGTTTTGGTTAATGTTGGATTGGCCCCTTGCTCCACCATTCAACGCTTTGGTGATGCTGTCAAAGTTTCCCGCCGAATTAAGGGTAACAGTTAAGCTGCTGACTAATCATCAGTCCCCTACTATTTTAATTGACAGGTGACATCGGCGGCTACATGGGTCTACTATGCGGTATGAGCCTGATCACTCTAGTGGAATGGCTAGATTTCATCTTTCTTACTCTCTACAAGAGGTTTGGCTGCTCGAAAAGGACCAAGTCTGGCGATAACAACGCTTGAAAGGGTATAGTACGAGTATGGGTTTGACATGGGTGTACATTATGCAATTGAACATAGACAAATACGTAAATAAAAGCACACAAAATCTTTGTTTCATCATAATCAAAATGTTGGTATTTTTTGCGTCCATCACCAAACTGTGTAGAAGGGGCCGAGCAGTACCCGTAGTCGAGGTGCATATACTTGGGCGAAAGAAATAACGTGCATTAGCACGAAGCTTATACAAATAATGCATACAGTCTACAGACTTCTAATCTGTTAATTTAAAAGGACCGTAGTTCATCAATAAGGGAAACACAGTAATGATGATAGATTGGAAGATGGCATCTACAATTATGCGGGTCCAATGTCATCCAATCAAATCCATGGATCGGATGGTTAATTAGAACGGGAACACGAGCGAATACTTATTGATGTTGATGATGCTGATTACCATTAGTTGACATTTCAAATAAACTGCACTGAATGTAACAGAGTGAAATATCTGATATAGAAACAGCAAGTAAATATCCTCACAATATAATATCCTCAATATTCAAATTAAGTCTTCGATAAGGCAATCATCCACACCTCATCAGTGATGCCTTCGCATGTTTAAGAAACTACACAGACGGACGAAACTGCATTCCACATTTGGTACAGACAAACATCTTCTGGACGCTCTTCGGAGGTCGAATTGCAGCACGTTAAAGAAACTCAAACCAATTCTCGCGCCTAAGAAAACATACAGCCGGAAATTTCAAGATTGAATGAGACGATTTTCCCCGAAGACAATGATGAAGAGAATAGTTATAAGATCGGTCTGCATTGGCGCAGTTGGAATTTTGCAACAGAGAATAGGCAAGATTCTACACTGCTAACATAAATCTTGCTAAGTCTGATTCAGTCCCATGAAGCATCGTCTGACAACGACTCTAAACGTCCACGCTCCTGCTGCATCGCCTCCGTTATTGTCTATGAGTGATGAGGTTGTTTGCTGTGGACGCCACTTGTTGAAACGGTCGAACTACTCGAGTGGCCTTGTAAATTAGCGACATTTGTCATTCCCTTATTACCCAGTTTCTTACGTTAATGGATGGGTAGTGGCTGCAGTTTGTCAGGGACATCAATCCTAATGATAAATGACATCTCTTCTTCCTCGCTGAGCGTTCAATATTACAGGGACTTTGCGTATACAGGCATGGTCAGTGCGAGGCAACGGCATTCAGTCGACGCCAATACATGTATATATACACAAGACTCAAGCGGATAAGCTATGTGACTAAAGCCTAGGAGAGCGCGTATCTCAGCGAACTGACACAGCGCAACTTGGAGCCGAATACAGAGTACTTAACTCCATGCAGCACTGCTTTGTCTCGAATTCCAAGTGTACAGAACATTGACGCAGCCCGAATTGTGAGAGTCGACTCCCCATACAACACTGGTCTGTCTTGATTCCAAGTGTACCGAGCATTGACGCAGCCCGACTTAGAGAGTCGACCAGATACCAAATCCCATACAACACTGGTCTGTCTTGATTCCAAGTGTATATACCGAGCATTGACGCAGCCTGATTTGTGAGAGTCGACCACAGACAACTAAACTCCATATACAGCACTGTCTTGAATTGGAGATACTCTTGCAAGGTCATGGCTTCTGCACTTAACTCAACGGAGCTCGTGCTTCGAAATGGCTCGGGATGTATCACCGATGCGACTCCATCGTCGGACGATTACTTAGACTCAGAGAACACCTACAACTCTTTCCAGACAGCTCTACGGACGTCTTTTATCGTAGTCAACTGTCTCATGGTCATCATCGGCAATATTTTCAGCCTGACGGTCATACGATTTGTTGACTCGCCCCGTTTTCCACCAAGCTCCAAAGCCTTCCTCTGTAACGTCATTGTCTGGGACCTGGCTTACGGTGGCATCTCCGTTCTGTACGTCCCTCCGGCTGCTCTGAACTACTGGCCCTACGGACACTTTCTCTGTGAAGCAACCGGTATAGTCATGATGTCCATCAATGTATGTTGCGTCAATGCTGCGATCCTCATCACGGTAGATCGTCTTCTAGCTGTGCTGTACCCTCTTCGTCATCCCATACTGATCTCCACAAAACGCGCGCTAGTCATCATCGGGATGGCCGTCTTATTCGCTTTGTCTGCGAGTACCGCAATATACGCTAACAGTGGCGACGTTGCTTACAGTAACGATGCCGTCTTGTGTAACGTCATATGGTCCTGCGTCTCCCCAGCGAACCTTTTTCGACTAATCGTCAGCAATGGCTGCCTACTGTTCCTACCAGTGGTCGTTTTGATTGGCTGCTACACCAAACTTTATCTGGTGGCTCGCAAACATGCAAAACGCCTCGCCAAATTACGGAATAACGCGAGCGCCTTCAGTGGTGGAACCGTGCCGAACAGTCGCGCACTGAGAATGTGCTTGCTCATCACTGTCACATTTTGTATCGCCTGGACCCCTTACAGCGTCGTATCCACCCTGAACTACGTCACCAAAGAGGTCTCTCATCCATTGGTCGAGTTTATCACGAGTTGGGTGTGCCTCTGCAACAGTTGGTGGGACGTTATTATCTATTTTTTCATGGCTCAGGAGTTTAGAAAAACTGCTCGAAAACTACTTTGCCGGCGACGGTTGTAAACCTGAGAACACAATTCAGAGGCACTGAGACATAACTTGAGAAGAAAGAATCAGTACAAGTTAGTTTTGGTTACCAAAAAGTAGCTTATCAATCCATGCTAAACATGTTTATTTTCAATATTGTAGCAGTATATACCCTGAAGTACAACTTCTATTTTGTTTATGACGTCGGTAAGGCCAAAACAAACAAAATCGGTCTCTGGTCAGCGCGCGCGTCGATTTTAATCATGCGCGTCAACCTGTTTTTTTATCCAAATTAACACGGAAGCTGCAACAGCGTCCTCTATTGCCGCGCCTCCTCACATTTTTGTACCAAGGAGCACCATGGAATGGGGAAATTGCACCAAGGCAAATGATAAAGGGCACCAAGGCAAATTATGGAGGACACCAATGTATAATGAGGACACAAAAGAGCAAAACAGTACCCACCTTGTCTGTACAATACAAGCTTGAAAAAAAACCACCATGCGTCGCCGCATCAATTCCGGAACTTCGGTCTGACCAGAGACCGACTTTTTTTTGGCCTAATGGGGGGTGTCGGACGCTTCGCCCCATTTCCACGTCACCCCATGTCACTTCGCCCCTAACCACTTCGCCCCATCCCCACGGGCATGAGCTAATATAAATTCTTGTTTATTAACTTAAAGTACAATGTACATGTACATGTATTATTCATACTTATTAACAATGCCCTTTAATTCCGTTTACATGTACATGTACATGTACATGTACATGTGTGCCTATATTTAACTAATTAGTTTGTTAATTAGTTTGCTTATTTTGGGCATTTCTCCAGACAAACAAGACAGTCAGTGATGCGAATTCGCCAAGGAATTGAATTACAAGCTTGTTTCTGTAAATAGCCACAACTTTTGTGTTTACGTTACTAAATAATGTGATCCGTACACAAAAATGGTCCCATCATTACGCCACCTCCCCCCCCCCCCCTTCCATATTATGCAGGCCTACATCACTCAGTCTTCGCTCTACAGTATTTTCATCGAAATCGATCGCCATCTACAGTATACCGACGCGCAACGGACACAAGGGTCGGTTATCTCAGTCGGTGGAGCGTCGGGATCGAAGCCCGAAGGTCGTGGGTTAGCCCCACATCGACCATTTCTCTCACAGCGTTATATAAGACTTCTCTTCCAATATGAGCAAAACATGATCAAACATAAATACAGATTCCTCAAAATGGCTCTGAATGCTAAAGGTCCATATAGGTGTGGGCGGGATTACGGTAGCCGGTGATAGCATATTTTCATTAGCACGTGCGTTTTCACCGGTTGTGATACTATTCAGCACTCTAGACTCAAGCACCAATGGGTCTGGGAACGAGATAAGGATAAGGAGATTTTATAAATTCCTGGATACCCGCCAACCTCTATTTGCCACGAAAACAGGTGTACATGTACATGTACATGTACTTGTTTAAACATTCGAACAAACGAGGACATTAGGGTCCACGATTGACCGAAGGTCCACGATTGACGATCGTGTACAAAACAATTGGAGCTCGTCCTAAAAAGTTAAATTACAAAAATGTACATGTAAAAACAAAAGAAAGACAATAGAAGGTCCACGATTGAATGTGTTTACACTCTTGTGTGCTTGGGGGTTGCGGCAGAAAATGTAACTGATGACCCTTTTTTTTGGGGGGGGGGGGTGGTTGTCGGGTTATTCTCCCCCTTGTTTATTGGTTAACTGTCGTTGTGCGATGCAGCGACTTTTAGGATGAGACAAACGGGAAATACAGAGCTTAAATTATGAAGTGTTTAGCTGTAGATCATTTATTCATTTATTTATTAATGTCAATTGCAATTTCATCATTGCATATCTATTGGAATGGAAGTATTTTCATCATGATACTAAAATTTGTTCTTAAAAAAACTAAATTTATCAAAACTGGACGGCTTTTTTGTAGTTAACATTGCGTTTAAAAAAATACAATGATCTAAAAGAAATAACGAAAATAATTCTCTGCTATCTTAGATACAGTGTATTTGCCATTTCTCTATACAATTACTATTCTGCAAATATATACATGTACAAACTATATCAGAACTTGTAATATATAAACTGTACTTTTGTAAATTGGACGGAAAATAAATGATTCCAAAGAGTTAGCATTTTACCTGGATTACACAAACAAAATACATGTTTAATGTGTTCCTTTACTTATGGACTCCAAGAGCAAACAATAGAGAGCACCTCATGGATTAGGCACAAGATCTGAAAGATTAAAGCCACACACTGCATGGGTAGGCACAGGACAGAAATGATGCTGTATGAGTCTTCCGTTGACGTTAATGGTCTGCATTGTTAACCACCTACATGAATTGCAAAATTATTCAAGAGTTGATTGTTCTTAAGAAAGTTAAGATCTCTAACCCATGGTGTGTGTGGTTCCAAAAAACCTGGGAAATGGATTGGGAGATGTAGAAACCGTCCCAAGTTATTTTATTCAAGATTCACGTTTTATAAAAAAAGGCTCCAGTATTCCAGTACTTTCCGCACATTTGACAAAGTCATTCTTCAAATTTCTCTCACCACAGCACAATTTGCAGTTGAGCCCATCACAAGTCCGCTCACAGGGGATGAACAATAACAATGGAATGCCTTTGTTACAGTTCATTTGAATAGATTGTGACTTGATTTTTTGGACTAAATGACTTGTGATGGACTTGACTGCAACAGTGGCACAGCATGGGCTCCGTAAACAAGCACCCCCTCAACGGTAAGAAAGGGAGAGTTGGGGAAGACCACTGGGAGAGAATGCATTGCTGGCGATGCCTGATGCTCACGCAAAGACGCTAAAAGCTTGTGTACATTCAGAATAACATAAGTGGGGCGTACTCCGTGCTATAGGTACGCGTTCTAGTGGATACATCACGTGCGTCCTGTCCATGGGTTCTAGAAAGTGGTTAAAAAGCGCCCTCTCTTGTTGGCGCACAGAGTCAATAGCAACTTTGATTTCTTGTGAAGCCCATCACAGTCTCACATTCTTTGAGTTCCCTGCACAAGCAGCCGTCACTCTTTGAACTCTCACCACATCATAGCAGCTTTGATTTTCTTGTATAAACCGTCCACATCTTGCAGGCTTTGATTCGCCTGCATATGGGCCTGCCTGATCCGTGCCCGATTGTAGTCCACCCTGTCTTGTATTCTCTTCTTCTCTTGAGGCGTCAGGGGCCCCGCTTTCTCTGCTAGCTCCCACAGGTGGGAGCACCTGTCGCTAATCTTGGCATCCATTCGGATCAGGTCGGCATCGGCCGTCGGGTTGCCCTTCAGGACAGCCTGGCATGCTACCACCAACTAGGGAGAAATCAAAAATAGATCATACAAAATTATAAAATTAGAAGTTATACGAACAATTACGTTTTAGAAAAAGGATAGGCAGAAAGGTTAACGAGGACTGTCAATGGATATTAGTCAAAGCTTAGACTCAAAATTGCACAATATTTATGGACAGTTGACTCCTGTTAATACGAGGTTCTCCGGACTTAACTAAACTACATGTACCTTGTGTTATCCGGAACCTTGTCTTATGCGGAAAACTCTTTTTCCACTCACTGTCACCAATCGTGCTCGTATTCTCGAGAGCCAACTGTAATCCCTTGAGTAGGGTCATTGAGTCGATATACATGAGGACGTTTACATTTCCTCTCACTCAAATTGTCAGAACATACTTGTCTATCTACTATGTTTTTGGCATCAAAACATTTTTTGGGGAGTGATCTTTAAAATCCAGTAAGAGAATTTATCCTCCCCAAACCCTCATTTCGTGGTCAGGGTAATTTGGAATCGAATTTGAAAGCTGCAAGTGCAAAACTTACCTCGGATTGGAAGGTGTCCATAATCATCTTGATGTCTTCTGATTTTTCCTCTTCGAAGATGATCTCTCCCTTCACTACGAACTCCAGAAAACCAGCCTTGTCTTCAGTCTGAAAAGTAAAATTCAGTCTGATGTTAAACTTTCTCCTCAAATTTTACAATTTTGAATCTTAAGGCCTTTTTTACACTATCGTCTCAGCTATCCACGTTGAAATCAACACGGGTCCACTGCAAGCAGAACTGGGTCCCAAATGAAGTCAAATTTTACCCGAGTACATCTGTGCTGGATCGTTGCTACTGCAAAAGGGGTTACTGAAATCTCTGTTTCGGAGCAGATTCTAACGGTTACTACAAACCTTTAAATCGGATGGAATTCACATTCTGTGACATTCAAGTTGATACTCACGCTGATTTCAACCAGTTTATATTTTGAGATGGTACGTTGGCTAACAATTCGCAAAGCGTTTACCATCCCTACTCATGCCTATTCGGTATTTCGTTCCCCCGCAGTGAAGCAGTTCAGGTCAAAGGTCATTTGGGTTAAAGACATCCGACGACATAAAAGTGTGAAATGCTTTACCATAAATTTGTTAAATGTGTCACCAAACAAATTTTACCAAGAAACAGTACGGCTTTGGTGTCTTGGACATCGCCGTTTATCTTTATCCCAAATGACCCACGAAATAAAACACATGCGCATTTCTAATACCGAAGTGGCTTATTTCCAATCCTCACCAGTAATTCCAGACTCTGCTCCGCCATCGCCGCTTTCAATCCACTGATACAATCCTCTATGGAACACTTGGGTCCTTCCACAATCTCTGCCTGAAGACAGTCCTTCTTAAACTGCTTCACTGCTTGGCGATACGCCAGGGTCGTCTCGTGCACCCTGCTCAGGCTCCAGTTGCTTTGCATGAACAACTTGTCCATCTGTGTTAAGTAAATTTGCCATATATCCGGAGTTACTTACAAAGTGAAACTTGATTCGCATAAGGGTTGATGAATTTTCTTTCACTTGACCCAAAGGGCTAGCCTACTCTCCTCTGATTGATTGATGTGAGCGACTGAGACTTTCTGGTCGAGCTCAACTACCAAGCCTAGTCTTAATATGTGATGCGATCAAGCTAAATGAGTCGTTTGGCGGGAATTTTTATGTGGAGATACAGGCCAAAATAGGGCCACTTCATCACATCACTTCATCACTCTCCTGGTGTTCCGACTTCCATAATATTTTAACTAAAGATGGTATCAGCATGCGGTTTTCACAGCAGTAATGCCGAGATTGTGCTCTTTTGAAATCTGTAATAATTTTTTTTTTGACCAGGGTCGACAAACGACTCATGTAGCTTGGTGGCATCACATATATTATCGGTGAAGGTAACAACTTCGTATTAAAACCTACTGTGAAGTATTTTTGAAGTGAACTGCCTTTTGTAAAATACAAATATTGCGGTGCTAAGCAGGTGACTCTTTCATTAAGGCGGGTGTTCACCTGCTTTGGGAGACTCGCCCACAAAGCAGGCGACAGGCGGCAAAGCCGCCTCCCCCGCATGGCAGGTGAGGTGAAGCCTCACACTCTGCATTCAGATAACACCATTAAAAAGTATTTGTTAATGTGCGAAGCTAAAACAACGATAGCCTTTTCATGATGACAGCACATCGAGAATGTCTCCAGTTCCTGAGCAGAGTGTCATGAAAGGAATGGGGAAGTGTTCAAATCTACAATCTCACCTCCGCAACTTCTGTCTTATCCAGAGGCTGGAAGTCATCAGGGTTAGTCTTCTTGACCTTTGACCTTTTCTTCTTGTGCCGTTTGACCTCGATGGCCTCCATCTTTTGCAGGGCTTTGTCTTTGAGTTTGCGCTCTAGGAGATGGCGGATCAGGGCCTGGATGGCCGTGTGGACGCCCCCGTCTGAGTTCTTGGCCGAGACTGCAACACTGGAAATAAAATTACACATTGAAAAATCTGCATTAGAAAGATTAAAACGACACCCGACTGTTTAATTTTCTGAAATAACTTCAATGATTTGACGTGAAGAGATATCAGAAAAAGTTGTGTGGGATATTAGATAGGGGAACAAGTTTGCATGCATATGGTTGAGGCTTACGAAACGTGGGTTCAAGTCTTGCCGTGTGACGTAAAACCTGTGAGTTGGGCTTGTCCTCAAGAACTATCAAGCCGAGTACTTAATTGCCCAATGCTTGAGTAACACCTGTCAAGTGGCTAAGTTTAGCAACCCAAGTTAGGGCAACTCCACTCAATCCATTCACAAAAAAAGCCTTGCTGTAAATAGCCTTGCAAACCGATAAATCTGATTTTCGTTTATGTTGCATTTGCTTCTCCTAAACTGAGCCGAGGCAATTCCGATATTGAACATGTGTCCTGAGGTCCTTATATTTTCATTCTCTGTATTTAACTGAACTTCCATGACCGTGAGTGAAATGAACAAAACTAACTAACACGATTACTTTTGAGGTGTCGCAGTAAAGTTCGACTAAATAATTGGTGAATGGTCATTAAATGACCCCAGTCCGACCATTGTTGTACCCTCTGTGTGATATTTTCTTACCTCCCTACAAAGCCATGCTGCTCCGCTGCTGCTTCAAGCAGCTCAACTTCCTCCGGGAGCTCAACTTCCGGCTCATGCTCATCCTCATACTTCCAGACAGTCACATCCTGTCCCTCCCCTGCTTCCCCACTCTCCTTCTTGCCCTGCATCACGGGAGACTCAGCTCCGCTGGTGTACTCCTTCTCTGCATCTTTCTTTTCTTCCCCAGAGCTTTCTCTCTGGGGTGTCTTTTTCGAAGGCTCTTTTTGGTCGCTGAGGATGAATTGTGTTTGTTTTGTGTCGGTTTCTGCCTTTTCTGGCTTTTCTTGATTTTCTTCAACTTCTTCAGATGCTTCCTTCAAGGCCTCTCGTTCTTCAATCTGCAAAATTAAATGAAAAAATAAAAAGCATTTTAAGAAGGAAGAAAGCCTAACATTTTGTCTGAACTAGCAGCAGTTTAAGATAAGTGAAGATACAATAAATGGCGAATTTGCTCAGGTTGCGTGAAATTCCATTAATACTTTGAATACTGAGGTATAAAGGAAGTGTGTCGTCCTTTCAAACTATATTTTCAGCATAAAATGAACTGCGTATATGAATCTAATAATAGAAAAATCCTCTCCTGGTACTTATACAATGGGACACAATTGTCACTCAAACACTTGTTAATTTTTGAGCCCCAAATTGACACGAAATCGTTTTTGCGTATTATTAGTCATTCCAAAGTTGCTCCAGTGACTTCAGTCTTATTTTGGATTTGGTCACAAATTTCAAAAAAATATATAAATAACCACTTACAATATCATACTTATTTCCCAGTAACAACACCGGCAACTGTGCAGGGTCAGCTTTCTCGTACTCCGTAATGACCTTTGACACCTTGCCATTCTTCTCCACCCTTTTCGTCGAGACGACCGCGTGATTGTGGATGTCTTGTCTCCATGTCCCAGCCAGCTCTATGCTCTCCTTGTCAGCAACATTGACAACGACTGAACATGGACATGAATGAGAAACAAAAGCATGTTAAGAATCTCAAGTAATGCAGATCTATTCTACGGACCTTTATATTTAATAAAAAAATCCAACATGCATGCATTTGCATATAACACGCGTCTAAAAGATGCAGCATGTCACTTTGAGAGGTGCCTTGTTTGCCGCAAAGTGTCTTGGACATAAGAAATCGGTCTATTGCCTAAGTTTAGCAATTCATGAGGGCTTTGTCTAACAATCAGACAGCTAGAATCAATGTTGCAATACTCGAGTGCTTGCAAGGGCTACATTCAGTAGAATTCAAATTCGAGACACTTGATCACAAAACAGACACAACAATAACTGAGTTCGTTTAGAACTTACAGCAGGACTGTTCTTATCAGAACAAAAAACTACTTAGCAAAGTTGATAATAAGCAGGACAAGTTCTTTTCAGAACTAATATCTTCTAAGCAGTAGTTATTACCACATGGTGTTACCGCAAACCGAAACGATACCGATACCCCACCATGCAAAGCCTCAAATCTTATAATAACTGAGCCAATCACAAGACAAATCACACTTCAGCTTACAAGTAACACGGGACAAACCGAGTAACGTCCTTGTCCAACTTCATTATTTCAACAGCTAGTTACTTGACTTAAGAGACTGGATGACTTACGAATTGGGTGATTCTAAATGCAGTGCCCCACCAAGAGTTTACCACGGAGAGTTCATTTTTCCCAGTGCATTGTGAGAGATGGTCAACAAATTCACAGCGCCGGACATTTGAAATTGTTAGTTTTTCCGGCCAGTAGTTTCGTAAGCGTATGATTCCAGTATATGTTTGCCCTTTTCTTTTCTTTTTATCAACATGGTGTTTTTTGTAAGGCTGCAGAACGCTATGCTCCAATCTATAACAAATTAGCTCAGGTTGTCTACTGACACTCGTTCAAATGGGCCATGTTTTGTCGACTGTAAACTTGAAAAATGGACTCTCCGTGGCAAACTTTTGGTGGCGCACTGCATTTTCAATTGCCCGAAATGGCGTTCAACTGACTTGGAAGATTGACAAAAGATGCCTTCATTACTGGCAAGACAGAGATTAATCAAATCAATCAGGTCAATCCAAAGTCAGGTCACATGTTACATGGGATTGCATCTCCTACGAACAGCTCTATACTTGACTTGAGAGAGGATGACTTCTGATTGACGTGCTTCTGACTGACTTGACCGACCGATGACCGACTAGTGCTGACTGGCTAGACTAGACCTACCTATCGCAGCATCCACATCTTGGTAGTAGCTCTTCCGGAGGTCCACCTCCTCACTGCCTGGTAAGTCCCAGATGGTCACTGATACAACAATGTGCTCTGGCACATTCAATTTCTTCACAACATTCTCTGCATTCAAACAAGGCCAAATCAGATGACATATTCAAGTTCAAGATATAACATCAGTAGCATATCCAGGCTTTGGGTCGGGGGGGGGGGGGTTACAAAATCGATGATTTTTTGCATATAAAGGTAGCCAGGGAGTGTTTCCGGTCACCCAGCCACCCCAAAATCAAAAAAAAAAATTAAAAAAGGAGGGCTGGACTCAATCTGACTGTTGGGGGCGCTGTTCACATTTGGGACACTATGGTTGCAGACCAGTAAATAAACTTCCATTGACCCCAATGATAAATGCTCCCACTTCAAAAATTCGGGAAAAATACTCGCAACTCTCCAAGGTGTTTGAGACACACATCAAATTAAAGCTTCTTTCATCATCTTTCATTTTCTTTTCAATTTACAGGGGGGGTCAACTGATGACTTTTAGGAGCAATTTCCATCCGAAGATGATCACCCCTTAAGCTTAAAATAGTCCTGAAGCCCATCGCCATTTTGAAAAACGATGCCTACACTCCATTGTAAAATAGAGCACTTTAAGGGCCCCAATTTCATCCAAATTGAACGGAACTACAAGCTCACAGTCCTGTGCACGGCTTCGACCCATATTTTTTTACAAACCATCTAGTTCATGGCCCACAGCATGCTCAAATACTTAAGATTTTGAGGGCATGCAAATCGTGATTTGGCCGGCGTAGGCAATTTCGGACAGATTTACTGGTCTGCAACCCTATCACACAATACCGTGTATGTGGTGCTATTCGTCCAAAGACCATGGGGGAGGTTATTACCAGTAGTAATGGCTGTAAGGTGCCAAAATTTCATATCCAGGGATGTAACAAAATAAAATGGCGAACTGTCGCCAGGTGGGGCAAGTTGCCCCTTCCCCGGCTGGATATGCCACTACATAACATATCCAACATAAAGGGCTGCTACTACATGCATGGTTGAAAATGATAACTCCCTTCCAGGATAAGACCATTTTCGCTTGGCTCTCTTGATAACAAGTCAGGTCCAGGGACTTTGCCCATCATGTGAACGTAATGAATCATGCGAAATTAACGCCTTAATTCAGTTTTGCCACTCACCTATACTGACTGAAGTTGTTGTTCTGTAACTGTAATCGAACTGATTCTTGAAGTAGCGCATAAACACACTGCTCTTGCCAACCTCCGGGTCACCTAAATACAAAAATTACAAAGAAGTTCCCAACTGCAGTTTAATATATTCAAGAGAACAATGTTTCGGAAAAAATGTTGCAACCTGACGCCACTTTTTTCTTCATATATCTTCTCAATGAAGGTCAGTCATTCCAAAAAAGATGATAAGACATGAATCTGGGACTTGAGAAACATTTCCAATTTTGTTAGGAAATACTTAGAAAATTTTCTTGACTCTCCATAGACTCTCCATAGACTTTGTACAGAACACTTTTTCCAATGTTTGTTTTGTCAAATAGGCATGTCTGGTTATACAGTCAGATACAACGAACACCCAACACCCAAATGACAAATTAATAATCAACTGTATGTATGGCAGTCTCACATGAAACATATTTGGAGATCCTTACTCAGGAGTTTGACAAAATCAATTCTTTAACAAATTTTTCTTAAACTTTTATCTCAAATTTTATTGGATACCTCTTTTTATTATAATCCACTTACCGACAAGGACAATTTTAAAGCTGGGAACGTCACCGAAGCCCTGAACTGTCAGGTCTATTGAACCAAAAAAAAAAAATTAAATAATCAACTTAAATTTTGCCAAGTCACCACTTAGGCATTCAACATTGATTTTTAGGTTTTCATGTCCTCCTGCCTCGATTTTCACTCCCCCTCCGATTTTTTTAAAATTGTATATTTTTTTAATTCTGAAAGTGTGTTTTTTCCTCAAAAAAAGTGCATTTTCCAGACAAGATTCTCACCAAAACCACTGGCACGGTCGCACTGACTTGCACGCAAACATTGTGCACGACATACTGAGGTGTTATGCATGCCATAGCGAGGCAATGTGATATTGATACGACAACGCTCTAGGCACCATGAGCGCGTGTTGTACAGTACTCGTGGTCGTAAAGTTTTTAAAGTTCAAAGTTTGACATCTAGCTGGTAAGGGTAGGCCAACTGTTGCGTTGTTTGTTCGAACCATGCATCATGGCTTTCGTAATCACCCAGATTACATGTGGAGTGAAGGTTTTCAAGCCATGGTTTCGGATTTCGCTTTCCGTGAATGAACTGTACAACAGCGTTGCTGCCGCAGGAATCTATAAAATGTAAAATATAAATTCCCCTCCCTACCAATTTTTTTTAATCTGGAGTGATGAAAACCTAAAAATCAATGTTGAATGGCCTTTGGAAAACCGTTATTGTGGTCCTTAAGAAAACGTTCCAAAGTGACATGGGGAAGGCTTCTTTTGTGAAGCAAATCAACTCTTTTTCATCATCATCAAATTTTCAAACTTTTTCTGTACCCTTAAGTACTCCCTCCCCCCCCCCTCACTACCAACCCCCCCCCCTCACTTACACCCCCCCCCCCATTTATATTACTGTGAACCAGTCCCGCATGTTTTTTTGCTCTTGTGCCGGCACTTCCTCTGCGAGGCACACCTATACAAGTACGTTATAGGCCTACAACATAATTAATTACCACCCCAACGTGAGCGAAAGTTTGGCTCGATGGATAAGGCGTTGGACTCACGAGCACGGTGACCCGTAGCCCCATAAATGTGGCCTATTTACTGGACTGCCTCCGTAAACATAGGCCACACATCCACATGTACAAAAATCGTGTCGACGGAGCCAAATTTTGATTTTCACATTTAGGCTTAGTTTGTAGGTTTTTTTTGCTTTAGAAGCATACTCACGCTCTTTATAGGCTAATCAGAAAGTGCTGCCTTTTTCAGATGTATATTTTTCGTGAAATTTCCAGATTCATTTTTACACGTTTGCGTATCAAAATTTCAACATGAAATTTCACAAAAATTAGACATCTGAAAAAGGCAGCACTTTCTGATTAGCCTGTAAAGAGGGTGAGTATGCTTCTAAAGCAAAAAAACCTACAAACTAAGCCTAAATGTGAAAATCAAAATTTGGCTCCGTCGACACGATTTTTGTACATGTGGATGTGTGGCCTATGTTTACGGAGGCAGTCCAGTAAATAGGCCACATTTATGGGGCTAGGTGACCCGAGTTCGCAACGCGGTGCCAGTCATTTATAATTTTTATTTTCATTCCCCCAAAAGTAAGACTAGCCTAATAAAGAGTTGTCTTGCTTTATTGTTGTTTTTTTTTTAATTAAATCTAATCCTTCATTTAAATTGCAGAATATTTCATCTTCTTTTTTTCTGATTTGCTCTGGACTGGACGATTTTTTTTAAGGGAATTCCGAAATTGGTCTGATTCCCATCTCCTAACTAGTAATGCATGCCTAACCGTGCTAAAACACGAAATCACAGTAAAAAAATGTCTTGAGCCCCCCCCCCCCCCCCAAAAAAAACACTCACTGCGCATGTTCGGTTAAGTGCAATACCGCGCCGGTACAACAACGAAAACAATCGGTGACCGGTTCACAGTCAAATATACACTGCACACGTACATGTACAATAGGTTTTAGTACAATTAAGTTCTGTGAGTGTGACTACCTGACTACGGTAAACCAGTCACAATTGCATTCAGACATTAGGCCTACATGCATGACATGAATTTGGAATGAAATATTGGTTCACAAAATGCACCCTTCGACTCAAGAATACATCCAGCCCATCACAACATTGAAAACATTGTTCTGGCAAAAGTACGTGTGTTAAAATGTCTTAAATTCATAAACATCGCCATTGTTTACAACTCCATTTCTTACCACCGTGAGAGCAACCGGCGCCCATGTTGAATAGTTCCGGCCTGCGAATGAATACAAAAGTGTGTACTTGGTGATTCGACTGTCAAGGCTCTTTAAAAGAAACTCTCTCGTGATTCTTTTCATAGATTTTCCCTAACTCGTCACATGGCATTGGTTAAATCATGTTCCCGTGGCACGCAAATGGTCGGGATATTTCAGAATAATACCGAGAAATTTGGAACTATATTTTGTGACGCGGACCGATTCGCGTCATGAGGCACCTGTTTCCTTGGGAGCTGAGAGCGTTTACAAAGTGACGTCAAGTAATTAATTGTTCGTGCATACACCTGCCACAATGCATGCACTCTCGGTTCATCCAGAGCTATCGGTCTTCTCTGCAACTCACGAGTCTAGTTGATTCATTGCTGTTTAAAATTCTCTAATAAACGAATTGCCATACGTACTTTCAAACAACGCGACAGTAAAATACAAACTGCGACGCCAGACAAACGTAACCATAAATGTCCGTTCGGTCATAAAGTTTAATCGGCATTATCAGAAACAAGCTTTTGTATATTGACGTTGAATAATTCATGAATAATTCTCTTTGCTTAAATTATAATTTTTCTTTCTGAAAATGTAGGGAAATCAAGGTGTAACGCCGAATGCATTATACATCACATGCATTTAGCATTCATTTGAACTTGGTGTGTGATCATGTAAATTTCATGTGATGGACATGCAAATTCAGCAAGTTTTAACAATCTGGAGTTTAGGGGTGAGGTGTTATGTCATCACTTCTTGACATCTTAAGTTATCTCGGTATGTCGACATCCTACTTTGAGAATGTTGTCATCCGGTTATGAAAAAAATTATCTCAAAAGGTCTCGACACTTGATAGTCCGTACGATGAAATCACTTCGGAAAAAAAAAAAATTGGTTGGGAAAATAAGTTTCTCAAATACTCCAAGGCCAATTAATATGCAATTCCGATATTGCAACAAACAGTGACACTGCATCTGATAAAACAAGCTCGATCGGAAATATATCTCGGAGGCTGTGGTGTGGGCCAACGAATTCGTGTTCATGCATGAGTCGCGTATTCGTGCAACGTAATTAAGTGTTTTGAGTAAAAAAAAAATGAAATCAGTTTTTTGACCCCAGTGACCCCATGATGACTTTTGACCCCAGTTTGGTCATGTGACATGTTGGGGCTGGGCTACTGATACTTCTGACAAAGTTTGGTTGAAATCGGTCAAAATATGTAGGAGCAATAGTAATGGCTTCGTTTGTTACTAATTAACGGCCTAACGGCGAGACATGATGATTTTTGAGCTGCTATCCCGCAGCTACAAAAATGTGTTGTGTTCGATGTCAACTCTGACATAGATTTCTAATTAATCCCACCGGATAATTACTCACAATGATTTCAACGGTTCACCCGCCGTATAGAATCGCGTGCCAGGATTTTCAGGATGATCGTCAGTTGAGGTTCCGGTCACAACACGGGTGACCTCAATCAAAATGGTTACGTAGTCAGAATACACAAGAATTGCAAATCAGAGGTTGACCGCGGCACAATAATACAGGAACTCGGAGATTATTTTTGAAATCAGTTTTTGATGACATGACCAGAATTATGGGGGTTTCGACGTAAAGTGTGCTGTAAACACAAACAACCGCGCAGTGGCATTCGCGTGATAGTGGTGGGATGTAACAGCTTTCCTGTTTGCGTGGTGATGGTAAAAGTGGCCAGAGACCTATTTTTGATCTTTACGCCATCCAAAAGCGAAACTTAGTGTATTGATAATCAATTCAAACCGACCCTGACAGCTTTTGGGTTTCAGTGATCCTGGTAGGGATTCCAGCCCCCCCCCCCCCCCCCCCACCACCATCACAAGAAACAAAAACTAATTCCTGCTCTGGAGGACTGGCAGGCAAACAATTAAGGTTTCAGATGTTGCCATAAATTCAGAATGTGTCTTCTTTTTCGGTCATTGCTAAGACATCTCATCACTTAGCTCGCAAGAGTTGCTCCCTAAACGGCACCTGCTCACTGTACTGTCGCGCTCCTCACCGCTTGCCTACCCATGGCTGCCAATGCATCCTTCCAGCTTTAATATAATAACCGTAGTACCGGTACTTGCCCCAACTCCCAGCAAGCTCTGACCTCTTTACCGGCTTCCCGTCCGTTTGCTATAGCCCTGCTTGGTTGTTTGTTTGTTACCTATCTCAGTGGCGCACCCAGGGGGGGGGGGACTCGGGGAAATTGAGCCCCCCCCCCCCCAAAAAAAAAGTTGTCATTTTTTTTAATAATAGGGGTGTAAGTGGCGCCTCCAGCGTCAAAATAGTCCGCCCTCCAAAAAAAAAATAATAATAATAATAATAATTTTCTGCGGCCAAACATTTTGGGCAACATATTGGGAACAAAAATTAAACTTCTAAAAAACTTGCAAAAAGAAATGTGAGCCCCCAAATCCAAATCCTGGGTGCGACACTGACCTATCTGTCAATATTGTTGCAATTTTGTTTGTCTGTTGGGGTGTTTGTTTGTTTGTTTTCACTTCTTTGTTTGAATTGTTACTGTTGACGATTCTATGACATCCGATTCTGAACAATTGAGTCATTAGGTAAAGTACAGCATGACCTCATGTGGTGTATGTATTACGGTGTCAAAGGACAAGCGGAAGATATGAAGTCGTGTTTCATTTCATTCATCCGAATTGAAATTCTCAAAAATAGCACTTTGTAATGTCAAAGAAAAATTGTTTTTTTTCTTTTCAACAACTCCTCATAAAACAGCTAGGTCATCTCTCGATGGAAGTTGATTTCAAAAAGACATCAGTTATTATAACATTAATAATGGTGATAACATTTTTGATGGACGCGCATATTCAAAATTGAGTGTACTTCAACGTACAAGGTATTCAAAGGGCACAACTGTTAACAAGGCTAGAGTTCAACACACTGGACAGATGCCCCCCCCCTCCACCTCCACCCACCTCCCCTTATGCCCCTCCCCCATTGAAAGGTGGTGTAAACAAAATGACTCGGGCCTAATAATACCCAGGTCAAGTACGAAAAATGCATGAGTCACCCCACAACTTTCCCTTTTTAACTTCCGCGGCAAGCTTGATTCATATTACACGGTACGTTTTGACTGTGTTCTCATTTATCCGGATAGTACTACCGGAAAACCGCAACCGCTCACCTTCATTGATAATGCTTTGGTGTTCTACTGCTATTGTAGGCCTACCTGATCACATCGAGAACATAAAACACTATAAAAGGATTTCCTGCGTGGGAAAATAGTAGAAAAACACGCTGCACACATCATGCTTGACACAGGTTATATTGCCCAGTCGTTCGAGCAGGAATCAGTAAAACAGGCTTTATTTCAAACGAGGCGGGATTGTTAGCTTTTGCATCTAATTATCTTTTGATGAGCTTTTGCCATCTGTGGTGGGTGGACTGCTGTGCTTGCACGTGTACTTCGTATTTTTGCACCGAGTTCAAAACCGGCCGTCGTACGCCAGTACGGTCCGTGGGCTGAACTGAACACATAAGAGCACCGCATCTACTTGGCGAGTCACTGTACAGGAGTTGGTAGGCTGAGAGTACCAGAATAAAAGGACCTGGGTCGACTTTGTGGCGCCCACTGCAAACTGAAAGAATGCATCCCTGGTGGAGAGCTCATTTCGATGAGGTAAGTGGCTTTTATTTACTGAAAAGTGAAAAAGTCTCGGTCTAGAGGTATATAGGATCTTTTTCTTTTTGTGCATTTTCTTTTTCGTTTGAAGCAACACAATTGCTCAAAATTAAGGGTGGGTAACCGAGTAAATTGTTGAAATTTCAGCTCCGTGGAAAACAGAGAAAACGTACTACACAATTTTGGGGTCTCGTAACCGGATTTCGTTGCTAACGCACGTAAATAAAATGCGCCCGTGGCACACTTTCTTCAACCACCTTCAGCGATGTTTTTCTCCGAATGATACAATTTCAGGCGGTCCAGTCCTATCTTCACTTTGAGCAAGCATTTTGCCCCCGTTAAATCGGTAGGTACGTTTCTGGGCAATTGCAAATGTTGAAATATACAAAAGTGCAACATTCAGAAACAAAAGTTTTCTTCAATGAAATTATATATTACATGAAACCTGACTATTTCTCAATCCATTCCTTTTTACCCCATTCCATTTGGGTACCTATAGATCCATGTGAAAGGGTGTACATTTTACTTGGGCCACTCTCACATGTGATGTTCGCAACTTCAATACATTTTCAATGCCTCTTCAATGCTTAACCGCGATTCGGCATGTCCAAGTGAGAGTGGCCCAAGTAAATCTACACCCTTTCACCTAATTGATTGCATTTCTGGATCTCGGGACCCAAGTGGAATGATGTAAAAAGGAGTGTACTGAGAAATAGTCAGGCGTTAATATATATATAATAACATTGAAGAAAATACATTAAACAGTCTTAATTATTTGTTTTCTGAATGTTACACTTTTCTGTGCACACTCTGTTCGTGCCTTTAGCTTACAGTTATATTATTTCTCAAACCTAGCCCTTAATCCAGCACTGCTCTTTTAACATACCAGCAACTGACCAATATTAAAACTCCTTTTCCAGGCCATTTAACACTGAATAGTCAGAGATAACAAAAATGGCCACATGGCCATAATTGTTTTGTGCGGCCCGTCCACAGACCGAAACAAAAGCGGTCATAAGGTCCGGGCAAGATTAACGCGATGTTTAACAGTGACAATAGCGGCTTCTGCTTTAATTAAAACGGTCCATTAGTGTGAGGTCAGTCCATAACAATTGTATTAATGGATAAGTCACGACCGTGGAATCTGTGAAGGAGGAGTAGGGGTTTATACCTCGCCCTTTGGGAAGCCGCTGATAATTTATACCCTAATTCTCCGACGATTTTCCAGAATAAAGTAAAAAGTATCTCGGATTCACATTTTCCACATGTAGCATGCTCCGGATCCCTCTTGAGGGGCGTGTCTTCAACATGTGGCCCTCAAGTCAAGGGTCCTTGGAAGCTGTTTGTAACTAGCTCCCACCTCTGTGCCCCCCAGCCTCTTTGGCCAAATCTGGATTACCACTGATATTGTCAGTACATTTTCAGTGCTTATAAAACATGAGCTATTGAGTAAGGGTCAAGTCACACGAGGCAACTTTCACTGGCAACTTGGAGGCAACCGAATGCAATCCAAGCAAATACACTTTCGTCGCACAGGTTTTGCAACTTCCTCAACATTATGTAAAACTCATGTCTAGTTGTCGCTTTCTTCTTGGAGATTGCCTGAAAGTAGTTGCTATCACGGCCGGATCCAGGTTATGTTGTCGGGGTTTAGCTGTAAAGGGGAGCGGGGGAGGTCAGCAGGCACGAAGACGTTTTGTTTTTTACATGAATTTCTTATTTTGTTACGGCCCAGTGGTGGTGGTGGTGGTGGGGGGCTTGCCCCATAACCTTCCCATAGATCCGACGCTGGCTTGTTCGCTGTCACGCCGTACCTACAATTAGTTCAAACATATCACCTAAATTATTTTTCTGATAGACGGGATTTTACCGCGCCATACCTTCCTAAAACCTTAAGACGGAAATGCAAGCAATGTGGGTATAGCTTTAATCGATGAATGTTCCTTCCGTCCGTTCGAGTCATGTTTATTCACCATTAGTCACGTTTAAATTTACCCAATATCAGTGCTCAAAGAAATCATATACATTTTTGTACAAAGGTCATCAACGAGCTTAGGTAGAGAAGTGACCCTAAAACATTACACCTTTAGCCTAAAGAGCTAGCACACTGAGGAAAGAAAACAACTTCCTGGGACCCAAAGGTCGCCTGATTAGTAGTCATACAATGAGAGTGGTGATATGTACATAACCTTGGAATTTAAACATGTGAAGAGTCAAGGAAAAACGTCCTGCTCACATGATCGTGATATTAATGTATGGGTATAATAGGGGCAAAGTTCTACTTGATAATTATGACTTGCTCAATGCAGACAGAAAAGGGGCCGTGATGAAATCACTGTCTACTTTTTGCACCACTCACACGAGGGCTGCACATTGCGCCTTGTTTGTTTTGTTGTTTGTAATTATTCAGCAATTGGCAGGGATAGCCCACGGAATTCTCTCGACTTATTACTTCCAGTGGGGTCCCTTGGTAGAAGATATGAAAGGAAATTACAGTTTTTGTGGTGGGAGGAAAACCCCAGAATGATATTTTATAGGAAAACCCACGGAATCAGGTAGGGACTGAAAACCCAATCCACATTATTGGCCCAGGCGGGATTCGAACCCGGGTCACAGCGGTGGAAGGCGAGGAAAGTTCTGCTATACGCCAACCTGATCCCCTTTTCTAACAGTGGAGAGTTACAGGTTCGCACACTTGGTCGTTATTTTCTGGGGAAATAAATCGTTTTGCGTTTCCCGTACACCATTTTCGCCGTCTGATTTCTCATGTCATTTTGTTGGTCATGCTTATCATTCGTGAAAGTTATTTTAAGCCTTTTAAGGTTGAACAAAGAAATTGACTGGGGGCTTGAACCTTTGACATGCCGAATTACCGTTCAGGTGCTCTACCAACTGAGCTATCCAGCCCTATGTTGGCGGCTCCCCATTTAGTCAAGTTTGTTCAAGAGGCGCTAGTCAGAAGCCATTATACAGCTAGTCATTTTCCATATGTGCTATCTTTGAAAATTTATAAAAGTGCCAGACATTAAATAATCATAACTTTAACAAGAGTTTCAACAAAGAATACAAAAACACAACACCCTAACATTTATGGAATTTCAATTCTTGAAAGACAACGTTGGATATCACAGATGTCAAATCTGTTGAAATTATCTAAATACATGTTGGCCTAAAAGTAAAGGGCAGCACATACACAACCATGGATGGATCACTTGTCAAATTAAAAAAAATGTTTAGCGTCCCCGCTAGTCTAGCTTTATACCCGGTAAAAAAAATCGGGAAACTAGTTCAAACACTTCAATGGATCCTAAAGAACAACAGATATTTTGTTCACTGGACAATTAACTAGACCGATAGGCCTACCTATAAAAAAAAACTAAACAAAGGCCACAGCGCGTGTGAAAGAGAAGCAGTGTGGTTTGAAACACTTTTCGTCAATATGAAATGATGGGAAGCAAGCAAATACGGCTTGGTGAAAAAAGTCTCTCATCGTTCTATTTTAAAAAAAACATATGGAGTGTAGTATGTTTCTTTGTTCCAGGCCAGGTGTCGTTCTGGCTAGACAATCGTCAATTTGCCCGCATTTCTATTTGTCGAAGCTGAATCGTACAACATACAGAGAGACACTGATCACGCCAAGTTCAAGCCCAGTTCAAATTTATTGTGTCAAGCGGTCACGGCTGAAATGCGCCGTTTTGAGACAGGACCGTGGTGTGGTGTTGTTCATTAAATTCATTCGGATAACCTCGATCTTCTGATATCCCGAACACCACGTGTTTTCATTTCGTTTGAAATGATGCATTGTTCAGAACGTGTAGCTGATTCGCTGCTAATAAACGTATTAGTGGGCGACATGCAGAATAATACCGTATTTATGAGTGAGAAACGGGGTGGATAACTTGTTCCATCGATTTTTTTTTTAAGGGGGAAACCGTGCCTGACTTAACCCTGCTCTTAACTTTACCGGGTCAAAGTAATTGGACGGGATCACTAGTTTGTACCATTTAAACTTTAAAAAATGCATGTGTGTACATAGTCGTGTTATGAATTAATCTACATGCTGTGCGTTTAGATTGCGTGCTTTTTTGCTTTCTTCTATACATCGGGCTTTCCAACCCACATTTTCAATTAACCAATTGATAACCCACTTATACTTTTATCTTGTTCAAATATTTTCGTCATTAGAGGATCAATTAGTGTGTGTTTTTGCCTTCAGTGCCGCGCCGTCGGATCAAAGCGATAAGACAAAGAGTATTACCACAAGGTCTTAAATAATTTTGTTTTCACCAATAGGAAGATTTAGCGTGATTTGTTGATGGCAGGGCGAATTCCAATGCACGGGGGGAAAACCACTGTACATGTATACCCATTGCCAAACCTCGGCTGGTCTTGATAACCAATCTTTGAAATCCTTCATAAAGATTGTCATACCGTGAGCTGTGCAAACATCGGCGCGGGCTCTTATCACCAAAATCACCCCACCGCAAACGTCACAGGATTCCAACTCCGTACCAGCCAACATTTTCATGATAAAAAACACACTGACAATGATTTCACAACGCGAAATCAAACTTTCGAAAGTTTACGACCGTTGTCCCGGTAGTAGGCTAAGCTTATATCTTCCCAAACGGTTGTAAACTTTGCCTTTCCCCGCGCCCTGTGCCAATACAAAGCAAACATCAAAGTGTAAACTCGTTAAAAAAAAGAGCCGGAGCGTGTTTGCAGAGGACCTAGTAAAATTTCGAAAGGTGAACCCGACCGATTGTTTTCTAAAAGCGAAGTTGATGTTTAACTTTCGGTAAACACTACAAGGATGCCGGGACGGGTGATAAGGACACGGGGTGTACAGTCCAACCAGATTTCACTGGTTCGGTGTGTACAGTCATTTCTAGTCTACGCCCCATTCCTGTAGTTTCTTTCACTTCGCTAGTTACCTATACCCGTGTCTGCGTCTATAGTCTGTGCTTGGACCAGTGCAAGTTTGATGTGAACACTGA